TTTATGGGGTTGTTTAACATGTAGGTTATTGATGTATATGACAATTTTAAAAATAGTAAACATTGCCAGAAAAATAATTTTTAAGTTAAGACCGCTTATGAAACTTCCGGCAGGATTATGATGCGTTATAAACTTCCCATAAGAGGTTCCTGTATTTAGCATAGTGGCACTTACAAATATGTAGCAAAAACAACTGGAAAATATATACATATCAAGTACAAAACAACATCCAGTAAAATAGCTAAACTCGCCTGGATTATTTTTGAAAATTGGATTATACAGTAGACGACATATGTAACGCCATTCGTGAGAAGTAATGATCCAAAAGCATCCAGAATAAAACATGCAGTATGGTAATTAATTACAGGGTCCTTGATGCCGCTGAGGTTTTTGTCACTTGCTCGGATCAGAACAATTGAATGAATCCAGATAATTGTGTGGTTGCCATCGGACAAGCCATCTAAAATGAGCTTATGATTGCCGAAAACTTATAGCTAAAACTCACCATATGTTTTTGTAGTAGTTTCATCCTTGTTGTTTGGCAATGGAACTCGAGAATTGGAAATTAAGCAGTCAGTGGTTGGAAAAAAAATATTACAGGATGGTGCATAGTTTAAGACAGAATGTGTTAAGTGAAGGAACGCTAAGAATTAGATCCAGATGACTATTTAGTCCTTGATTGCATGGATAGACAATGTATATTGAGGTTATTTGCAGGTCATATTTGCTAGAGCTTGATGTTAAAACAAGTTTATTTCGCTGAAGCATGTAAATGCTACTAAAGCTTGTTAACGAACCATCAAAATCTAATTAGTTAATATAGATGACCAGCTTTTATTAATGATTGAGCTAGTAAGTTATGGGAACTAATCAACATAACATTACGATAATACACATGAGCATTAATCAGAGGACTATTAGAATAATGGGTTTACATAAGTATATATCGATCCAGAAATATCAGGTGAAAAAGAGAAAAAGTAATAATAGGTTGCGTATTTTTAGTCGGGCTCACCAATGTAGAATTATGGTCTACTATGATATTAACACTGCCCTAATAATAGACCTAATCCTAAAATTGTAGATTTTCATGATGCAACTGCCTAACCTATAAGATCTCACGTGGAAGTCACATTATTATCTACACCACCTCATCGCATCGTAACAATTACCAATATATGATGGAGAACAAGCCTAGGCTAGATATGGAACAATATATTTAACGCGAATAAAAGATAAGAGATAACATTCAGCTGGGACCACGCCTGCATGGCCGAGCCATGCCATACCATCAACCCCAATTTATTCAATTCCTTATCCCCGCCTTCTCCACTGTTGGGTATTTCTCCGCGTTAAATATTGAATAACTATTTTCCGAGTAGACTCGTGTTCAGCTTTGAGGATTGTGTGGTTATGATCCGATGCCACTACAAGTTTTCGACTGGATTTCCACAATCCACCATTTCGCCAAAGCGTAGTCTCAATTGTATTCCTACCACTAAACCTTGGGCTTCATGTTTCACTACCACTAGAGTTATATCATCTATGAAATAAAACATCTTTCTGCTTATTATAGCAATTGGATAGAGGCTTGTACCTGTGGCGAAAATTCTATACCATTTAAACTATCTCAATTTTCTGATTTTTAGAAGATTGAAACTTTCCAGTGAATATGTGACCAAAAACAACCTTTCTTGAACAGTATGTCCCACTTAAACTGGCCTTCTTAAGTATTCGCAGACTAATCCATATCGGGCAGTAGAAAAGTTTGGCCATGTCTTTAGAAAGTTTTGACAATAATATATGTTAACGATTGAAAACTCGTATTTTAGACTCTAGTGAAGTGCTGAGTATTCTCTCTCTATCTCTTGCATCTAAAGCTTGTTTTATATGCGTCTATCCGATAGTCCTGTGTGTCCCCTGTCTGGTTTTGTTGGTCTTAGCCTCTCATTAAGAGCAGGAGGAGAGTTGGTACTAATCGACTGGAACAACCTAACAGTTGACTATGTACTACTCCGTTAACTTGCTCTCTTAACTAAATATGAGAAACGATACCTTGCCTTAAGCCCCACCTACACCTTGACAGACTGTAATACATATACAATCAAAAGTAATTTCTACCACCAGTTAAGTGATTTCATGAATTCTCTTTAGAAAGATATTGTATTGCTGGGAATAAATTTGAATGTGTAAGTTGGCTCTCCAAACAAAGAAGAGTCACTTGAGTGAGAAAGGGGTACCCTCCTCCTTCGGATTGGATAACGACTACCACTTTGCTGCTAGGGCTGATGTTCAATACATCCATCTGCGATGTGTTACCTTGCCCTCCTCCTCTTACAATTCAAGCCTGTGTTTAAATTGGCCATATTACAATCAGTCACCGCTAGTATGTCTATGTACAAGAATGCATTTCCCGTTGAACCACTTTGCCATCTATGACATTTTGTAAAGGAATTTGATGAAATCATGTAACAGTAGTGTTGAGGTTGCCCGGAGAAGAGTTTTCTACATTGAGTATGGGGATGTTATTTTATTACTACGAAACAATATATAAGCTGTACGATTCACATTTAGCTAGTCAACAGTCAGATTTTGTAGGTTTCTAGATGCTTTGCATCTTCTAAGTGAAAAGTACTTATACAGATCCGACAAAGGCCTGTCTTCCCAATTACTCTCGGTAGTGAGCGATCGGAGGCAGTCCAGAAGTCTATGCATTTGGGTTGTTGCGTGGGTGTTGATAGTGGCTTGTCAAATGAAACCAGTTTACATATAGCCAAATCCGGAGCTATCTGTAGCATTTCGGGACATCTTTGGCGCCTTCATGATACTAATCAGGTTTAAAAGGGTCAGATTTACAAGGCGCCAATGAGATCACCTTCGCTCTAAGCTTACGCAGCCTGGTCTCTCCTAGCTGGGAATGTTAAGCGACTTAGTATGTTTAATCATCGACGTGGTTGACGTTCAGTCGCAACAAACTTTGTGTAACGCAGAAATACATTGGCGTATGTTCGCGCATTGAAGCGATGATTTAACTAGTGTGACCATCTTTGAACACCAAGTTAAGCGGCTTGGACATATTTGACGAATGTCGTATCGAGGAATTCCATATCGCGAACTATCTACCGATGCCTCAGTACAATGGAGGATGGTTGCGCGATTTCCTGGATTGGTTGAGATTGGACATTAACACCGTTAGATGCCGGCTGAGTGGTTTATTAGATTAAGCGTTCACGTGTGAGACTGAGAGCCATGGGTTCGATCCCGCTGGCGAGATCGTGGATGAGCGCCGCTGAAAAGTCACACAATAGGACGAAATGGCTGTCGACTGCTTCCAGGTTTTCAATGGTGGTTCATCATTAATCGGTTCAAGATCTCAAACAATAGATTAAAACTTTATCAGGTAAATTAAGGATGGAAGCCAATGATGGTCTTACCGTTATTTTTCTCTATTTTTTCACGTAAGAGGAATTTCTCCAACAAAACGAGTTCATTCTGGTTGAAGTTTCTTGAACAAAGTTGGTAGCCCAGTTATTTTTTACTCCCACTCACTTCTTTTGATTCGGTTATCGATTCATTTGTTAAAATCAATTCGTTACCCTATCTTTTCGCTGTCTGCTTTTCTTATTATTTAGCGTATACATATATCGGTCACCCCACGAATCGATATTAATTTAACTGAACAAATTTATATCATTTCAGTACTATATATGTCAAAAATCTGCTTAGGTAGCAGATGGTGAAAGATTCAGGAAGCAGAAATACATCACAAACAATTCAAAATTATGAAGCGGGACATAATTTTCCTCAGCAATGTAAAAAATAAAAACATCCGGGACAGAGTTTAAATAATTTAGTTTGATTGTACTGGGTGAGGTTTCTTGCTAAGTTATTATCAACGAGATGGGGTTGCCGGTAACATGCTCAACCCTCCTTCTTTGCAAAACCACGGGATTGGCAGTGGTATCTGATTTTCAGCTTACAAATCGCAGATACAAATAAGATAAGATTAGTCATTATACATTGACCATGAACGGACAGAAGAAAGACAGTGATTCAAGTTTACGTATATAACTGACTTTTTGTTTGAGGAGTACAAGTTCTCAATACATCTAGATTATCAATATAGGGTTGTGGAGACAGTTGAACTTCATTGAAATCATGAACTGATCTCAGTTACACTACCAGTAACCACATGATAATTTTCAGTATGGAGTAGACGAGACTTTTGAAATTCATTAAAGTTAAGAACCAACCGAAGGTCCTAGGTCAGTTTCCCCTATGTGAGATCGTGGGTGCACGCTCCTCAGGAGTCTCATACTAGAGTTGAACGGCCAACGTACTCCCAGTTTTCCAATGGTAGTCTAACTTAGATCGGTTCATCATTCCAATGGGATGTCTAGGTTGCATAGACAGGTTTCTCTGAAAAATTCTACATTATCCTCTTTCGTACTCTTAGAGAAGTTGAATACTTTTTATTTAAGCGTGTTTCTACTGTTGCAACGTAACTTTTGGTTTGTCACCTTTACAACTCAACGCGATCATACTTGTTTCTTCAATTAAACACTATTGACTCACTGAATTACCCATGCTTTGGTATGACGATTAGTGTTCTTAGTCCCTAGTTCACCAAAGATACCTATAGCCAATGAAATATCAATTGTTTCATATTCACTGTTGGGGTATTAAATCTCTCCGCCAATGACCTGCCATATGAATTTACCAGACCAACTGAGGTTAGGTGTTTATTTATGGTAATCAGTATTTCCGAACACATACAACGTTATTCTTCTTGTTAAATCAAAGGTATAAACACTCCACAATATCCCATTAGCCTGATTGACAGGGAGTATTTGGACAACATTAGTTGTGTTCAGGTTAAAGCCTGTAATGTGATATTCGACCAAAATAGCAAAATCAGATGCTTAATACTTGAACAGAATCTGTCGTCATTCTTCAGAAAATGAGCCCAATTATTCTCGCTGTAGGAAAATCTCACCTACCTTTTTAGATAATGCATAAAGCATACGGGCGCTCACTGCTGTTGTATGTGTACGCAACAAATTTTTCTCCGCTTCCTCTATTAGCCATGGTGACTGATAGCCTCGACTACCAAAAGCACCTTGACTATGCACAGTACGAACCTTATCAATGTAACAAGATTCTACTGTATTGTTGATATCTGAAATCTCAGGATCTACAGATGAAAATATGGTAATCATGGCGCATGAAGACAATAGAAATGAAGCTACAATCAAGTCAGAATTTATTTCAGAATTTACAATAAAAGTTAATAACAAAACAAATTTTAAGTAATCGCATTTTCCATATAGTATGCTAGTCATTACAGAATATAAATTATATGATTTTGGAGCTTCGATTAGTAATTATCAGTCGGTTACAAGTTCGGCGAGAACACCAACAAACTACAACCAAACAAGCAATCGATTGAACTGTCGTAGAAAAAGAAATATAAACAAAGACCAGCCGTAACAGAATCTCAAATGAAGTTACATATTCCATTCCAAGTAGTGTGATGAGTTCTAATCTCAATGTATCAGTCACTGTTGACAATAAACAACAGCAGTTATACTCTAGTCAATCGATTACATAAGAGCACACACTTAACTTGTTAGTGATATCCATCGAAACACTGGCATACTACTTGACCAATCATCGTCTTTCAACACATATCATTCAATTTAAATTTTTAATGCTGTCGGTCAGTGAAATATATCGATAAAAATGCACTAAGATTAATAGACTAATACAAAACATTAAACACATCACATAACTAAGTGAATAAATAAATGAGGGAACTGCCTATTAAGCCAAATATCTTTGTTACGTAGAGACCCAAGATGAATATGATGCAATTATATCTCATAAGGCTTCCGATAGTTTAGAAACTGTCGGGTATTGAGTCCAAACACATGAAATTCATTTAAATTAGAACAAGGAGGGATGAGTGTGTCGTCACAATTTTCGTAGAGATACATTTCAATTATCCTTACAATGGAAATTGAAATCCTCACGAGTTGTGCAATAGAAATGATGGATTACTACTGCATTAGTCATTATTGCAAAGAACATCCAGTTGAGATACAACCTAATGTTATGAATAACAAATATACTAAGTACAAGTTCCAAAAGCGATAATCATAGGAAGTAACAGATCCACGTGAAACCGAGTGCTGAACACGAAGTAGCCTCAATTAGACAAGTAACATATAACAGACACGTAACAAAAAGCTCCATACAAAATGTAAATTTGGTCACTAATCACACCGAACAAAAACACTCACACAAAACAACTCAAAGCATTAATATCTCTTCCCAGATTGAAAGAACTGTGAATTTACGGTTTGTGAAACTTAGATGACATATATTAAAATTTCCAGTAGTAGTATCGCTCACCAAATTATTATTATTATCATATTGTACGTTCTATGTCCCAACTTCATTCGTTCCTTTTGAACTATAAGTTTTCTGTACCTCTGCCACAATCATTCACATTATTAGCTTGGCACATTTGCTCTTTATCCTCTGTGATTATGTGAAGTGTGGTCGGATAGACCGACAAACATTTTGCCAAACCCGACATTGTTAATCATCAAATTGATTATGTAAGTGAATTGGTTGGAAGATGACTAGCACCAACTGTATTCCCTCTGACAATGGACTTTTGTCAATAGTTAGAATATAAAAACAGTATTGCCCACCTAACAAACCAATCAACTATCCTACAGAATGTACAATCAATATATAAACGAGTATATTTTCTACTAAAGGGACATCGCTCATTTTCTGGTTGTTGCAGAATATACTTCTTATTTCAAGCTTGGACTTCTCCCTCTTGATAGTTGGGCTGGGGCGCAGCAATAGCTAGCTCACTGGACGTTGGTCACCGAATCCTCGATCTCGTTCTCAAACTACGTGAACCCGTGATAGCTCTCTCTTTTTCAAATCCTAACACAGAAGATATTCACATAGACACAAAAAGACTAAATAATTCGACTCAAAAGCCTATAGCAGGCTAATAACTTACCGGAAAGGAAAAATGTATCATGAGCATCTCGAGCAGGATGTTGTTGTGGTTGAAAAAGACTATCGAAATTCCAAAAACTGCATTCAACATAATTGTTCGTAGGCATTTCTGAAAACCTGAAATGTTTAGGATGCGGAATGAATGTGATGAACAGAAATGAAAAACCAGGTCTCTTAAAAACTAAGGTACCGTTATCAAGTTCTCAAAACTTATGAAGGCTTTTGAGAATGCTTTTTCATTGAAAACGCAACCCATGATTACTACGCAGTAAATAGTGGAAAAATGACCTTTCAGCCACATATCGACATGATGAATATACATTTGTTTTAATTAGTCTTAACGGAATACTTGATTTTCATAAACGTGGCCTACCGTAGCATAGGACTATAGGATCTCCACTGATATTGTCCTATTTGTTTCTAGAGACCTACCACTAGGCAAAAGTGAGTAGTAAATGACGTCTAGTCTCTACGATCCTTTCTAGTCAGATTAGACTGACGTGAAAACTACATGCTCGACCTAACTTGGAGACACTGAATATGAACACTCCATAAATATTTGAAAATAGTCTGCGTTGGCGATCAATTATACTTCTAGTTAAAACATTTATGAGGTTCGATCGAGTGGAGCTGTGGGTTGGACGATTCCCTTTCAAATGTTCGACCAGAGTTTTTCAACCACCACTCCCATCACCATACTTCTTACAACTGACTAGTCAGTACATTGAGCCTCAGTACAAAGGGTGATTTACAAGTTGATGTGTGTACATCCATACTTCCCAACGCAATTTATCAGCATTACAACTACGTACTTAAGACAAGTAAGTTTTCGGAAAAATGAACCCAATGAAACTAACCCAGAAGTCGTTGATAATTTTAAAACATTCAACGATGATTAATTAGTTCACAATTCGCCATATCTCATACGAGGAAATCGCGACATATTACTACTTACAAATTGGTAGTTGAAAACCAAGTATGCACAACACTAAGACACAGTTACAAAACTACCCTTGAATGCAACATATATACCGAAGACAGATTGTTTTTTATTCTATTGAGATCAATCACTTGCGGACAACCACAAAAAACAAGCAGCCGCGTTATAACAGAAAATAACGTTTCATATCATTGGTTAAGTTATTCTGTAACATCAAGAAAAAGTTCCAAGACACGTTAGACTGGATGGTGGATCGATGAATTTTCGGTGGTCCTATGAACTATACTAGCAAGTTGAAATTCTATTTCACACGACACAAAATGATGTTGAGATAATTGTATTTCCTACTGAGGATTTCGGCATTTTAAAGCGTGTTAATTCTATCAAATCAACGGTGAAATCACACCCATTTTGTTAAATACATACTGCAATTCCTAGGACAACGGGAGTGACATTCTGAAACTTAGAATGTAGATACAGCATATTGAAATATACTCAAAGGAATTAAAACAAAAACTCCTATAATCATACAATCGTGGCAATACAAAAATAAATTCGATTAGAGTACTAAATTAATAACCTTCAGTTAAAACATTTTCCATTAAGACAGTACCACATATGAGTCCCTTTCAGTTGCCACAACATAGCAAGCCTAGTGAGATGAAATTATCGACATAAGTATAAGTGCACTAAAAGTAGTGACAGTACTAGTGATAGTAGGAAAATATTATCTATTTCACTTATTTGGACACACAAACATCGGTATATAGGGGGGTCGAAATAGATATACGCCACACAAAGTAGTTATCATCCAACTTTTGTGTGAGATGGAATACTTTCCCAGTGCCAAAACCGAAACAGGTGATTTCCTTACAGGTCCACCCTCCGAGCCTTTGATCTAGAGAGGTAATCCACAATGCAGTGGAGCAACGTCAGGAGACCAGGTTCGATGGTGGCCGATGACCAAGAATAGGTTGCCACCCCACTTATTTCCTGGGGATCCTGAAGCCAATGCGCACCATTGGTTTAGAGTCAGAGTTTTCCGACCCAACTAGGTGGATCTCCGTGGCCACCAACCCGGTTTAAGTGCCGGACATTCTCTTTTCGTCCTTCCAATTTCGTAAACAACACCTTCACTGCGAGAAGGAAGTGGCCAAATGAGAGAGTTTAGAGAGGAGCGAGCTCTTCACATCCACGGCCGTACCAGGGCATTTGGAGGCATAGGAAAGACTATGTATTGACAATGTGATTCGGGAGGAATTCGCGGAGTAAAAAACATAAAATATTTTTCGACCTTAGGATCTAGGGAGAAACGAAGAGTAAATGTATTTGCACTATTTCGATCGATTCCGAGACATATCATCGAACATATCTAGCAATTAGTTAAGATAATCGTGTAGACCCAAATCCAATAATCCGCACTTACCAACACGGCTCAAACAGTGAATCACTTCGTGGACTCTTGCCAAATCTTGATTTTGGCCGTTCCTGGCTTTATTACAGTCTAATGCCTCATCGACAAACGTCTCTTCTTACGGCATGAGGTAGTTTGACGACTTAATAATCATCCAGTCGTATAAGCCAATATAAGTTTACTATCTTACTAACAGATTTGCCATCTTTACTTAGTACTCTGAGTTCAAACTCAGCATTTCTTACTTGGCGATCCCAACACGTGGGCAATGCTTCGAGGGTTTCGACGACCAAATACTAGGAACCTACGGATACCTACTTTTAGAGGCCATGATTTACAACCACAAATTAGGAAAGATTGAGATGCTACGCAATACATTTATTCGTTGGTTGACAGACGGGCATCTCGTCTACGCCACAGATGCTACGAGTTGACAAAAGGCAAGTGAGCTTTCTGAAACCGTGTCGAAATTTCGTCAGGCACCCACCGGACAGTTCTGGTGAGACTTCGAAGATAAATGAAGTGTATAACGCGATCAATCTCTCCAATCCCTATCATTAGTTCAGACGTAAGCGCAGTTCTCAAGCAACATCTTGCATTTAGACGGAAAAAAGCACATTCCAAACATACTTGGTTTTCCGCTTATGGCGATTAGATGACACTGTATTCTCTCAGAGAACTTCGTCATCTGAGTGTTGCAAGTAGATGAATGGACCTCCTGGTCGGAGAGCGGTTCCTGAAAAGTCATAATGCCAGCGTTAGCTATAAAATACTGTCCATGAAAAGTTCTGATAAGAACGAGGAAAAGGAATAATGTAGCTATCACGATTGCTTTAGGAAAACAAATATCGTTGTCACCCTTCTTACTTTCTTTTCCTCTTTCTGATTGCTCCTCTATGTGAATACAAGCCAAGAGGACTTGCTATAATTGTGGGTATTACTGTGTTTTGTGTTTGTCCACATGATGACATGGTGGAACACCTAGTTGCTTCTATCCTATGGTGTTGGGAGTGATAATAACAATTTTATGACATATTTTCTGGAGAAATGTAGTCTCTCGTCATTATCAACAGTCCTCTGAGGGTGTCACATGCTTCTATTATTTCACACTTTATTGATTGTTCAGAAGTCAAAACTAGAACACTATGCACAATTAAACTACCGTTGTACAGTTTCAGGCATGACCATCTTGTTAAGAGCGTCGTTCGTTGTTCTGTAGTTGTGTCGGGCATGGATTTAGCTGTATATGAGGATTGAAAGCAGTCGAGTTGTTAATTTTAGTGCATGGAAGTCTACAATTTGTATCACACTGTTCTAAACTCACTCAAGGAAGCATAAGTTTTAAAAGTATCAATGTATAGTCATTTTAGTTAAAGCATGTGACTGTATTTTGATAGTGTAAACTTTTTGTACCCAGGTTGATTCATAATTATTAGTGTCGAATAAGTACTGAGAGACCAAGTAATACTAGGAAAGCATAAGAGGAACAACACTAAAGGAAATGTCTATTTGTACATTATATGCTTTCCTATGATCTCATCAAGTTGTTTATTTGCAAAAAGAGGGATAGGTCTTCGTAACTAGGAAACATATTCCTAATCTCAGCTATGAAAGCATTCTTCCTTTTCTTGCACTTCAGGGCTAACGTAACCTAGCTGCTATCTTTCCTTCCTTTTGTTTAATTCAACAACTAAAATCCAATGGACATTCAGAACCTGATTCTTCTTGAGTTAACAGGCGAAAGTTATTTTAAATCAGATAAACTGGCTGAAAAGCTTGGAGTTGATCACCAAGTAGTTGTTGGTGGAATTAAAAGTTTGCAAAACTATAATGGGGTACATTCTTCAGAACGCTTATATATTTCGCTGTCTATAGATAATAGATTGTGAAGATGTGGTCGAGGTTATTTTACATTTAACAAAAGAAGGTGATGAGATTCTAAACAGTGGTAGTCATGAATACAGAGTATACTGTGCTATTCCGGAATCAGGGATACCACAAAGTGATATTTTGGTTTGTTACTGATCTGAAATCTATAGTTTTATAGAAAATATTTCCAGATGCTAAAATAGGTATTAGCAAAGCCCTTTCGTCGAAGTGGATATCACTAGCTAAGAATGAAACTGGTGTACCGTATTTGTATCGTTTGGTAAGTGTGTAATTAATTAAAAATATCATATTAGATTCCAGAAGTCAAGGATGATGTACAACGTTTATTGTTAGATGTAAAGGAGTCTAAACGTCCTCTATCAGATAACGAAAAGTCCCAACTGAAAAAACGAAAACTAGTTACCGAATCGTATGTTAATCTTATTTTCATCACAATCATAAGTTCATAGAAAGCGCACATCCTACTTGGTACGAAAAGGTACATCATTTTCAACAAATATAAAATCTGAAGAAACGGATTTATCATCTGAGTTGCTTTCTAGGTGAGAAATCGTTGTTCATACATAAAATTAGTGTCTGCCTCCGTACTCTATCAAATGTGAATCTTCACAAACCATATTATAATGGCCTGGTACACTTTTGTGGTTTCATATCTAACGGGATTTCACATATACAAAATTAGATATTCACTTTTTGAAACCCAAATCAACTTGACTAATTTTTTGTATTGGTTGTTTGAATCTTCCCATTGATGTTTAGGACTGTAATTGACCAGTCTTTTATGTTCATTCTTTGCGGATTACCTCGATATTACCTTAAATCACGAGCACTATAAGCACAAGCTAGAGTCAATAGATAAGCTTTATTTATTTATTTATTTTAACACATAAGTATAGGTACAGGGAGGCACCAAATACATATGCGCCACACAAATCTCAAGTGATACTGCCCGGGTGCCCAAACCGAAGCAGGTGGTTTTCTTAGGGGGCCACACCCCGAGCCTTCGACCTGAACGTCTGACCCACAAGGCAGTGGAGCATCGTGAGGAGATGCAGTCCCATGGTAGCCGGTGACCAACGATTGGTTCATACACCATTTGTTCCCGCAGGATACTGGAGCCCATGTGCACCATTGGTTTGGGATCCGGTTATAGTGCCGGACATTCGCTTTTCGTCCTCTCATTTTCGTAAACAACACCCCCGCCACGAGAAGGCAGTGAGTAGGACTTCCCTGGCAGAGGCTATATACGCATGGCCATGTGAGAGCATTTCGAGAGGGAGAGCGAACTCTCCCCACTTTCGGCCGTACCAGGGCATTTGGGGGCTAATAGATAAGTGGATAAAGCGAACGGTACTCGGTTCGAGTCTTGAAGTAAGCATGAATTGAGGGATGCAAGTACATCCAAATGACGAGTCCGAGATCGAACGGGACGCGCATTCTAAATTCCACCGCTAGCCACCATCCATCTTTGCCAAATCAATTTTTATGTCACTCTCAAACATGATACTAAAAGGTGTAAACAAATTCGATAGTTATCCTTATTCACTTATAAGACGTAAAGAAACTCCGGTACGCAGAGTAGCCAAGATAATTATTTATTTAGTACACACAAATCTGGTACAACTATGCGACAGGATAGAATGCGCTACACAAAATACGGAGCCCACATTATGAAAAGAAAATAATGGAAATTGAGTAAAATCAAAGAGACGAAGGTAAATATAAACAGTATATAATGAAAAGTACACTTGAGTTCATAAGACAGCTAAGAGAAGCTTCTTTCTGTCACGAGAGATTCAAAGAAAACTACAGCAAGATTTTCATTGGTTTCTATTCTGAGCTATATCTGATAACATCTCAGGTCGCCGAGTTGTACCGTCTCCGAATTTCGTGGTACAACCAAGGACAGAAAAAGTCCGTCCTCCCTCGAAACGCTTTCATACTACCACCTCTTTTTGAATGACGTTCTGAAAACAGCCTTAAAGAAGCTACGTGGTAATGGTGTAGATCCGTTTCCCAAAGAAAGACTTGACCTTGAGTATGTGGATGATATTGTCATATTGTGCGATAATACGCAAGCTATTTAAATCGCGCTTAATTGACAAACGTTCAGTGTCTTTCAGAAATACATTAAGCTTTGAAAGTATGAAATACACTAGTTAGATGTGGTTCATGCAATTTGTATCTCAGCCCACGAGTTTTATGACTACTATCGGAGAATAAACTGATGCACTAATTTGTTCCCCTGCAAACTATATCCAAAATAGCAATATTTTATACTATGTCTGTTTTCATGTGGTTTGTGCATATATTTTTGGTAGTGGAGAATGGCAAACAGCTCAATTTAAGGCCTATAACTTTTACTCTCTTGGTGCCGCTTTACCATCTGGACATCTTCATCCTCTTCTGCGTGTACGATCAGAATTCTGTAGGATACTTTGTGATATGGGGTAAGTTGTTCATTTTTATTTGTTTTGCCCTGATATTTTTTCATCAGTTTAAGTCATACCTCTTCTCAAATAGGTCTGCTTGGTGTTTGTTTGACATCTGTTCATCACTTCTGGCCTAGTGAACACTTGTTTAAGGAATCACTGTTGATTGTCAACTGTTAAATTTCGAAAAGGCAAGAAATATTTTAGTGAATAAATGTCTCCATTGTCTTCTTCAGACCATGAATATAATGTTGCATTAAAATAACTTTCGCCTGTTAACTCAAGAAGAATCAGGTTCTGAATGTCCATTGGATTTTAGTTGTTGAATTAAACAAAAGGAAGGAAAGATAGCAGCTAGGTTACGTTAGCCCTGAAGTGCAAGAAAAGGAAGAATGCTTTCATAGCTGAGATTAGGAATATGTTTCCTAGTTACGAAGACCTATCCCTCTTTTTGCAAATAAACAACTTGATGAGATCATAGGAAAGCATATAATGTACAAATAGACATTTCCTTTAGTGTTGTTCCTCTTATGCTTTCCTAGTATTACTTGGTCTCTCAGTACTTATTCGACACTAATAATTATGAATCAACCTGGGTACAAAAAGTTTACACTATCAAAATACAGTCACATGCTTTAACTAAAATGACTATACATTGATACTTTTAAAACTTATGCTTCCTTGAGTGAGTTTAGAACAGTGTGATACAAATTGTAGACTTCCATGCACTAAAATTAACAACTCGACTGCTTTCAATCCTCATATACAGCTAAATCCATGCCCGACACAACTACAGAACAACGAACGACGCTCTTAACAAGATGGTCATGCCTGAAACTGTACAACGGTAGTTTAATTGTGCATAGTGTTCTAGTTTTGACTTCTGAACAATCAATAAAGTGTGAAATAATAGAAGCATGTGACACCCTCAGAGGACTGTTGATAATGACGAGAGACTACATTTCTCCAGAAAATATGTCATAAAATTGTTATTATCACTCCCAACACCATAGGATAGAAGCAACTAGGTGTTCCACCATGTCATCATGTGGACAAACACAAAACACAGTAATACCCACAATTATAGCAAGTCCTCTTGGCTTGTATTCACATAGAGGAGCAATCAGAAAGAGGAAAAGAAAGTAAGAAGGGTGACAACGGTATTTGTTTTCCTAAAGCAATCGTGATAGCTACATTATTCCTTTTCCTCGTTCTTATCAGAACTTTTCATGGACAGTATTTTATAGCTAACGCTGGCATTATGACTTTTCAGGAACCGCTCTCCGACCAGGAGGTCCATTCATCTACTTGCAACACTCAGATGACGAAGTTCTCTGAGAGAATACAGTGTCATCTAATCGCCATAAGCGGAAAACCAAGTATGTTTGGAATGTGCTTTTTTCCGTCTAAATGCAAGATGTTGCTTGAGAACTGCGCTTACGTCTGAACTAATGATAGGGATTGGAGAGATTGATCGCGTTATACACTTCATTTATCTTCGAAGTCTCACCAGAACTGTCCGGTGGGTGCCTGACGAAATTTCGACACGGTTTCAGAAAGCTCACTTGCCTTTTGTCAACTCGTAGCATCTGTGGCGTAGACGAGATGCCCGTCTGTCAACCAACGAATAAATGTATTGCGTAGCATCTCAATCTTTCCTAATTTGTGGTTGTAAATCATGGCCTCTAAAAGTAGGTATCCGTAGGTTCCTAGTATTTGGTCGTCGAAACCCTCGAAGCATTGCCCACGTGTTGGGATCGCCAAGTAAGAAATGCTGAGTTTGAACTCAGAGTACTAAGTAAAGATGGCAAATCTGTTAGTAAGATAGTAAACTTATATTGGCTTATACGACTGGATGATTATTAAGTCGTCAAACTACCTCATGCCGTAAGAAGAGACGTTTGTCGATGAGGCATTAGACTGTAATAAAGCCAGGAACGGCCAAAATCAAGATTTGGCAAGAGTCCACGAAGTGATTCACTGTTTGAGCCGTGTTGGTAAGTGCGGATTATTGGATTTGGGTCTACACGATTATCTTAACTAATTGCTAGATATGTTCGATGATATGTCTCGGAATCGATCGAAATAGTGCAAATACATTTACTCTTCGTTTCTCCCTAGATCCTAAGGTCGAAAAATATTTTATGTTTTTTACTCCGCGAATTCCTCCCGAATCACATTGTCAATACATAGTCTTTCCTATGCCTCCAAATGCCCTGGTACGGCCGTGGATGTGAAGAGCTCGCTCCTCTCTAAACTCTCTCATTTGGCCACTTCCTTCTCGCAGTGAAGGTGTTGTTTACGAAATTGGAAGGACGAAAAGAGAATGTCCGGCACTTAAACCGGGTTGGTGGCCACGGAGATCCACCTAGTTGGGTCGGAAAACTCTGACTCTAAACCAATGGTGCGCATTGGCTTCAGGATCCCCAGGAAATAAGTGGGGTGGCAACCTATTCTTGGTCATCGGCCACCATCGAACCTGGTCTCCTGACGTTGCTCCACTGCATTGTGGATTACCTCTCTAGATCAAAGGCTCGGAGGGTGGACCTGTAAGGAAATCACCTGTTTCGGTTTTGGCACTGGGAAAGTATTCCATCTCACACAAAAGTTGGATGATAACTACTTTGTGTGGCGTATATCTATTTCGACCCCCCTATATACCGATGTTTGTGTGTCCAAATAAGTGAAATAGATAATATTTTCCTACTATCACTAGTACTGTCACTACTTTTAGTGCACTTATACTTATGTCGATAATTTCATCTCACTAGGCTTGCTATGTTGTGGCAACTGAAAGGGACTCATATGTGGTACTGTCTTAATGGAAAATGTTTTAACTGAAGGTTATTAATTTAGTACTCTAATCGAATTTATTTTTGTATTGCCACGATTGTATGATTATAGGAGTTTTTGTTTTAATTCCTTTGAGTATATTTCAATATGCTGTATCTACATTCTAAGTTTCAGAATGTCACTCCCGTTGTCCTAGGAATTGCAGAATGTATTTAACAAAATGGGTGTGATTTCACCGTTGATTTGATAAAATTAACACGCTTTAAAATGCCGAAATCCTCAGTAGGAAATACAATTATCTCAACATCATTTTGTGTCGTGTGAAATAGAATTTCAACTTGCTAGTATAGTTCATAGGACCACCGAAAATTCATCGATCCACCATCCAGTCTAACGTGTCTTGGAACTTTTTCTTGATGTTACAGAATAACTTAACCAATGATATGAAACGTTATTTTCTGTTATAACGCGGCTGCTTGTTTTTTGTGGTTGTCCGCAAGTGATTGATCTCAATAGAATAAAAAACAATCTGTCTTCGGTATATATGTTGCATTCAAGGGTAGTTTTGTAACTGTGTCTTAGTGTTGTGCATACTTGGTTTTCAACTACCAATTTGTAAGTAGTAATATGTCGCGATTTCCTCGTATGAGATATGGCGAATTGTGAACTAATTAATCATCGTTGAATGTTTTAAAATTATCAACGACTTCTGGGTTAGTTTCATTGGGTTCATTTTTCCGAAAACTTACTTGTCTTAAGTACGTAGTTGTAATGCTGATAAATTGCGTTGGGAAGTATGGATGTACACACATCAACTTGTAAATCACCCTTTGTACTGAGGCTCAATGTACTGACTAGTCAGTTGTAAGAAGTATGGTGATGGGAGTGGTGGTTGAAAAACTCTGGTCGAACATTTGAAAGGGAATCGTCCAACCCACAGCTCCACTCGATCGAACCTCATAAATGTTTTAACTAGAAGTATAATTGATCGCCAACGCAGACTATTTTCAAATATTTATGGAGTGTTCATATTCAGTGTCTCCAAGTTAGGTCGAGCATGTAGTTTTCACGTCAGTCTAATCTGACTAGAAAGGATCGTAGAGACTAGACGTCATTTACTACTCACTTTTGCCTAGTGGTAGGTCTCTAGAAACAAATAGGACAATATCAGTGGAGATCCTATAGTCCTATGCTACGGTAGGCCACGTTTATGAAAATCAAGTATTCCGTTAAGACTAATTAAAACAAATGTATATTCATCATGTCGATATGTGGCTGAAAGGTCATTTTTCCACTATTTACTGCGTAGTAATCATGGGTTGCGTTTTCAATGAAAAAGCATTCTCAAAAGCCTTCATAAGTTTTGAGAACTTGATAACGGTACCTTAGTTTTTAAGAGACCTGGTTTTTCATTTCTGTTCATCACATTCATTCCGCATCCTAAACATTTCAGGTTTTCAGAAATGCCTACGAACAATTATGTTGAATGCAGTTTTTGGAATTTCGATAGTCTTTTTCAACCACAACAACATCCTGCTCGAGATGCTCATGATACATTTTTCCTTTCCGGTAAGTTATTAGCCTGCTATAGGCTTTTGAGTCGAATTATTTAGTCTTTTTGTGTCTATGTGAATATCTTCTGTGTTAGGATTTGAAAAAGAGAGAGCTATCACGGGTTCACGTAGTTTGAGAACGAGATCGAGGATTCGGTGACCAACGTCCAGTGAGCTAGCTATTGCTGCGCCCCAGCCCAACTATCAAGAGGGAGAAGTCCAAGCTTGAAATAAGAAGTATATTCTACAACAACCAGAAAATGAGCGATGTCCCTTTAGTAGAAAATATACTCGTTTATATATTGATTGTACATTCTGTAGGATAGTTGATTGGTTTGTTAGGTGGGCAATACTGTTTTTATATTCTAACTATTGACAAAAGTCCATTGTCAGAGGGAATACAGTTGGTGCTAGTCATCTTCCAACCAATTCACTTACATAATCAATTTGATGATTAACAATGTCGGGTTTGGCAAAATGTTTGTCGGTCTATCCGACCACACTTCACATAATCACAGAGGATAAAGAGCAAATGTGCCAAGCTAATAATGTGAATGATTGTGGCAGAGGTACAGAAAACTTATAGTTCAAAAGGAACGAATGAAGTTGGGACATAGAACGTACAATATGATAATAATAATAATTTGGTGAGCGATACTACTACTGGAAATTTTAATATATGTCATCTAAGTTTCACAAACCGTAAATTCACAGTTCTTTCAATCTGGGAAGAGATATTAATGCTTTGAGTTGTTTTGTGTGAGTGTTTTTGTTCGGTGTGATTAGTGACCAAATTTACATTTTGTATGGAGCTTTTTGTTACGTGTCTGTTATATGTTACTTGTCTAATTGAGGCTACTTCGTGTTCAGCACTCGGTTTCACGTGGATCTGTTACTTCCTATGATTATCGCTTTTGGAACTTGTACTTAGTATATTTGTTATTCATAACATTAGGTTGTATCTCAACTGGATGTTCTTTGCAATAATGACTAATGCAGTAGTAATCCATCATTTCTATTGCACAACTCGTGAGGATTTCAATTTCCATTGTAAGGATAATTGAAATGTATCTCTACGAAAATTGTGACGACACACTCATCCCTCCTTGTTCTAATTTAAATGAATTTCATGTGTTTGGACTCAATACCCGACAGTTTCTAAACTATCGGAAGCCTTATGAGATATAATTGCATCATATTCATCTTGGGTCTCTACGTAACAAAGATATTTGGCTTAATAGGCAGTTCCCTCATTTATTTATTCACTTAGTTATGTGATGTGTTTAATGTTTTGTATTAGTCTATTAATCTTAGTGCATTTTTATCGATATATTTCACTGACCGACAGCATTAAAAATTTAAATTGAATGATATGTGTTGAAAGACGATGATTGGTCAAGTAGTATGCCAGTGTTTCGATGGATATCACTAACAAGTTAAGTGTGTGCTCTTATGTAATCGATTGACTAGAGTATAACTGCTGTTGTTTATTGTCAACAGTGACTGATACATTGAGATTAGAACTCATCACACTACTTGGAATGGAATATGTAACTTCATTTGAGATTCTGTTACGGCTGGTCTTTGTTTATATTTCTTTTTCTACGACAGTTCAATCGATTGCTTGTTTGGTTGTAGTTTGTTGGTGTTCTCGCCGAACTTGTAACCGACTGATAATTACTAATCGAAGCTCCAAAATCATATAATTTATATTCTGTAATGACTAGCATACTATATGGAAAATGCGATTACTTAAAATTTGTTTTGTTATTAACTTTTATTGTAAATTCTGAAATAAATTCTGACTTGATTGTAGCTTCATTTCTATTGTCTTCATGCGCCATGATTACCATATTTTCATCTGTAGATCCTGAGATTTCAGATATCAACAATACAGTAGAATCTTGTTACATTGATAAGGTTCGTACTGTGCATAGTCAAGGTGCTTTTGGTAGTCGAGGCTATCAGTCACCATGGCTAATAGAGGAAGCGGAGAAAAATTTGTTGCGTACACATACAACAGCAGTGAGCGCCCGTATGCTTTATGCATTATCTAAAAAGGTAGGTGAGATTTTCCTACAGCGAGAATAATTGGGCTCATTTTCTGAAGAATGACGACAGATTCTGTTCAAGTATTAAGCATCTGATTTTGCTATTTTGGTCGAATATCACATTACAGGCTTTAACCTGAACACAACTAATGTTGTCCAAATACTCCCTGTCAATCAGGCTAATGGGATATTGTGGAGTGTTTATACCTTTGATTTAACAAGAAGAATAACGTTGTATGTGTTCGGAAATACTGATTACCATAAATAAACACCTAACCTCAGTTGGTCTGGTAAATTCATATGGCAGGTCATTGGCGGAGAGATTTAATACCTCAACAGTGAATATGAAACAATTGATATTTCATTGGCTATAGGTATCTTTGGTGAACTAGGGACTAAGAACACTAATCGTCATACCAAAGCATGGGTAATTCAGTGAGTCAATAGTGTTTAATTGAAGAAACAAGTATGATCGCGTTGAGTTGTAAAGGTGATAAACCAAAAGTTACGTTGCAACAGTAGAAACACGCTTAAATAAAAAGTATTCAACTTCTCTAAGAGTACGAAAGAGGATAATGTAGAATTTTTCAGAGAAACCTGTCTATGCAACCTAGACATCCCATTGGAATGATGAACCGATCTAAGTTAGACTACCATTGGAAAACTGGGAGTACGTTGGCCGTTCAACTCTAGTATGAGACTCCTGAGGAGCGTGCACCCACGATCTCACATAGGGGAAACTGACCTAGGACCTTCGGTTGGTTCTTAACTTTAATGAATTTCAAAAGTCTCGTCTACTCCATACTGAAAATTATCATGTGGTTACTGGTAGTGTAACTGAGATCAGTTCATGATTTCAATGAAGTTCAACTGTCTCCACAACCCTATATTGATAATCTAGATGTATTGAGAACTTGTACTCCTCAAACAAAAAGTCAGTTATATACGTAAACTTGAATCACTGTCTTTCTTCTGTCCGTTCATGGTCAATGTATAATATCTAATCTCTTCACGTTCATCATCTCCGTTTTCAAAACTGCTATATCATATGAAGCTGATAACGTCTTCTGAGGATCCATATCCCTTACCTGTCTCATCGTATTTTCAAAGTTTCACAATAAATTTAAGTACTTGTATTTTTTAGTTCTCCTATTAGACTGTAAATTCGTGCAATTTACTGCTCATTGATGGGTTCACTTTGTGGTCAGTATGTAGTTCACTTATAAAGTATGGTGTTAATTATTAGAGGCAATATCTACCAACGGAATTCTTCTTTGATGAGTGCGGTGTTGCCTTACACTCAAGTGTGTTTTTTTAATCTTTGTGATTAATAAATTACAGTCCTATTTTTGAAAAAAATATTCAAGTCCTCATAGGTGCGATCATTTTCAGTAACAAACACGTGGTTGTTGTCTGCAGTAATCTGATCATGACTACTAATTTTAACCACAGTGTTGGTGGACATGAAGAGTCCACCTAGGGGAGTTGGAAAACACTGATTCCAAATCAATTGTGCACATGGGCCCCAGTATTCTGAGGGAACAAATGGCGTATGAACCAATCGTTGGTCACCGACTACCATGGAAATGCATTTCCTTACGATTCTCCACTGCATTGTGGATCAAACCTTTAGGTCGAAGGCTCGGGTTGTGGCCCCCTAAGTAAACCACCTGCTTCGGTTTGGGCACCCAAGCAGTATCACAGCCCTCACACAAATCAAATGAGATTTGTGTGGCGCATATGTATTTGGTGCCTCCTTGTTCCAATATCTATGTTTGTTCGAGATACTGATGTATTGTTACTCTTTAGAGGGTTATTATAAAAGTTTAGTCCAATTTTACAGTACATATGTACTTTGTGGTTTGTCGACGCCGAACAATTGAAACCAGTGTATGTTCCAAGTCTCGCTATGTCTTGAAATACTGACCAACTCTTTTTATTAGAGAAATTGATTCTTCATGTAACATGGAAACTGTTACCCTGATAAAGTGATTGTTCACTTTATCTAAACTTCCAACCATTAGTTTAGTATGACTACTTGATTGAATTCTTATCCCCCAGTTAATGAGCTTTTAACCTTACAACGAACCATAGCGAGAAACAAATATGATATATATGGTTTATTTTACTATCGTATTGTCTCTATGTGTTATGTTTGTAGAATCCATTTACTCCAGCTAAATATTACAGTATTGATCGTGTATTTCGAAATGAAAATCTAGACGCTACTCATTTGGCAGAATTTCATCAAGTTGAAGGTCTAGTTGCTGACTTTGGTCTTAGTTTAGGCCATCTGAAAACTGTAATTCGAACTTTCTTTTCAAAGTTAGGACTTACGCAACTGAGATTCAAACCAGCATACAATCCATATACTGAACCGAGTATGGAGATTTTTAGTTATCATCCTGGTGAGTGAATATTCTTCAAAAATCATTTATTTATGCTTTTATGCATCATTCTTATTAATTTGCTAAACTATTTGTTCCTTTTTAAATTAACTTAGGTTTCTTATTCATATCTTAGATTAACTCTCATTGATCTAGTGTGGCTTTTTTGTTACATTACGGGTTAAGTGTTCAATGTTTGTGGGATGGGCTACAGTAAAGCCTGTAGCACTCTTGTTTTATCTGTCTCCTAATCATCAGGGTTTCTTAGAACATGGTCGTAACCTAAATATAACACAGATTTTTCAGGACTGTGGACATGTTTTAATGACTGCCAGAAAGTCCAAAACCTTGTCTCATATATACATCCAGCCGGCAACCAATATTATTACTATTTAAGTTATTATAAATAAAGTACAGTTTCGATCCATGACGCAGCTTGAAAAAACCATGATCTATTGTTGTGATAAACTACATTTCCTAGTTCGTTTATGATAGATTTCTCATTTCTTTTCTGTGGCTTTTTTTCATCAATCTGGAGACTTGGCATTCAACTAGTAAGCCACAGTTGAGAACTCCACCCCACTTTACAATTGACTTAGTACTACAAACCATCATAATACATATGGTCCAATACCGATATTTACATTGTTGCTAGAATTTTACTGTTTTTCCGAATTTGAATTTCAGGTCTCAAGAAGTGGGTGGAAATAGGTAATTCTGGACTATTTCGTCCGGAAATGCTTAGACCAATCGGGTTACCTGAAGGATTGTCTGTTATAGCCTGGGGATTGTCTTTGGAACGGTGAGTTATCTTTAGATTTGCTTCTTTTGATACCACCTATTTCCAGAGTATTGTTTATTTCACTTCTGTATCGTAGGACATGACGTAATAGTAAATTTATTTACCCTGTTAGCAAAGACGTGTTACTGTTATGTATTGAGGCTTAACGAGTTCACTTAAATTTGCGAACGAGAACGAGGTTCGATGACCAACGACCAGTAAGCTAATTATTGACACGTCCCAGCCCCTCTATTTAGAGAGAGAAGACCAGGCTTGAAATGAGAGTATATTCTGCAACAACCAGAAAACCAGCGATTTTACAAAGACAATTTAAAACGTATATATACAAATATATATACATCGATATTGCCATGGAGCTTCTAAACATCTAATCGATAGTTCGTCAATCGACTATGTGCGTGGGTGGTAAGAAATGCCCACGTATACATTTGCATGCAAGCTCCACAAGATAAAATTACAAACTATGAGTTTTGGGGGAAACAACACCATTTCTCACTCAGGAATGGCATTAGATAATTTCTTGGGTATTTTCTGAATACCCCAACAGTTACCTTTGTTCATAGAGAATTGAGGAAATAATACAATACACTTGCGTTTATTGTGAGGATAACTAATATAACCATTCTATCCAGACGAAAGCAGATGGGATGAACAACATTCTCTGTAAAGGGTTATTCTGATAAGATAGTCATACACTCAACCACCTATGACCATATTAACGTAAAACATTCTGTAAAGGTTGAGTCAAATCGCTATAAGCAGCTAGCTTCCTACGTGTGAAATTGATCGTATCTGATAAATCTTCAAAAGAAATTTCACAGCTATGCAAATATGAATCAACGTCTCAGCTACTTTTAGCAGCGTCTATCAGTCTCACTGAAGTTCTTAACGCTTTTACAGAGAAGAAAAGTACATTCGTTACTTTCGAACACCGACGACCACCTGACTGTTATTTAAGTAATCTATCCTATCGACAAAATGATCTTCTCTAAGTACGAACAAATTCACATGACATATTTGTACGTCATATCTTGTTGATGGTAAAATGAAAGCGGAGTTCTGTGACTGACCAACCCTTTCCTACTATTTTATTGTCTTAAAACATGACTTCTTTTAATGTGCCAACCCTCATCTTCCAGAGACTTAATAGTTAGTTCTAAACCCAGCTACTTTTAATATTTAATTGGGATACTTGTCTTACTTGCCAGAAATATGCTGTGATCTAAATAGCTGACCTGAATTTCCACCACAGGGTCTCAGGTCCTAAACTTGTTTGCCCAGTGCGACGACTGCAGTAAGATCAGGTCCCTTTCAACCACATACGAAACTTGGTTTCTCAATGGGCACATGGAATTCTGTATACGTGTCTCTGAGATACAGCTCGTAAGAAGAACAATATTTCCAAAATATGTCGTTCGATGTGCACCTATTTTTCTAAGTACGAGCATTAAGTCTGAACGGCACCGACAGCTTGAATTTAAGTGACAGTGTGTCGAATTCTGTATTCGACTTTCAAAAATCAACTATTTCAGTAAGTTCCGATTTCTCAAAACTGACTAAAATTCAACAATGATACCAGGTAGTTGTTTAGTTGCGTAAACATTGGATGTGTAAATAAAAAAATTATAAATCACATAAAAACAAAAATATACTTATTATTAAAATGGTACACAGATATGAAGTGATATAAAATAAATTTCGTTGTGTACAAGATAACTCCAGTTTATGAGCTCCAGTTTGTATGATGAATAATTCATATTCTCCCGACCGTAGCTGCTACCTTGACGTGGTGGTCGGGCTTGCCTATCGTGATGACCCAACCGAGCTATATTGGCTGGAACATATGTTCCTGCAGGTTCTACCATGCCAGGTAGGTCGATTGGATAACGGTAAGACTAAAAGCAGCAACTCAAGGTCTGAGGGTGAAGTCGTACTGCTGACTGTACAGAGGTGTGATAGCAGTAAGGTGTTTCCCTCGGACAACCAGCATCTGCAGCGATGCTGCCTTCTCACAAGGAAGGAAGGGGTTAGAAAAGGTTGACCCTAAAAATGTCACACCTCACCTTACCCCACGGATTTCCGTCTCCGGCGGTAAGGCCCTTTAAAAAACGGAGCTAACACATCAAACAATTCCCACAAAAAGGCCGTGCATGACCGACCTCAAGCAGTTGTCCCTTGGGCTCTGCGGTCACGCTCCCAGGTCTTCAAGATCAACACTAATCCGATTTCCTTTTCAGGTTCTTCAAGAAGTACCCTTCCACGGTGTGGGCAACCGGGAAGTGACATCAGCCCTCATACCCGTAACAGCACACGAGACCAAGTTGGTCACATTCAAATCCTTCCTACACCTCCTAATAACTCTCTTATCTCCACGACTAACCCTTCTCACATCCCTTTATCACCTCGCCCTGCTAGTGCATATTCAGGAACAACTAGAAAAACAGTTAGGCAGCCATGTAAGTGATGCCCACCCCGAGGCAGCGTGGAATAACATCCGAAAAGCTGTCGAAACAGCAGTGATATCTGCAAGTACGGTAAACCACAAGGTTAGGGAGAAACACTGGATCTCAGCAGCATCTACCGCACCGATAGATGCTCGAAAACTCATCCCATCTGGCTCTGAACATAACGAAGAGCGGAGTCAGCTTAAGCGTAAGCTGATTAGAAGCCTACGCATTGATTGTGAACAGTGGTGGGTAGCGAAAGCAAGAGAGATGGATAGGCAGCAGCAATAGGTAGCAGCAGACAACTGTTCAAACCTGTTAAGGAAACCGGTATTAGAAACACAACTGTTAGCGAAACAATCTCAGAGAAAGATGGACATATTATTCATCCTCAATCCAGGAGATTGGATTGATGGGCAGAACACTTTAGGGATCAGTTCAACTGGCCTCCAGCCACACTTCGGTTTCCCACGATCTCCAGTCGACCTGAATGGCAAGTTAATGTAAGTCCTCCGACTCTTTACGAAGTTGAAAAAGCTATAGGAAATCTGAAGCGTGGGAGAGCAGCAGGCCCTGACAGGTTTACCCCTGAGATTTTTAAGGATGGTTGTTCAGTATTAGCAGCGAGATTGACTGAGGTCTTAGTTAGAATCTGGGAACTGGACGTAATCCCATCTGACTGGTCTCAATCACTAATTGTGCCAGTCTATAAGGAAGGACAAAAGTCTTCTTGTGACAATCACAGAGGTATTAGTTTGACTAATATAGTGTCTAAAATATTAGCTTCAATAATACTTCGATGTCTAACCAAAGCTCGTGAAGAGCTGACTAAAGAAAACCAGGCTGGTTTTCGACCTGGACGTGGTTGTATAGATCAGATATTCACATTACGTCAGGTCCTAGAACATAGATACATATTCAGACGCCCCACAATGATAGTATTTTTCGACCTTAAGACGGCATTTGACTGTGATGATTGTGAGGTTCTATGGCAGTGTTTGTCACTGAAAGGAGTACCAAATAAGTACATTAACTTTATAAAGGCTCTCTACTCGAACACAACTGGTCGAGTGAGAGCTTATGGCAAACTGTCATCAGAACTGATTACTTCAAGTGGTGTTCGTCAGGGCTGTCCACTCTCTCCATTCTTGTTTAACTTTGTCGTTGTTGTGCTTTTAGAGATAACACTTTGCACATCTGAATTTACAGGGGTTGAACTTCTACCGAAAGATTCACTTGTTGACTTAGAGTATGTCGATGACATAGTTCTATTTGGTGAAGACGCTGACAAAATGCAGAGTCTGCTGACCACTCTAAGCAATAATACAAGCATGTTCGGGATGAGATTCTCCCCCTCGAAATGCAAAATGTTACTTCAGGATTGGGTTTCATCGACACCCGAACTAGTGATAGGGAGTGAAGTAGTTGAGCGTGTCAACCGCTTCACCTATCTTGGAAGTCTCATCAGCCCTTGTGGTGTGGTGTGTGACGAAATCTGAGCACGGATACAGAAGGCTCGACTAGCTTTTGTCAACTTGCGTCATTTGTGGCGTAGGCGAGATATCCGTCTATCAACCAAGGGACGTGTTTACTGCGCAGCAGTTTGTTCCGTCCTACTTTGTGGCAGTGAAACATGGCCGGTAAGAGTAGAGGATATTCGTAAGTTACTAGTATTTGATCATAGGTGTCTTCGAAACATTGCTCGTATATCCTGAGACCACTGAGTACTAGATGCAGTTGTTAGGAAACGGGTTCTAGGTAAGGATGGTAAACCAATTGATGAAGTAGTGAAACTTAATGAGTTGAGATGGCTGGGACATGTGTTACGCATGCTCGACCACCGACTGCCCCGACGTGTAGGAGTAGGTTTGAAGAAAGGTAGGGGCGGCCAGACCAAAACATGGCACAAATCCATGAAGTCACTGACGAGTGGACTGAGTTATGTTGGTAGGTCTGGACCACCTGGTTGGGATCCGCGAGATGATAGCAACTGATGGTTTATTTTATTTATTTATTTTAACACATAGATATTGGTACAAGGAGGCACCAAATACATATGCGCCACACAAATCTCATTTGATATATGTGGGGGCTGTGATACTGCCCGGATGCCCAGACCGTAGTAGGTGGTTTTCTTAGGGGACCACACTCCGAGCCTTCGACCTGAACGTCTGATCCACTAGGTAGTGGAACATCGTAAGGAGATGCAGTCCCATGGTAGCCGGTGACCAACGATTGGTTCATACGCCATTCGTTCCCGCAGGATACTGGAGCTCATGTGCACCATTGATTTGGGATCCGGTTATAGCGCCAGACATTTGCTTTCCGTCCTCTCATTTTCATAGACAACACCCCCGCCACGAGAAGGCAGTGAGTAGGACTTCCCTGGCAGAGGCTATATACGCATGGCCATGTGAGAGCATTTCGAGAGAGAGAGCGGACTCTCCCCGCTCTCGGCCGTACCAGGGCATTTGGGGGCAACCGATGGTTAGAGATTTTGAATGACACATCCGGTTTTTATTAAGGTAGCAAGTATCACTTCCACATAAAATAATGTAAAAGAATAACTGTATATGACCGTTTACATATGAATGGTGAACTCACTTCACTATCAACCGTACCAAGGTAATTGGTGAGCGAGAATCGCACTTAAAATAACCTAACGATTATGTTAAAACTGAGTATATTTTGCTGATGAGTACAAATCAAAATAAACTATTACTTGACATCCAACCGATTGTCTCTAATTAACTGATAAAATTACTTAATATCATCTTTTCCACGTTCATGTTAATCTTCCATTATCGTTAATTTTTTTTTTTACAAAATATATCATATTTAACCCTCAAAAACCTTTTCATATGGTTTTGTATTGTTTTTCACCACTCTGTTTTTGTTACTTAGTCCAACTATGATTCGATATGGTTACCAAAATATTCGTGATTTAATTGGTCCAAAAATTGATCTTAATATGATATACAAGGCACCATTGTGTCGAATGTATAAATGTTAGCGCCTGGTATTGTACGATTTAATACGGGTAAGTTATTTGTGGTAGTGCTAATAAATGATTCAGCCACTCAAAAATGTCACTGATGACCTTGACAGGTTTATATCTAAACGTCTGCAGCTTATAAACGATCAGTAACATAACTATAAGTAACTGATCACTAACTATAATAATACGACAAAACAATTGTTTTGTAATAATATGAGGTATTTCATTTAAAAACAACTAAATTTCACATTTTCCTTTTCATATTTTGTTCAAACATCAGTAATCTGTGGAGTCAACTGAGTTAAGAGTAAAGCTAGGTGTACACCGCTTACACTTGCAGATGATTATTCCGTCTCGCTAATTAACTAAAGTAAGAAACTGTTTGTCAATGAATCCTTAAAATAGACCAGAAATTATGTTTTGTACGTCCAGATTTTAAATGAACTGTAGTGATGAAGTCAGTTGATGTTGCTAACTATTTTCGAGCTTATTATGTCTCTGTAGAAACTGGATTTAATAATAAGATAATTACTAGCTAATATTAAACAAAATTTCGATGAGCATTAACCATTAGCTAAGTGCACATTTGCATCATTTCGAAACGTTTAGTGTTTCTCAAAGAGCACACAAGTGTTTTTTGAAGACTTGTAATTCGACATGTCTTATTTTATTGCAGACTAATTATCAACTTGTTCATTTTGGTAGCCAGTATTTTTATGTACAACCTGATTGTTGTTTCTCATCACCCTAGTGGATGTTTTGGTCATACATTGGAAGCGTACTGATATATAATCAGTAGTAACCTTAGTTCATAAAAATATCAAGACATTAGAAGTTCATAACTAGATTAACTTACAATTTTTCTGTTGGATTATGAGATTAAAAAACTAGAGCTGTGATCAATTATTCATTTCGATCAGCTTTCAAGGTCTACTTCTATCGTTGGTCGTTATCAATTGAAAGTGACACTTAAAACAATATCATTCATATACGTTTTTCTCATAACTTGTCAAACTGATTTACCAGCATGAAAACAGTTTCATAATATCTTAATAATTTGCTACTTCTCGTGCTAATCAAGTATTGTGATCCATTAATTCCCTTCATAATTTCTGCAAATATGCATCACTGTATGTTGAACAGATTTTAGTTAACTTATACCACTTAAAATCGATCCTACTAAAAATACTGATTTTATCCCATCAAGGCATGAAACTCATGCATCTTTCAACTACTTACTTAATTAAAGGTACGTTTTATCATAAATGTTAGCAACCGGCAAAAAAAATACATGAAGCTGCCATCCAGGGGTTCAGGTCTTTCTCTATTTTGCTCGTAAAATCCAAGGTATCTTGATTTCATGACAATTTAATGGTTAACTTCCACTAGTTTCTTATATATAGTTGTTTTTTAGATTATTACTTGATGTTGCTTAGATTAATGACTCAGCACAAGTTTAAACCTGCTTACTATTATTTTGCCAGTTAGTTAGTACTACACTTTGGTCGCCGAATAACAACAAGTCATTATCTTTTAACTCCAGGTAATGACGAATTTTTTCCAGAATATTTCTTGGAATCACCAGGGAAGATTGAAATCAGTGAACAGCCACTGCATCAGCGAAACCCTTGAAAGTATAGCGAAATACATTATAAAAATAACGGTCCGACTAGGGGAAGCGTCTTTAGTCGAGACAAAATTAAAACTCTTAATACGATGAAATTTGGTAGCAAAACAACTAAATTTTGGAAACGGCATTTTTCGGCGATTTAAACTAATTTAGTACATTTAACTATCTTCAGCACTCTTTGCACTATGTATGGAGATTACGCTTAGTACATAAGTTTGTGAAGGTGTTAAGTAATAGTATAACTAGTGGACTTCCAACTGCTGTTACGTGTTTTTATCATGGCCTTCAGACAGACATTACACAATTTCATCCCCTCATTTATATTCTTATCTCTGAACCTTCAACATTGATCTAAGAGGTGGTTTCTGGTACATAATAGACATGACAACCCAAGAGTGATTGGTTGTACGTGTGGAGGGACATCAAACCCACTTGTGCTAGGGAACTACACTCGCCCTATACTTTGAGTCAAGGTTTCTTTGAGTAGCAACAGCTTACTGCCTTCGGTTGCGATTCGAGTGATCTCCATCTACAAGTAATTCGTATCCAGTATTAGCAATATCCAACCGCTCTTCAAAAACTCACTAAGCTCCTTAAGTACAGTTTTCCTATCCATCCTAAAAAATTTGACATGCCACTTTCACCCGTTTTTTGTAAATGTAGTAGGAGTTTCAAAAACATAATCTTGATAGTCTTTGTAGAATTCATAGTTCATCTGTGTCAGTGTTAGTCCACACACAGATATGATAGAACAATATCTTTTAATCGGTAGGTCATATGCAACAGGGATAGTCTACAGACGCATCAGACCAGGTTAACGTGGTGTATGTGGCAACAGCTTGATTTGTTCATTATGGACTTAACTAACATCATTCATCCTGTGTTGTTTTAGCATCCAATTTTAATTTTTACTTATTCTGTTGTTACAGATAATGTAAATCAGAAATTACTTCCAGTTTATTAAAATTTACAAGGTAAACAATTTGTTTCTGTTAAGCAAGAAGTTATAGAAAGTAATTCTAGCCAACATTTTATTCCAGACATCTTGTCACCATTCCTAAATGACTATTCCCCCTGGTTGCACTACTACATCTTCAAGTTAATTGGTTAAGTTGTTTGATTCATGACTCTCTGAACTGTGATGTTAAATAAAATAAGTTTGACATGGATGCAACAAATAATAATTTCATATATAAAATATCTTGTGAAAACTTTGATTTTTCATAATATTGAAAGTAAATTGGTCAGATGTGAATACTTCTGTTGTTAACATTAGTTATATTGTTTTAATTTTCCCTCATGTTTTCTCTTTTTTAGAGTCTTATTCCATTGTGATTTAATTTTTGGCATCAGTTGTTTTCGCAATGTTTTGGAAGATATTTTTACATATGTCTGTAAATGTATACTGCTGTATGTACTATTGAATATCCTTGATAAAATTATAGAAGGCCAATTATTTCTAACTTGAAAGTTTGCTTGTCTGTTTTGTAATTACAACCATTATGATGTAACATTTGCATCCTGAGTCAGTGACTTACTAGTGTAAACGGTCGATATGTTCAGACTCAACTCCACCTTACACATTAATCTGAGCATCAAAATATTATCTTTGCAATTCTCGTACATCTTGGTACATGAACCATGTAGATAGGCTAGATGTACGTGAGTTGGAAACCTATTGATGGTGTATTTGACCACTACCTAATTTTTTTAAGCTCTATCATGATTATTAGTATATCAAAACTTCAGTGTCTACCAATACTGATAAATCCTATAGGTAGTTAGATTAGTAATTGAGTCTTCCAATCGCAAGTCGAAAGCAAGTGGTTTGTGTTAGGCTCTATTTTATTTAAAAGTCCATTGTATGTGTAAAATATTTGGAACGTACTTAGTCAGGAAAACGTTTGGGTTTTTCTGTTTTACTACATTTCCTAATCTCTTACTCTTGTGTCCGTGTTAGGTAACTCGCATCTCGAATATCCTACTGTTTTCGTTCAGTCAGACTAATTGCTCATTATAATCATTCAATCATATCTCAGTCATATTGTTGCTTTCTACTGTACTCTACTCTATAGTTTGAGTCACTACACCTTGTTTATTTCGCATATTGTTTTTAATTAACAGACCTGAAAATTTACCCCGTGACCTCTTGGAAACTGGCTGTTCGATTCCAGATGAATTCGCATAACCGAGCTTATAGTTTCTAGTGAGGGAAATTACTGTACATTGTCATATCGTCTGAACTATAGTGTTAAAATAATAATAGAATCGGTCATGATCAACTTAGGTCCTGGAGTAAGTGTGTGTTGCCACCGGTTTGCGAACAGCAAGGTTGGTGCGATGAATTTTGGTAAGGGTTAGATGCATCTGGATTATTGTGGCTGGCTCTTAGCTATATCACCCATAGGCTCTAGTCACCGATCATGGTTATCTCCTTCACGCTTTTACGTAGTGTGCGTCTACCAACATGAACCCGGTCAATAAATGGTAAGCACGTCATGGACTCATGCCGAGTATGTTTATCCACCTGTTTTGCCAACTCATCAGCAAACATTTTCTGTCTATGTAAATCACTATCAGGCATGGTAAATAAATGCTTCAAACCATCCCTGTCAATAAAAGTTCATCACCGAATTGACATCCTTTCCAACATCGAGGTGTTCATTTTAGTATTTTCCATTTAATCGTTCAACTGTGCCAGAGTAGCAGTTCAAAGACCTGCGTGTTTTCATCAATGGTGTTTCACAGCTGTAGTGTAGATATTTATTTTATTCATGTCCAGACCAGATGCTACCTTGAAGTGGTGGTCGGACTTCCCCTTCATGATGTTTCAAACGCCCTATGTTGACTGGGACGCATGTTTCTTTAAGTCTTACCATATCAGTTAGGTCAGTCGAATAAGGGTAAATCTAAAAGTAACAAGATACCATCCGAGTGAAAAGTATTACCAATTGCAGAGGTGTGCAGTTACAGTAGGTTTTTTTCTTTCGGACAACAGCACATGCACTGGTGCTGCGTTCTCACAATGCAGGAGGGGTTTAGGAAAAGTTGACGCAAAAATATCGAATCTCGACTTACTCCACAAACCTTCGGCTGCAAAGATTTTAGAATTATAGAGCCAACACATCAGAACTTCCCATAGATAAACCATTATCAACTAACCTCAAGGAGTTAGCCGTTGGATCACGCGGAAATCATAAGGTCACTGGGATTTTCACCACTTCGGCTTATCTTTCAGAATTTCGAAGTTAAAACATCTTTACATAGTGTGGGTGTCCGATAGATGGCATCCACCCTCGTACCTCTAGCAGCATCCGGGATCATCTTGATCACAACCAAATCCATCCTTCACATCTTAACAATTCCTCTATCCCCACAACCGAATATTCTCGTGTATTTTTATCACCACACGCTACCAATGCTAATGACTTCAGTCCAACAAATGTTGTTATTGACCTCCTGATACTACCTTCCAAACTACGTGTTCGAGAATAAGTAGCAAGATGATACCTCGGCAAAATACTAAGGGAAATGGGTCCGTGGCATCGTATTTCATTGTTAAACGAGTGAACTCAAAGTCATCTGGTCGTGAGAATGTGTTCGATATAGTTGGTAAGGAGGTCTTGCGTCATCGAGACAAGTGAAGACAAATGGTAAACAGGTGTCTATTGTTGCCATTTTTATGTGGATCTCATCTCAGTAGAGGCACAGTGGAAACCTTGGGCAACTTGAACTTTTAGAACGGTTTATCTGTGCGTCATGGACCCGTGCTGTGAATGTTTGTCTGCCTGCCTTATTAACTATTATACCAGCTAACGTTTTCTGTCGATGTGGGTGGTCGTTAGATATATCTGCTTTGTCCGCGCATACGGTTGAATAATAATAGTTCTCTATATATTCCTGTCAGTCCTATGTATCAGGATGCAAGTTATAGGTTTAAGCGTTATGCTATAGGCTACGATGTCCTTTGTTTCTATTCGTTGTTTCATTGCTTGTTGGAATTTTATGTTTCTTTCATTTCCTGTCCTTGCATAACATATACTTGTTTTAACTGCTTATTTGTTGTGTACTTTCTCCTCAATTTTCTTTCAGTCTACTTCTTAGTTTATTGGAGAGCATACATGGTGAAGGCATTGTCACCAAAACTTACACAATAATTTTAAGAACGACTAGTAGGGGGGTTAATTTAGGGAAAAGTGACGAGTCAGTAAGTCCTATCTAATAACAACGTTATGAGTGAATTCACAAGTACCCTAGAAACTCGACTATGGTTCGATTTGTACAACTCGGTTAACTTGACTAGATTACGAAAACCTGGTCTTCAACTAGACACTGAGAACCACAACAGAGATTTTCACTCCTAGAACGACTAGTAAGAAAACCATTAGGAGAAAAACTTTTCAATCCCGTGAAGCAGCTTACTCAGGATAACAATGGTTACTGCACCGTATGTTCGTTTCTATTTAAAACCGAGAAATCAGAATAGGGGTGCATTTGTTCTAGTATCTGAGTCTACCGTTGGTTTGAATTTGCAATATTTAAAAGTATTACAGGTTTAAGTTACACCTGCCGACGGCTCTGTTACATATGCAAATACTACTAAAACGATACCCGAAGCGAACTGGGAAGCGAAGGATTCATCACTGTACTCCATCTATCCACCACAGCCCAAAACTCACAGAATACCTTGAAAACTACAACCTGGGCACACACTTTTGGCAGTAGGTTTGGATGATTAGAGTTCAAAAGTAAACCAGCAACATCAAAGAGAAGATGACTAGAAAATAGGATGGCCTTTGGTCAAAAAAAGTGGAGGCAGATATTGTGTGATGCCAGAGTGACACTTTTACAAACTGTGGATTCTATGTTGTAGCTCAAAGCCGTCCTCAATTTAGAAATCAGTGGCCGTTGTCAGAAGATCGTCAATGAACCCTTAAGGACCAGTCTGCATGGTGATCCGCAGGGTGCCTGAGTTGTTGAGTGGTATTACTTATGAAGCCAACCGAGATTATATGCAACAGTGGCGTTAGATATTACGTATCATAGTCCTTCATACTAATCAGATAACTAGTGCTTCTTGATTTCCTCGTCCGTTAAGACTAACGACCATTAAATTTGTGTGAATGATAGCCATAACACTCAGAAACCGAAAATACTAAAATGAAACTCTCCAGGCATGCTAAACCTTGAAAAATGACCTTTTGATCTATAGATGATGTTGTGAGAGCCGGTCCAGAAAAGTCAAAAATGATGTATTTCGATGTAAGTTTATCTTGATATAGAACCCATGATATATGGAATTAAGGTCACTGTCCATCGGATGGGAAGCAATACACGGGCGGAAGTCTTTCAGAATCCCGTTTACGCAGAACCGCCCACACATTCCAAACAGCAAATTTTTCATAATCCCATATCCAGTTGAAACATCAATTGATAAGGAGAAAAAACGATCAAAAGTTTCCACAATAATGTGAGAAACTATATAGATAATTTAGGACAAATCAGAAACGAGTGCCTTCGCTTGATTATGAAGACCATAGTACTAACTGAAACATGTCTCTCCTACATGATCACTAGCGCATGATTGAGCACACAGAGCTTGACACTGCTGATGTGACAAAGTATATTAAACAGGAAATGAACTGAGGATAAACATTGTAGCGGTAAATAAATCCCCAAAGTAAATAGCTCTGTAAGTTTTCTATATTGGATGCTGACCACATTAGTTTTAATGGACTCACCTAGCTGAAGTCGATCGTTCGTGCATCGACCTTTTCAACCTCGTCCAGTTTCAAAAGGAGACACTGATCTTCAGCACAAGTTATCAAACAGATGGGAACAGGCATGGAAACCTTACTGCGTGACACATTTACAGGTAGGGATCGCCTAATCGTTCCGAAACATTACCAACGCACCGTCTTCGATACATTGTACAAACCTTTTCATTCAGGTGTTTGTGCAACCACCGAGCTTATAGCAGAACGTTTTTGCCGGCCTGGTATGAACAAGGACGTGGGGGAGTGGGCACTCTTCCGCGTAAGCTGCCAGAAATCTAAGGTTATTAGACACAACAAATGTCCCATGTTTCCCTTAAAACTCCTGACGCTCGTTTCGACCATGTTCATTTGGATTTGGTGGGACCTTTACCAGATTCAAATAAATACTCTTGTCTCTTAACCTGCGTAGACCGTTTCACTCGATGACCAGAAGCAGTACCTATCAAGAACATCACTGCTGAAACAGTGACCCGCGCCTTAGTCGAACGATGGGTAGCAAACTCCGACTGTCCGGCAACAAACACTACAGATCGTGGACGTCAATTTGAATTTGAACTTTTTCGTTTTCTGACAGCAGTATTAGGAATCACTCGCTTCCGAACGACGGCCTACTGTCCAAAAGAAAACGGGTTAGTAGAACGCTTTCACCGACAGCTAAAAGCTTCACTATCAGACGCAAACATTTCTCAGTGGACTGACGCTCTTCCAATCGTCTTATTAGGTATTCACAACGCAGTGAAAGCTGACGTTGGATACACTGCAGCTCAACTCGTTTATGGAACGACACTTCGACCTCCAGGAGAACTCGTGGATCCTTTGTCTTCTTCATTGAACATGAATCTAACCTCCTACACGAGCGGGCCTACAAACGCAATGCGTTCAGTTAAACCTGTTGTGAAGTGTGATCGATAGACGAACACACCAATGATTAAGTGAAACGCCCACCACCACATTACCTTTTCTTGACCTTGTATGACTATACCTTGTTTATTCACCAATCATAATTTTATGTTCATTATGAAACAATATTCGCCTTGCTGACTCATTTTTTACTATTCTCTGGTTACTGTTCGGTATGTTAATTATGTCTCTGTTTTCCTTGTGTTGATAGACTGTACTGTTTATTTTGTATACTAACGGTGTGTAATTTATGTTTTAGAAACAGATAAAGTTTATAAAGCCAAATAGCTTACTTGTTCTGACTTTGGCTAACGCAAGACTCTGTGTTCGACAGTTTAGAGAATAGCTTAGTTACATCTGTAGGAAATTGCTTCCTACACTGTTTCCACTGGTGTTTTCGTTCAACCTGACATACGATATAATACACACGTCTTCGTACGTCGAGACTCAAATCGACGACCACTCGAATCAGCATACAAAGAAACTTTCAAAGTTCCTCAACGCGAACCTAAGCACTATATAATCGATAAGAATGGAGCCAACGATAGCATCAGCATCGATTTCCTCAAAGCAGAGTATTTAGGAAGAAGTCCTATTCACGTAAATTTTTCTTCGGCACAATCGCACGACACGACTCCCACAATTATAATACCACAATCGACAGCCAACGCACTCGGTGATACTTCGGCAGTATCAGAAAATAAACTTAAAACAACGCGTTCTGGATGAAGAGTAATACTTAGAGAAAATTTGAACGATTATTGCACGTAAGATACAATTTTACATTTTATTTCGTCTCGATTTTCCCTTGTATGATATATAATTCTAAAACCATATTCAATATGCTTATATATATTTATTTTTATTTGAAAAAAAGCAAAAAAAACCATATTATAAAAATCCTTTTTTTACGCTATTACATGTGTATGAGTTCATTTTGCATTTTTTTGCCCGCTTTGTGTTTTTACGCGCGTACGAGTGTATTTCGACATGCACTTACATAATCTTTTTATTCTTTTCCGGAACGGCTGGTAAAGACGATAAAAAGAAAGATGGAGTTTACGAGAAACGGAAATTTTCATTGTACTTTTTCATTTTTACTATATTGTACCTCATGGTCCCTTATAGTAAGGAAAGACGACCAGACGCTGCTAAGCCTAGCAAGCTATCAGAAGAGTGTTTACCAACGACAAACTCGTTGGGTTTAGACTTATGGCTGGCCACGTCTATGAGTCATCGATACCCCACTAAGGGTGAAGTGATCTGTAGCGGTAAATAAATTCCTAAAAGAAATAGCTCTGTAAGTTTTCAACGTTCGGTGCTGACCATATATGTTTTAATGGACTCATCAAGCTGAAGGCGCTCGGTCATTCATCCACGACAGATCACGAGGGGGAACACCGTGCTCAACGTCTACTGAAATTGCTAGCCAGATTAGATCAGACGATCCTCGATATGTTGATAGCCTATCAAATATATCTTCGAGCCTCCTCGCTTCTGTCTTTTGATTTCACTTGGTGGGTACGTTTGTTATTAGGTGTTACTGGTTTAATCGTTGTCAAACTCAGAATACCTGTGGCATCTTCAACATTGAAAAGTATTTGAAAGGCTTAATAACACACAGTACCGAGTTGATCGAGATAATGGAACCATGATGTTTTTGCTTCAACGTGAACGTCGTCATGCACTTTGTTGAAGGAATTCGGCGGCTCGGAAAAATAAATTAATCCAGGTGCCACAATAATTGGCAAAATTACAGTCCAACCAGGAATTTTTAGCTGTAGACTTTAACATTCCTTCCCTCAATCGCAATTATCACGTTACAGCACCTACAGAGTGGTTGCATGAACTGCTTGAAATAGGTATTAAACGTGCGTGTTAACTGAGCATATGAATAATGCCACGAGATAGGGTAAGGTCGGAAAACCATCAAAATTAGACCATTTTCTAAGAAATAATCAATTTTTAGTCAGAGACATCCATATCAAGCCAACACTAGAGAGTAGTGAACATAGCACGTTCACATTTAATGTGAGCACAAACGAAGGGACCAGATGAAATGACCACATCATCGTCAGTAATTAGCTTCAAAAGGCAACTTGATGGACTAGTTCTTAATCATCGATTACCATCGACTGTTTCGACTAGCTTCACATGACCCGTGTCATGTAACTTAACTACTATCATAATTAACATATGCTAGAATCTTATTCCCATCTCGTTCATATTTAACTTCATTCTTGCTTTTATTCTTGAAGTTCAGCTTTTTCATAGTGTCTCCTTCATCTCATAATCAACCCAATTATTTATATGGGTAGTTCTAGAAACAATCGTCTCTGTTTTGCATTCGGATTGTTACTTTATTAAACTCCATATTACACTCATGCCGATCACAAGATACTCAAACCGAAAAAAGCTAGCATAATGACTAGGACTAATGCAAATGAATGGCCAGGCTACCGACCATTTGACACTGTCAAATACCTGGAACGTTGCAGAAACGATATGAAGAGAGCTCAAATCAATCAACCGATTGATATAAACTTGCATTAAAGATATTGTATATTGAATGAGTTGATTGGTCGCTAGGATATTGGGCGATTTCTCAACTAAACTTTCTATACCCAGAATTTACTAACTTCTCATTCGTTCATCACATTATTTTCATTTCATGTTTCTGCAATAACTTGTATTGAGTTTGCTTGTTTTATTTCCAAAGCACAAACAAAAAGACCCAGAAGTAGTTGTAAGTTATGATTTTAAAATAACTGTTCACTGCAATGCAACAGCCGCTATTGGTTTCTGAGTATTACGGTCTCTTCGCATAGCTTTAAAATGTATCGCTAAAGATGCGTTTCAGATTTTATAGATTGTCCATCCAAATGGATGCTTATAAGCAGCTAGCTCATATTTAATAAAAGATGCTGAGACACGTGAACGTGTTCAACGTATGAAAACTAAGTTGGTGAGGAGTCTTTGTAAAGCATTGCAACGAGCTATTAAGGCGATTAAACATTTTCCTTTAATCTAATTATGGAGTTCGAGGTAACCTTGTATTGGCATGGAATGTCTATACAGTTTTGTATCCCAAATTGTGATTTAGGTGTAAACGTATGCTATATTTTCTGTCTTTCAGGGAATAATCATCTGTGAGGCCACAGTAAGAAGCGTTCAGGAGCTGTAGTAGAACAAACTCAATTTAGGGTTCCGTTTTCTAATCTTGTGGCCAACGATTAGAACTCCCTACCCAAGCAAATTGTTTCAGCAACATTGTCACACATTTTCAAGGAGAAACTGCATCGCTAGTTAGCACGGGATAATAAGGCTATTCTTACCACCGAAGACTTGCGTAGCAGTTGCTAGTAGGTTCTTATTGTTTTGACAATGTATTACCTGCTTAATATGTTCTGGGATCATCCTAGGGCTTATGATTGTCATTATTATTTTTCTTCATTAATTTGTGGAATTTTTCCCATCATATACAGTATTAACTGTAACGTAACCATTGCTACATGTTTTTTTTATTCTTACTAAGTGATTTTTAATTTATTTTCGTATTACTCAATGGGTAAGACTATAGCTTACTGTCAGTAAGTTTCACATGTAAATACTGCATAAACAAATGTCTTTACTGTTATGCACTTTTTGTTTCGGTTCGTTATAATATGTCTCATTTTCACCTATTCTTTCTTTGATATTTTTAAAAATCTAATGATGTTAATTGTTTAAGAAATTCTGAGTAGGAAAAAGCTTAACAGGATTATTTAAAATTACCTTCATTTATAAAGTGGTTCTACTTTACATAGTGACTAGTAGTAGTATACTGAATATTAGATAACAATCAGTTGTACTAGCTCAGGATTCTTGTTTATAGCATTTTGGCGTTCGAGATGCCAAGTGAGTTCACGTATCTATGTAGCCATGATTAGCCAGAAGTATATCCAATTGACAAATAGCACTGAAGATGAAATGCACCCCCTGGATTTAACAACAACTCCTATCCATCTCATCTTTGCTTCATTCACGAGTCTCGACAAGTCAATGACCCTAATAACGTACCGTTTACCTTTTGCATGGACTACGTCAACAGCCAACCTAGTGAATTGCTTACTCATTATTAAATGTTTACCAAATTATGTTAATTGTATCAACAAATATTTTGAAGTCTTAAAGTCCAAATATTCCGTAATTTTATGAAATATCAAAGTTTGTGGAAACTTTTGGCTTGATTATTCCTGAAACATGCAGTGTAAAGACCACCCAAGCTTTTCGTCATACTTTGTTGTTGCCACATGCTTATAGTCTGTATTTCAGTGGATAAATGACCCAGGCTTACTCATCAGTTACGGACTGACCACAATTCACATCGTCAGCTACTTAGCCCACATAAATTTCTTTCAAGTAAATAGTTTATTCAAAGTTACTGTTATTACATTTGACTTACAAAATTAGGTGACGTTTTTCCAGCTCATAACAACTATATATCATTTCCATATAACAATAGTTGATTTCGTTTTAGGAATTTTATTATGATGAGCAATGAAGGAGTACCTCTTTCAAAACTAAATAGCTCCAATCTATTATTAACTACTTCTCAATCAACGGATTTGGATGATCATGTGAGTGAGAATAGACTATTAAAGCTGAAGATATTAGAACTTTCATCAGAATTACAAAGGAATATGATTTATTTCAATCGACGTTTAGGGTAAGTATTTAAATTTTTCTACCAATCATTTCAAACTGAGTAATGCACTTTCAAAGCAAAAAAAATGATAGCCAACTGTTTATAAAATTCACCGTTTGCACGCATATTGTTCACTGATGAGTATTGTTGAAACCAACCATCTATGATATCGATAGAAGTATAAAAAAGAGTAATCGTATCCCATGTATTTGACAATATGGAAAACCCAAATCTCTTCACTAGTTCACTCAAAATTACAGGTACACTGTCAAGTGTCCACTAGGACGAAACCTAGGTTCAGGAATTCCTGCCGATCATAGGAATCTTAACAAAGTACATGAGTTCTTATCTGTCGTGTGTAAATAAGTTACTAACTTTCTGATTATGAGGCGACGTTCTTCAGTAAATATCTTGTGAGCACTAGAAAATTATTTCCATCATGCTGTATATTCTCAACCAATTTTGGGCGCTACTTATTCCGAAATAGAGACCATCATTCAGGCAATCTCACCAGTATTTCTTTTTCTCCAGAATGCCTGGCGTTTTTATCCTGCAGAAGGAATTCGCTCATCCCACTTTTCAGTCTTTTAACGCTCTGGCAGAAATAGAATAGACTAGTACTTTCAAAGGTCTAACGAAATTTTTTGCTTGAACTTTGGAATATTGATGTTCAGGACCATTGAACAAACATTTAAATGCCGTGCATGCAGTGGTCAAGTTCTTGAGTAAATTGTCGAACTTTTCTTCAGTAGTCAGTTGAGAAAGTTATACTCTAGATATCCGTAAAATCTGTGGCCTAACCACGGATAATCCATTATCACTGTAAAAAACCTCAAAGTAATATATTTAGGATTTTCATCTGCAATCTGCAAATTACAACATCAGTTAGTTGTATATTTGTATTCAGCGATGTCTTTGTCTGAACTAGTGTTAAGAAATGAAGTAGTTGAACTCATCAACTGCTCCACTTATCTTGAGATTCTCATCAGTACTGATGGTCTGGTGTCTCACGAAACCTCGGCAAAAATTCAGAAGGCTTGATTGGCTCTTGACAACTCGCGTCACTTTTAGCGTAGGTGAGATATCCGTCTGCAAACCAAAGGGCGAGTTTACCATGCAGCAGCTCACTCTGTCCTTCTTTATGGATATGAGGAATGATCATAAAGAGTAGAGGATATTCGTGGATTACTGGTATTCGATCATAGGTGTCTACGAAGCATTGCTCGTGTATTTTGGGACCACAGAGTAAGTAATGCCTGGACTAGAAATAGGGTAATGTGTAATGATGTCGAATCGATAGACAAGAGAGTAAATTTTGATTAATTGAGGTGGTTGCAACATGCGTTACGCATGCCAACCCACTACCTATCTCAGCCAGCGATGTTTTCTGGTGCAGGAGTAGGTTGGAAGAAAACTATATGAGCCAAACCAAAACATGGAATCAGTCCATGAAGTCACTGACAACTAGACTTAGCAATGTTAGTAGGTATAGACTACCTGGTTGGAGTCTGCGTGACTATTGTAATCAGTGGTTGCAGGCTTTGAAGGTTATGGTCCAGAATCGTCTGCAATGGTGCAGGTGAATCCATTTGTTGTATATCCCTAAATTCTGAACTTCTAGATTGGTCATAAACTTCTCCATGTTTTTATTTCACTAGTTTATATTTTGTTTTTAAATCGTGTCGTTAATGCTCAATCTTTCTTATTACTACTGATACTGTTACTACCTCTACTATTCTAGGATTTTACCTGACTAGGCTATATGTTGTGATCAACTGACTGAAAAAAACCAACATACTCAACCATAACTTGTATATGCATGGTCTAATATATCGTTTAATGCAACATTATATCCATGGTCTGAAGAAGACAATGGAGACAATTATTCACTAAAATATTTCTTGCCTTTTCGAAATTTAACAGTTGACAATCAACAGTGATTCCTTAAACAAGTGTTCACTAGGCCAGAAGTGATGAACAGATGTCAAACAAACACCAAGCAGACCTATTTGAGAAGAGGTATGACTTAAACTCATGAAAAAATATCAGGGCAAAACAAATAAAAATGAACAACTTACCCCATATCACAAAGTATCCTACAGAATTCTGATCGTACACGCAGAAGAGGATGAAGATGTCCAGATGGTAAAGCGGCACCAAGAGAGTAAAAGTTATAGGCCTTAAATTGAGCTGTTTGCCATTCTCCACTACCAAAAATATATGCACAAACCACATGAAAACAGACATAGTATAAAATATTGCTATTTTGGATATAGTTTGCAGGGGAACAAATTAGTGCATCAGTTTATTCTCCGATAGTAGTCATAAAACTCGTGGGCTGAGATACAAATTGCATGAACCACATCTAACTAGTGTATTTCATACTTTCAAAGCTTAATGTATTTCTGAAAGACACTGAACGTTTGTCAATTAAGCGCGATTTAAATAGCTTGCGTATTATCGCACAATATGACAATATCATCCACATACTCAAGGTCAAGTCTTTCTTTGGGAAACGGATCTACACCATTACCACGTAGCTTCTTTAAGGCTGTTTTCAGAACGTCATTCAAAAAGAGGTGGTAGTATGAAAGCGTTTCGAGGGAGGACGGACTTTTTCTGTCCTTGGTTGTACCACGAAATTCGGAGACGGTACAACTCGGCGACCTGAGATGTTATCAGATATAGCTCAGAATAGAAACCAATGAAAATCTTGCTGTAGTTTTCTTTGAATCTCTCGTGACAGAAAGAAGCTTCTCTTAGCTGTCTTATGAACTCAAGTGTACTTTTCATTATATACTGTTTATATTTACCTTCGTCTCTTTGATTTTACTCAATTTCCATTATTTTCTTTTCATAATGTGGGCTCCGTATTTTGTGTAGCGCATTCTATCCTGTCGCATAGTTGTACCAGATTTGTGTGTACTAAATAAATAATTATTTTGGCGACTCTGCGTACCGGAGTTTCTTTACGTCTTATAAGTGAACAAGGATAACTATCAAATTTGTCTTCAGAGTAATTAACTAGACGAAATAATTGTTTGCTCTAACTGGAAAGATGTACGCACATTATACTTCTCAATACACATTGTTGAGATCACTAACTATACTTACTTAGTTACGAATAATAAGAATAATCTGTTGAGCTGGGACCATGTGTCCAAAGTACATGTTTACACCTTTTAGTATCATGTTTGAGAGTGACTTAAAAATTGATTTGGCAAAGATGGATGGTGGCTAGCGGTGGAATTTCCATCGAAATCTGTCCTTGAAAATTCTTTTCAATTGTTTTCTGTTGCTATTTTTCCTTTTGATGTCTACTTCCAATTTTCGGCACAGTGTGTTCTTTGGCTTTTCTCTCCTGCGTTAGCGCTTGCCTTGTAATGCAGTTTGATAATTTCCGCAATGTTTGTCTTATCCACTTTCATCGTCTTTTAATTTTGTTGGTTGCTTTGTTCTCTCCCACAGTAGGCTGTTGCCGATGATACCTGACTAACGGATATTGAGTATCTTGCGTAGACGATTGTATATAAGTACTTGTTGTTTTTATGATTGTTGGGGTTAGTTCTCTAAGATTCAGCTTTGTGCATTAGAACTGTCTTGACGTTCGTAGTGAAGATTCTCACTTTTATGTTGACTTGAAGACAGCCATTTTGAGTTGCATATGTTCTTCAACTGTGGGAATGCTGCCCTCGATTTGCCAATCCTCGTTCTTACGTCTGCATTAGATCCTCCTCGTTCATCGGTGAACGTTTCCACCTCTTCCAAAGTTTCTTCGACAACTGTAATTGGGTTGGTGTTCTTCATGTTGTATTTGAGGATCTTACTTTTTTCTTTGTGTACGTTGAGGCCTAGTGTTGCAGGGGCTTCTGCTTGATTGGTTGTTATCGTCTGCATTTATTCGCGTGTATGGGATAGAAGGTTCAGGTGATCTTTGAAGTTCAGATGGTCTAGTTGCACCCAAGCTGTTGATTGTATTCCTTGCTTCCCGTCAAATGTGGAGGTCTTCATAATCTAGTCAAGCACCGGAAGAAAAAGAAAAGGCAGGAGTAAACAGCTATGTCTGGCTCCGGTCTTCATTTGGAATGCGTCTTTCAGCTGTCCTCCATGCATGAATTTACAGTGTAGTCCATCGTATGAATTCCGGATGATGTTGAAGATTTTTTAAGGTACTCCATAGTGTCGAAGAAGTTTTCATAATGTTTTCTTATCCACACTGTCAAATACTTTCTCATAATCAATGAAGTTGATGTATAGTGACGAGTTCCATTCAATTGATTTTTCAACGATGATCTGTAGTGTGGCGATTTGGTCTGTGCATGACCGATCCTTTCTTTGGTATCTTGATGAGGTACCCTTCTTTCCAGTCTGTCACACTGATTTGTCAGTCATTTAGGATCACCAGGAAGTATTTATGTATATTCCGCGCTTGATTTGTAACATAACTTACATCATCATCTAAGATCATGGAGATACACAACTCTTCAGAAAAGTAAATTCAGATATTAATTTCCTATTTATTAAGCTTTCAGCTTCTTGTTTTTTTAATGACCAATAACCCATTAACTTGATGAGCAGGAATTTCTATCTGGCGGATTTAGCATTAGGCTAAGAAAAGGCTTTTACGTACTTTGTGTGAAAACTGAGATAAATTTTGATGCCCCATAAACTTTATTCACAAAACTTACCATATTTCAAACGGATGTAATGCAGTTATTGCATTTGGGTTCTACAGGAATAAACTGACATATATATATACATACGTAAAGCTTACTTATAGAATATTTATCCCTTGAATATCTCATTATCAAACAATCAGTACAGTTTTCTGCGAGGTTCTGAGTAGATATTTGTCATTGGATAAATCAAACAGGAAATAACTCACATCATATATAGGTAGTGGAGTTGTTGTTTAGTGATCAATTCATAGATTTAGAACTCGTCTCTGTGAATTCATCATCAACTTTCACCTATTTATATACTGTCTATAGCCTTTTGTAAGTAAACTTCTGTGAAGTTTATGATTCTTGACTTTTATTAGACTACTTTTAATACGAGTTATATTTTATTGTAGCCTAGAAGTTCAAAATGCCAAAGAGACATCATCCTCCATTGTGAAACATTTGATTGAGACTGGTCATAAGGTTGACATCAAGTCATCATTTGTAGTGTTAAACATGTTAATGTTGTGACTTAATCAGTAAAGTAGTTTTACCACATACACTTATTTTCAGGGCGACTGAATATGAACTGGAACAGTGCAAAAAAACAAATAAAGATTTGTTAAGCAAACATAATTTAGAAATTCAATCTTTGCAACATGAGGTATGGGTCTTTTGCATTGTAGATTTTTGTATCTAAATTGTTTTTATATATCCTTGATTGTATCACTAAATTCGTCATTACAGCATTCAAGGACTCCAAATAGTCGATTTTATGAATGTGATAATCAGATACAAATCTGATATTTTTCTAAAACAAGTAATATTTAAACCTGCTCACTCCAACCTTAGCTGAACATGTGTATTGTCCAATCTACTTAGAAATACTGTCTTTGGAAGTTCTTAATATATCAATTTATTCTGTGTATTTAGGACGAGTACTTAAGACCCTAGTGAAGTATTACAAATTCGTTCCATATCTGTCGACTAAATAATGCTTTTCATGGGCACATATTTACGGACGTCGTGGAGGTTGCACATATTGATTGAATCGTCAATAGCAGTTGTTTATCTGATGTTAGGTTGGAAGGTTCTCTCGAGGAGAAGAGAAACTGACTTAAAAAACGTTGTTTCTTCATAATCTTTCCCTACATCTGGACAAATATGAGCCTGGGTGTAATCACGAATGAGTCCTGTCAATATTGTAGTGATCTCAGGAAACCCCGTTCAACAAATACTGTGGTTCTAACTAGTAACGTAGATCCTCAAATAGGCGGTGTAGGGATGTAAGATAGTAGCTTCTTGTTCAACGTGAACTTTGTGTTTGGAGGTCAGATGACAATGGTCACTTTCGGCAATTCTTTGCAGATGATAGCCTGTTTGTTCTCAGAAAGAACTTCGAACACAGTCGTTGCCGACATACTACTCGCTCCTTCTGGAATACTTATCTATTTCAAACTTGTCTTGCGTTCCAGAGACCAACAAACTTAATATACTAAACAATTCGACGTAAATAAACTGACTTTAACTTCCATTGCAATCAAATGTCTGAAGATGTCACGGATATACAGTGCATAAAAACTCCGTCGCTCGAAACTTCTATGCCTGGAGTCAGTTAAACTAATGGTCAATAAAGATGGGATGAAAATGTATACTTCGATTATGGTCAATGTGTTGAGGTATGTGCAATCTGAGCCAACTAATTATTAAAGAAATGAACAGCTCGGACTCCTTAAACATGATCCCTGACTGGGCGCCTTCAGCTAAAGATGTGTCTCGTAGGACTAATACCGCCAGCATCAATGTTAAACTCTTACAAAACTACCTATTTTGAGAATTTATTTACTGTTACATATCAAACCAAGTCAGATTCAAGGTTATCTACCAGTTCACCAAAATCTGTAGATGAAGAGTGACTGGGTTCGCATGACGTCATGTAACTGACAATTGAGTGCGCTCGAGGCTTCGTAGAACACTCCTCTTATAATTACTGGGTTTTCCTAGATACCCTCAACTCCTTAAAACCTAAAAATATAGTCAGTGTGTTGATTTTACATCGAGATTTAACTGATAGTAGTTCACGTAAAAAACATTCTATTTAGTACAACACAAGATTGTATGGGTATGTATGTATTTGTGTAATAATAAGTCAATCTCAAAAAGGTGGTATACTCCTCATGTTATTCATTATATTGGTTATAAATTTCTAGAATGAAACATATCGTAATCAGATATCAATCTTAGAAATTGATTTGGAGCAGCATAAACAAACCGTTCAACTTAAACAAGATAAAATTGATCAAATGGAAGCATATTTAGCTAAACTGCCAACACTAGAAGATTATCAAGAAACTTTAAACAAGGTAAATATTGTTCCATCTTAGTAGTATGTGTCAGTATATTTAAGAAGCTGTAGTGTCTGTCATTATGTTAAGCCCAAATACCTCATTATTCCAACTTCCGGACAGCCCATTCTATTCATTCTATTTGAGTCACATTCTGACCTTGTTAATTATTCGCTTATCAATATCTTGACTGTGTTTGTATGAGCGCGTAGGCGTATGTACACTTCTTATCCCGTTACTCATCACATGTCTGTAATTTATTTTTGTGTGCTTATAAATATTGATTAACTCTTTGTTAAAGGGAGAGTTGGCTTACCAGCCGTCTCCACCGCTCGTCAATTTAGCTTCGCTTTCTCATCTTCGCATCGTTCCTCCGTTCGTTTGTCTAATCAACAATTATACAAAATATATGCATTCAAAACTCCATTCTCGTTATTTGACTTATTTAATTCCGTTATTAACTAACGCGATTTAAGTCAATGATTATATACGAGGATAGACGATAGCAACCAATCATTACGATCAAATTGGAGTCAGATCACGGGCCACTAAAATGATGAGCCCGCCACCACAAGCGAACACAACAGGCTACTAAAAAGCCTTAACTACTATAGTAACTAATGTAATTGAATTAATTCAATATTAGTGACTAATTTTTTAATAAGATGATTGTTCTCTTGAGTATGTTAAGTTGATTGATGATACAATTTTTGCCATTATCCAAATTGCATCTCTGTGCCAATGTGGTATGGCAACTTGAACTGATGTACGTACGTACGAAGTTCTTCGTTGTTACTGACTGACTGATTATCCGAAATTCCAGTTTTGTTTCTTTTAGAAACTTTCAAGATAAATAAACTTCATTCTAAAGAAAATTGCTTTTAATAAATTTTGAGTATTTTTAATTTTAATGCAAAACGATGAACAAGTCCAAATAGATGACAATGTTATTCTAAGAAATTAGTCTATTTAATAAATTTAGATAGTGTACTAAAAAGATGATACATTTCAAGCAATCTAATCACGCCTGATTGAATCTATAAAATGAATAAATAATCTTAAATGATGATAGGTTTGAGGCGATTACTAGTTCACTTAATCTGCGAACGGAACAAAGACTTGTGACCAAAGACCAATAATCTAGCCATTCTGATGCGTCCCAGCCCCGCTAACTAGAGAGATAAGTCGAAGTCTGAACGGAGAAGTATATTTCGCAAAAAGCCAGAAGCACGGAGCGACACAAATCAAAACGTATATATACAGCACAAAACCGTCCTTGGGAAGCATTACAAAATAGCATACTAAAAGACACAACGAACCAATAGCATTTAAGATATTTCCCAGTGGAAAATACAACGTGAAGGTGACAAGAGCACTTTTGGTGCGAAAACAAAGAAATTCAAATTTTCAAAATAAAATTACAAAATTAGGACCTTTTTCAAGTTAGTTCTGGGGATCTAACGTTCACAACAGATGAATATCCTAAAATTAATTACCTTATCAGATTTAATATAAATAAGTGTAAACACTGTTTTCTATTGTTAAATGCATACAGTTGTTGGTTACAATTTCATCCAAGTTATTCAGTATACCGGTGTTTAATTAGGATAACATTGTTTATTTATTTATCTAAACACATAAACGTTGATATATGGAAGCACCAAATTGATATGCGTCATATAAACCATTGGATTTGTGCGAGGGCTGGGATACTACCCGGATGCCCAAACCGAAGCAGGTGGTTTTGTTCGGGGGCCACACCTGAGGCATTTGATCTAAGGGTCTAATCCACATGATAGTGGAGCAACGTCAGGAGATGCCATCCCATGGTAGCCGTTGACTAACAATAGGTTCATACGCTTATTGTTTCCTTAGGATTCTGGAGCCCATGTGCACCATTGGTTTGAAATAAGAGTTTTCCAACTCCTCTAGGTGGACTCTCCATGTCCACCAACCCAGTTAAAGCGCCGGACATTCACTTTCCATCCTCTCAATTTTGTAAACAATACTCGTGGTACGAGAATTCAGTGAGTAGGACTTCCCTGGCAATGGTTGTACGCATATGACCATTTCAAGATGGAGAGCTAACTCTCTTCACTCTATTACTATCATGTATTTATACTCTGAAATACAGTATCAATATTAAGATTGGTTATCTTTGAAACTTGACAATTTCATTAAATTATGTTTACATACTTGATATAATAAATCCATTCAATATGTTTTATGTATTCCTTTTTCTTTTTTCACTTTTTTTTTCTAATTTAGTTTCAATTCATTAAAAATCAAAACGTATTATTAGAAAATCATATTGAAGAATATAAAATTAAATTAATGAATTGTGATAGACAATTAACTAATGTCAATAATCAAATGAAACAATATGAAGAACGTGAACAATTACTTCAAATACAATTAGATACTATTCATAATGATGTAATATTATTACATTAGATTATAATTTAATGCTTAATTTATATGAATATTTATCAAGATTAAAATGAATAGTGGCTAGCAGTGGAATTGAGGACGCGCATTTCGTCCTATTTCGGACTCGTCATTTGGATGTGCTTGAATATCAGAGTTGATGTTGACTCTGGGACTTGAACCCAGTACCATTCGCTTCAAACGCCATCATGACTTAAGACTATATCAAGGCAATCGGCATAAGATGCACATATGTCAATAAGAGACTGATCAATTGCAGTCCTAAATAACAATGCAAAAATGCAAGTAAAACAACACCAAGTGAATTTAAATGAATAGTTCGATAAAAATTAGACGTCAAGTGTAAAGAAATAATTTCAGTGATTAAAATTTAAAAATAGTTCCAATGTTTCGTCCAGAAAACTTGTTTGGACTTCTTCAGGATAGTCATCAAATAATCACCAAATACTATCTTTATACTAAAGTATGAAAACAGTAAACAGTTAGTATTGTTAGAATACTAAATTAAGAGTACGCAGTTGTGCTGTGTGTGCTACATTATGCTGATAGACAAAAGTAGTATTTAATACCAATAAGAACCGAAATACCTGTCAAAGAAAAAGGTTGAGGAGGTTGAACTAAAGAAAAGAGAAAAAGGAGCATAAATATATTGAGAATTGGATGTAGAGGACAATTGATGGCAGACTTGCAAATGAAGTATTTAATGTAGGTTTTTCATATTTTATGGAAGAACTCTGCAGTTCTGCATCAAACGATAATTTGGTCATCCCCACCAAATGATCGTCCAATACAGTAGTTATTATTGTTTGGGACTACAGAATTAAATAAGAATTGCACAGAACATGAAATCATCTATATGAAATGACACGACTATCGTGTATCAAACTACGTCTAACTTCATTTGATCATCATAGATTTCTTTAAATGATTTTGATCATTATCCTGAAGAAATTCACAAAAGTTTACTGAACGAAATATTTGAATCATTTTAAATTTCAATCTCTGAGATTATTTCAAATGCACATTTTTACATATATTGAATCACGTATAATGTTTCTGTTAAAAGAAATGATTCATATGTTATGAACTACTTATATCCAAATAAGCAGTATATAACAATAATCAGAGATAGAATGTATTTCAGTAGAAAATCGAGAATGGGAGCGGAAAGCAATTGGTATGAAAATGCAGGAACAATGAAATCTAAAACGATGGAATGATGTTTGCAAAAGGAACAATCAAGTATGAGACAATCAATAGACATTTTCAAATTAAGTATTTACTGTATGGTTCACAGTTGTTCTGTAATTTTATGTTGTAATACATTCGATTGTTCCCCACTTGTATTCTCGTTCGCCACATTCATACATAGTTGAATACAAACTCTTAACTTATAATTGATTTTATTTTATCAGGCAAACACTTTTTGAATATTGTGTAAACTCTAGTTTATTTTTAAATTTACCACCGATTCCAGTTAGAAACAGTCATTTATAGCTCTCACATGTTGAGTTGATGTTAAACTCTTCAGTTTTACTTTTCATTTAATATGTAGTAGGCTGTTAGAAAATAAGTAATTAGTCAATCTTAATAGTTAAGATCATGAGTTAATTGAAGCTAGATTACCATGGAAAACATGGAAGCATTGGACGGCCATTTCGTCCTAGTATGGGACTCCTCAGTAATGAGTATCCACGATCCCGCCTCGCAAGATTCTAACCCAGGACCTATCTGTCGCTCGTGAGCGCTTAACTAATAGACCACTGAGCCGGCCGGCATCCAACGGTGTTAATGTTCAACTTCAACCAATCCACGAAATTGAGCGACACATCCACCATTATCATCAGTGAGTTACTATCTCGCAACTGACCCGATTGAACTCCAGTGGTCACTGCTTCTCACTAGAACTTCAAGAAATTCCTCTTGGTGACCAGTGCTTCCAGGTTTTCCATGGTAGTCTAGCTTCAATTCACTCATAAATTCAATTATCAAATCATTCAACCAAACCTTTTTTAAACGATTTGATTTAGTAAACCTTAAGTGTAATTGACTTATTCTACGGAGAATGTGTATACACTTACCAGTTTCTACACTGTGTTTAACTGACTGACTGATTAAATAACTTTCAGCATTCAAGAAAGTATCAGAGAGATTTGAAATGAAATATATGTATCAATAATTTCTACCCATATTTAATTTTTTTCACATTTTGTATAGAGTCTTAATAAAAGCGAAACTGGAAAATCCAATAATTTGAAAGCATCAAATGTTATACCGATTTTTGTTGAAGATTTGAAATGTGAATTAGAACGCTATCAGATTGCATTTGAAAAAACTAAAAAAGTGAGTAGTTCACGAACATTTGTACGTACCTATATGGTGATTTTCTAATAGTTCATTAATAATGATCGAAATTCCATCTAATTTTGGTACAAAAATAAGTTCTGTAGCATTCTTATGTAATTTTTACTGATATAATATTCAGGTTTGTTACTCCTAGGAGAGGCGGTTGACCAGGAGTCTCCGAACAACTTTGCCTGAGGTCGCCTTTCTAGTTTGTTGAAACCTTTATTTATGCTTTTGATGTCACGCTAAAATACTCGACACCATGTGTTTTCTGATGTGTCTCTTTTCCACTTACATTGAGGATTCCAATTTAGGGCTTGCTTTGTGATATATTTTTATGATGTCCACAAACTGTATCTTATCCACTTTCTGCATCTTTTTCTAATTTCCCCTTAACATAGGAGGTGGTTTGTTCTCTGTCAGAGATTATCATCGATTATCTCTGAGCAACGGATGTGGGGTATCTTGATTAGACAGCTGTATATAAATAATTTTACATTTTTGATGATGGTGATAGTGGTTGTCCAAGTTTCAGCTCGATACAATGGAACTGTGTTAATGTTCATGTTGAAAATCTTGACTTTGGTGTAGTGTGAGATTTGTTTTGAGTTCCAGATGTTCTTCATTCTTAAGAATGATGTATTTCCTTTGCCAATTTGTGCCTTTATATTTGCTACACATCTTTTTTGTTTATGGATGTTGCTGCCCACTTGCGTACAAATGTCCACCTCTTTCAGAGTTTGTCTATCAAGTATTATTTTGTTGTTGCTGGCTGTGTTGTGTTTCGGGGTCTTGGTTTTTCCCCTGTGAATACTAACGCCTGGTGATGAAACAGCTGCCGCTATCCTGACAGTCTTCGTATGCATTTGTCGCTGTGTATAGGACAGGAGAGTCGAGTCATGTGCAAACTGCAAACCGCCTAGTTGCGTCTTAAGTATCAACTGTGTTCCACGCTTCCCCTGAGATGTGGAATTCATCATTATCAAGTCAGCAACTAGAAGGAAGAGGAAAGACGACATTAAGCGTCCTTACCAAACATCATTCATGACTTCGAATGCATCTATGAGCTGCTCTAAGTACGCAACTTTGTAATCCAGTTTATCGTATGAGTTCTTGATGTGGTGGTTATCTTTTTAGATGCTTTGTAGTGTTGAAGGCGATTCCACATGGTTCTCCCGTTCACTCTGTGAAGCTTTCGCATAACCGAGGAAGTTGATGTATAATGATGAGTTCCATTCAACTGATTTTTCAACCTTGATCTACGTTGTCGCGCTTTAATTGGTACGTGATCGATCATTGTGAACGTCTTTTTATCTCAAAGTTGAGTGTTTGGTTAATCTTTCACTCGGTTTAGCATCATTCTGTTGAAAACTTTACCTCGTACTGATAATAGCATGATCTTTTTGTAGTTCTTACATTTACTAAGATCTATTTTTATATTTTGACGAGGTATCTTTTTTCTGCGCTCCTTTGATACTATTGCTTCCTCTCAAATCTACTCGCTTCTCGGTTTTGTCATATAGTTTTCTCAAATTTCTCCTCTTGAAGCTTCTTTTGCTGAGGTTGCCAGGTATCCTACGTATTTCTGATTCTCAGTCCTAATTCTCTTCTTCACTTGTTTGTTTGATTCTGTATATTTGGCCTATATCTTGAGTTTCTCAGTTGTTTTTAGATTGCTGTTTACTACCGTCTTTTTGTCTTTCATTTCCTGAATCTTGCTCAGAGTATCTTCCGAGATCTACCATTTATGCTAGTGCTTGTTGAGGCCCAGCAACTCCTGGCACGTTGAAAGTATTAATTATTTAATCCCTATCGAGTTGTTCTGCATAGTGCTTTCGTCCTTTTGCAGTAGATAGAAAAGGTATGGGACTTATTACTAAGGGATCTCTTGAATTCTCTGAGTTTATTGGCATTTCAAACGAAGTGTGTATTAAAATTTCATAGTCCTGCCTGTTCTAGTGTCCAATGCATCTTTAACTTCAGTTTTAGTTTGTCCATCAACAGATAGTAGTTTAAATCCACATCATTACTTTTGTTTGTTCTTCTGTCTTCCATGGACTTGAATGTTTATTGATGCAGATGTGATCTATCTGTTTTCCTGTAGTGTGGTCCGGTTATACCCACGTAGCTTTATGTGTTTATTTCTCAGGAAAAACACTCCCGATTATGATCATGTTGAAAAGAAATGGATCTATTGGTCTCTCGTTTCTTTCAAATCGTACCACCTCATAAAATCTTCATACATGGTGTTGTCCATGCCGATCTTAATGTATAGGTCAACCCTTTACATGTGCAATTATTTACGATGGATTATAGCATTTTTATTATCCTTACTGTTATCATTGGTGGATGTATAACACTGAGTGAAATTCACTGTAATCCCATCCTTCTTCGTTAACATTACATTAAAGCACATATTCTACTTCCATTTATGAAAAAGCAAATCCTATCATATATTAGTATCTAAAGTACAAAGTATTATTTGATCTCAATGTGGTTCGTATTGACTAGTTGTTTGAAAAGATATCAACGAATTGAATGTTTACTTATAGTCTGTCATTCTTTTATTATAGCTGGTCTGTTTGTATTCAGACAACCTTTTGAATAAATCGCTACATTTTGTCTTATATATATTGAACAAACTGTTCATTGACAATTGATTATTGTTTTTGTTTTTGCAAATACCTATTTTCTGTCACTATAACATTGACTAAACATTCAAGACCATAGAAGTTGATATCATTATTATTATCATCATGTTTATTGATAAACAAAGTTCACTAATGTAATGTACTGTTTTCTATTGTGTATGTATTAGCTTCTTGAAGCAGAAACATGTCGTGCAGATACAGCAGAAACTCATCAAAAAATGGAACAACGTAAATTCAATGAATTTCACGAACGTTTCGAAGCAGAAATTACTGGTATTAAAGCATCCTTATCAACTAGACGTGCTGAAATTCGACAATTAAAAAAGCATATTTCTGACGTGAGTTTTTTTGGTGTGACTGTTTTTTCAAGCTCTTGTCAAAGGGGGTAGGAAATGGTATTCCAAAACAAGTGGTTAGCAAATTCCTTATGTCTTACAGAGCTACTCTCAATCCGGTAGTACCAGAAGGATAGTCACCAGCCAAGTGTATGTTCGGAAGGAAAGTCTGGTCAGTCTTTAACAGCATGTTGCCACCCAAAAAGACAAATAAATCCACTTGTAGCTTGCAGGTGGGTACGAGAGTACTTTTGAAATCGTATCAAGGTGATAGGAAGTAGGAACTAGGTGCTATTGAACGTGGGATCGGCGGTGTGCTGCACCTGGTCCGAAGAAATGTCTGGACGTGTATAATACACATAAATTAAATTAAAAGGGACGACAGGACAGTGATCACACAAAACCGACTATCGTTTCAATTGCTCGTGAATTCATCTCGAAAAAGCCTTAAGGAGAGTGACTGTAGAAGAGATAAAAGACTCATGGGCGAAGTTGCACAATCATGAAGAGTGATGAACCACAAGAGGAATGAGGTAACCAAGTTTCAGAAAAACGTCTTACACCATAAACTTTAAAGAGAGGAGGTGGGAGAACAGTCCACGGGTTAACTCGAGGAAAATTAAAGAAGCTCAGAAACAGCCGAGGATATTCCATCCAATCACCTTATGCAAGAATATACTAGAATCTCTACGTGTAGCTTCCCTATTGGAAAAATGCTATTAACCCCCTGTATGCGGATTGCATGACTTTTAGTGATGATTTCGTTTTTACTAGAAACTATAAATACCTGACAGTTTTGTACGGTAATTGACATTATTTTGGAATAGCATTCCTTTCACTTGTTTTCTGTCTTCTTATTTACGACCTATTTAGATAACATCAGAAAAACAAGAATTACTTGCAAATCTTTTCAAAGCTTATAATACACTAATAAATATTATTTCATTATGGAAGTCGATAAATGGTCAATTATGTCAACGTTTATATGAATATATTCAAGAGAATGTTAATGAAATTGTTTGTTTGACTAAACAATTAAATAGTTTAGCTAAAGGACAGAAATTAGATTTAAGTGAATTGTTGATTCAACCAAAACCTTTGTCAAATAACATAAATGATATCATACTGAATAGTGAAAAAGAAGTGACAGATAAAGATTTTGTAATCAGTACATCTCCAGAAGATATTTTGTCATCATTACAAATACAATCAACATGTAATTCTGAGAATAAAAGTAAGTCATTTTATTACTACTAATCAATTAGACAAATTAACTGACTCTATGAATAATTTAGTAGTCAATGTTATAACTCTCAAATGTATCAGGATTATAAATAGTACATTTTCAAGCTGTCAAGTTGTAGGTTATTATTTATTTATTTGAACATATAAATATTAGTACAAAGGGGCATCGAACACATACGCCCCACACATATCTCCTGATCTTTGTGAGGGCTGGGATATTGCCTAGGTGCCCAGACCGGGCAGGTGGTTTTCTCAGGAGGCCACACCCCGAGACTTTGACCTGAAGGTTTGATCCACAAGGCAGTGGAGCAACGTCAGGAGATGCAATCGCATGGTAGCCGGTGACCAAAGATTGATTCATTAACCATTTGTTCCTTCAGGATACTGGAGCCCATGTGCATCATTAGTTTAGAATCAAGGTTTTCCAATTCCCCTATGTGGACCCTCCGTACCCATCAACTCGTAAACAACCTTTAATATCGCGAGAAGGTAGTGAGTAGGACTTCCCTGGAAATGGTTGTGTTCATGTGGCCATTTGAGAGCATTTTGAGAAGGAGAGCTGACTATATCCACTCTCAGCCGTACGAGGGCGGGGCAAATTGTAGGTATGATACTGCAGATTTTAAACTATAGTTCACAGATCATTCTAAAAATACCATATACATTCAAAGTTTGACATCGTCATAACACGGACCACTTTTATAATTGACGTATGCCAACCCAGTCAAGTCAGAACTACTTCGAGTTTTGGAGCGTTTACGGTTACGAAGGTATTTAATATAACGAGGTCTGTGACATCGTTTTGTGTCGTTTCAGGTTTTGACAAAATAAACATCGACGCTTGGGGGGGTCTGATGATCTCCGGAATCCAGTCGACAGATGCAGCCAGTTTTTCTATAGCGTTGTTTTAAAGTGATACAAGGACTATCTGAACCTGTTGAAGGAGCTTAGACAATAAGAGCTGTCGAATTCGTTTGTGTATCATCATCTATGAACTATTTAAAAAACTAGACCATATAGCTCAAAGAAAAAAAACTCCATCAAAATCATCCACCTGAGCTAAAAATTTTCTCCACCATCTCAAAACTAGACATTCTCATCACTTTACTAACTCTTATTTACGAGTGTTTAATTTAGTTGCTGAATTAGATCAGTTGAGCTGATTGAAGACAAAACTATTTGGTTTGTTCAGTTCACCGAAGGTAAAATGAAACAAAATGAAATTGAAAACAAATGTAAACAAATTCAAACTAATAGATAAGAAATGGCTGTTTTAAGGTCTCTTAATTAGTAAGTAATTAGTTGTGTTATCAGTTATTATCAATTACTTCACAATATATAAAATTTGTTAAACTCACAAAAAAGTACGTTTATAATGCCCCTACAGAGCATTCAGAATCTATTGTGTTTTGTATGATTTCCCCAAGTAACTACAGAAAGCAATTATCTCTCTAGATTAGGGAAAGATCTTCAAAGTTAAGCCACCAGATTCATCTTGTCTCTTTTCCTTCAAATTAAAAATAGCCTCTAATAAAGTTGAAAAGGTTACAGCTAGTTCGAAGCAAGAGAGAGCAATAACGGCGAAAATTGGTGGTACTACCAGGTTTTTCATGGTGGTCTAGCTTTAATTGACTCATGAATTCAACTATTAAGTTTGTGACTATTTGAAATCTACATATTGTTACATTGATCTTATACATAGACCTGTTTACTAACATCTTTCCTAACTTGCTTAAAGCGATAATGCTGTTAGTACTAATGTTAACAATTGAAATGTAAGTATATTAAACAAATTCTCTATCTTCTCTTTTAGCTAATAATTGTTTTATTAAAAATACATGGGAAGATTCATTTGGTGATGTCATAACTACTGCATCTCAATTATCAAATAATTTCAGCAAAGAACAATTACATACTTCCTTAAATCAGTTGATTAAAACTCAAACATCGTTGCTAAAATTACGTCAAGAACTTGCTAATAAATATGCAGATTATTTAGGTGGAAAAATAGATTGTATTATTCAATGATAAACAAAACAACAATCGACTTTATTATTGTACATTTCTCAATTGCATTTTATTTTGTTTTCTGAATTTACTCCATAAAATTTAATATAATGGTTTTTCTATCTATGAAGCCTTGATGTTATGGAAAACGTAAGCTCTAGTTTTTTACTTTTCCGGATAAGCTACTAGAATTCTGTTTTGATGACATTTAAACTTCTGTTGATAATCTCTTTATTACAATTATTCTTGTTTAACACCCGTTATCGACAATAAGATAAAGCACAAGAACCAGTAAATGACTTTGCGAAACATACTGAAGTCGTAGCTCAAAGGTTTATGTGTCTCAAATCGTTGTCCATTATTGGTTACCAGTTTAAGTGTCTCGTATTTTCAGTCTACACTTACCTGAAGGTGATGACATGCATATCAAAGTCCACAACAAACTAGAACACTGTCCGTGAGAGGTTTGTCAGGAAGGGCAGGGGACTGTTAGGTCTTGGTGAACAGAGAAAAGAACTTTTCAATGACCGTAATCTGCAGTCGTTGTTTCACACATTAAGTGACTGAAAAAGTAATATGCCAAGACACCGGGTGAAGTGAGTGGCGAATGTAAGCCATCGCCCCAATTTCGGCTACGTAGCAGATGGCAATGTTTGGTTTGGGGCTATGACCGTTGTTACTGGACTTATTTATGCTACTAGATTAAATAACTATATAGTTGGCTGAAGCTGGTGTAGCTGCATAATCTTACGTTGATATATGGCTGACTGTCTTGAATGCTCTGTTGTCGTAGTCAGTGTCTTGATCTTTGAAAACGTTTGTAGGACTGACATAGCCTTACTGATAGAATAATACCGTCTTGGTGATCTTGCCATCATGGCGCTTGTCAACCTGCACTATTTTTCGTAAACCACTCCACATTCGGTGTTAAATTTTTAGTGACAATGCAATGCTGATGATCTATTACGACAAGTCATCCTTGAAGCCGAAAATAAACTTAGCAAGAGAATTCAAGCTAAACATTCAATGGTCGACAAACGATTGTGATGGTCATAGAAAGTGTGAGAACATTATCGAGATTATATGTATCAAATTTCATCTTTAATTTATACGAATGTTGACCATGAAGTTCTGACAGTATTTGAGTGATGGTAAAAGCTTATGGTTCTTTCATGCAAGCATCGTCACTGAAATAACCTTTTAATATTAGATTTACTGTTCTGTCACCAGCCAGTGTTCCCTAAAGGTTCGTGTAGATGATATCGCTAAATATCACGACAGGATGGGCAAGTATGAACAATAATATGACTCCGATGTAAGTTCATGTAAAGTGAACATTCATATGATAGTAAGTAAGCCACCTTATATTAAGGATATTAGTCTGTAACCATAGGCATGTCGACCAACACCGTTACTGGACCTGAACACTACGTTGGTGGACACGATCAACGATACGCAACCTAATTCTTAGATCAAGAGACAGGCAACTAATTGGGTGAAAGAGCTAAGGGACAAATTTTTATAGACACGGAGTACGACACATTGGATTATAGGAGAACAGGAGGTGATCTGATAATGGCCAACAACATAATGAATAAGTCAAGTCGCCGCACCATCAGAAAGCGAAAATTTAGGTCCGCCCCAAGTTTCTGTCACAAGTCAGGTATACTCGATTGAAAGAACATTTATCTATTTTAGTTTGTTTCCCTCTCACTGTGGCGTTTGAGAATATTATGCTTGTTTCGGAGCTCAGTCTCAATAAATTTCCGTAAAGGATAGAAAAACGTTATTCCAAAACGATAAACCCGCTCCATCATTCACAGATCGATTTCTTAAAAATTAAACAAAATGCTCCCGTATTCAACGTTGTAATAGCTTAAAGATGATCCAGTTGATTTGGTGACAGGAAACGTATATCTCTCATAGTCAACTGTCCCGGTCATCAGAGGCAACTTAAAACAGCCCTTCGAACTAATCTTTCCGAGTAAAAGTCCTAGGAGCATATTAGCTGTCCTCATATCAGTCGAACCAAACACTTAGCATTCAGTGTTTCCTGTGGAAGACTCCTATACTTTTCGAACTATTACTCTTCACTTAAGTGACAATTTACGAAGACAATTACTAATCTGCGTTGGGATAGCGCGAAATCGAAAGCCATCCAAAACATACAGCCTATAGCACTACTTGTATCCTGTCGAGTGAGACCAGTACTATAAGCAGATCCATCAAGCCAAATTGAGACGCATCGACTAATGTTCATATCGCACAGAATTTTGCTGGAATGGTTGATCGTGATGGAGCCTTCCTTTCACTTCTCCAAATCCACTGAATCATCGTCAAAGAATACAAAATGGAATTTGCCTATGGGCTGCCGCTGAGCATTTGAAAATACAACGTTTTTGCTTTTGCAAAACGGATGATGTTTCGTCGTTGATTTAGACGGGAAACTAGATATTAATCGTTGCTGGATGTGTTTTGATCTGTTTAGGTATGACGTTTAGAATAAGTTTTAGCTTAAACTGGATTTTCCCTAAGTTGATACACAGTCATTAATAATTGGTTACCGAAGGATACGATAAGGGAACATTTTGGTAACAGCTAAAGTGACTAAAACTGAAGTTTGTTGAGCACTGGTTGATGAAGTTCGTGAACTGCCAGCCATATTTGAGACTACTATAAGACCTATGAGAAGAATACGACCTTAAGAGAGAACAAGGAGTTATGATCATAACCACTGAAATACTTTTTGGAGGCGTTTTTCTAGTTTTTGGACGCACAAATCATTCATCCCTATACTGTTATTCTATGAACATCTTTTTAGCATTATTATAAGGTCATGAGACAAGTGTTTGGCTGTCAAATATACAAATACAATCTTATTGGTTGTCTTGTACTCACTATAACAAATAATTGCAAACTTTTAATTGTGTTTGCAAATGAGTTCGTGAATATCTGTGCATGTTTATCCGACAACTTTGTTGGATTAAAGCTTGATACTTTGTTTCTGGCTTGGGACATTTTTATGAACGTGTATGATGACTTGTGGTAGTGATATCTAGGTCGGTATTAAGTGCAATTATCCTGCTTACTAAAATAATGGGAAAACTCTCAAATGCGTAGATTTGCCATAATATGTCCACTTAGTCTATAGTTGCCACAGGTATTCAGAGCATGTCAACACCTAGACCAGTAACACCTTTTATAATCGAAGTATGCCAACACAGTCAAGTCAGAAGCCAGAAGAGAAGAGTTCCGAAGATATGTTTAGTAGAATGTCGATATATAGAGAAGTGATCAATCTAAGCTGACTAGGGGTTGTAGATGTGTGGCATGGCGTATCCACTAGTGATGTGGTGCGGATGCCTAGCCTTCAGCTAGGTGAATTCACTAAAGCTAATGTGGTCGGCATCAAATGTCAAAGACTTACCGAGTCATTGATTTTGTGGATTTATTTACCACTACAAGTCTACCAGACGTTATGTTGAAGTCACATCTTTGTCTATACTAAATTGTCCTACGTGAGTCGGCACCATGTCTAAAACTTCCGAATAACACATTTGTGCTGGGGATAGAATAATATATCTAGTATGAAGAGGAATACGTTAAAGAGTGACCCCATCTGAACTGTCGAGTCAGACCACATCGACTCCGCGCTCGCCATTTTTGACCTTTTCTAAGTGCTAAATCATGTAGTGTCTTAATTATTATTACACCTGAGCCAAACATATTCGCATTGATGTTCTAGTTAGTTAACGGTGCAAAGTTAGTTCGAATTAGTTGTTCTTGAGATGGACTAGAGCACGTCGCATTTAGCTGATAGATTTAAACTCATACGGTTTAGCAAATTATTTCCTGGTTACGTTACAACCGTTGGTCGCAGTAAATTTGTTTTTAAATAAAAGTATAGTTAATAAAACATCGCGAATTCCACTTTTATATAACTATCACTGGGACTAATAATCTAGATCTTACCAGTTTCAGTTTAGAATTAACATGTAATACCAGCATGTGTGTTTGAAATACACTTGTTTGTTTAAGTTAGTCACGAAGAAAAAATTGTTAAGGAATCCATAGAATGTCCTAAACGCCTGTATTCCTATATAAACCACAGGACAAAAAGAAGAGGAATTATTCCTGCACTATGGGGAGACAGTACTGCCACATCATTAGTGGAAGATGACTTTGGTAAGGCTCAAGTGTTCTCAAACTACTTTGACAATGTATATACCACAGAAGCACCCTTCCCGTCAGCGCATACAAACCCCCCACACATACACTGGATAGCGTGACCATTAATGAACTCGATGTCTTTGATCTGCTAAATAAGCTTGACATAGGTAAATCCATGGGGCCTGATGAATTGCATCCTAGGCTACTAAAGGAATTATCTAACTTGGTTGCGAACCCTTTAAGTATATGCTTTAAGCTATCCGTTACGCAGGGTCGTTTACCAAAAGACTGGAAGAACGCCATAGTAAGTCCTGCCTTCAAAACAGGTACGAAACATGAACCTGAGAATTACCGACCCGTTAGCCTAACTAGTATGGTTGTTAAAATCTTAGAAAAGATTATTCGGAAAGAGCTGCTTAAATACCTCGATGTAAACCGAATCCTCTCGGAGAAACAGCACGGTTTCAGTATATGTTATTCTTGTCTCACCAACTTATTAGTCACTCGAGAAAGCTGGTGCGCTTTTAGGGACCAAAAGTTACCTGTAGACGTGGCTTACATCGATTTCAGCAAAGCTTTTGACAAGGTTCCGCACAATCGGCTGTTATATAAGCTAAAAAATGTCGGAATTGGAGGCAATCTATTGACGTGGATAGAAGACTTCCTTGTTGGGCGCCAACAAAGAGTACGGGTAAACTCAAAATTGTCTAGCTGGGAAACTGTGCTTAGTGGAGTGCCCCAAGGTACAGTTTTGGGGCCAGTGCTATTCCTCTTGTATGTAAATGACCTTCCTCGCTTACTATCATCATCGGTCTTGCTATATGCTGACGATGTCAAGATATGGAGAACGATACGATGTAAGGGTGATAGCTTAGAACTCCAAAATGACCTGAAGAAATTATCCGAATGGTCTCATACATGGCAGCTGCCGATAAATACTTCCAAGTGTGTTGTGATGCATATCGGTCATCAAGGTTCAGATACATACACGATGAATAACACTGAGCTACCTGTTGTCCAGACACATAATGACTTAGGAGTCGTCGTTAGTTGAGATCTGAAGACTACTGCACATTGCCATGCAATAGCTGCCAAAGCTTTTAGAACTTTATGGTCAATACTTAGGGCTTTTACTCATGTCGACGCTCAAACGTTTTTGACTTTGTATACAGTGTTCGTACGTCCTAAACTTGAGTACTGCATACAAGCGGCTAGCCCCTGCCTAACAAAAGACAGTGAGCTTTTGGAAAACGTTCAGAGAACAGAAACTAAGCTGATTCCCGGAATAGCGAAGCTTCCGTGTGATGCTCGACTGGCCAAGCTAGACCTATTCCCTTTGTCATATCGTAGAACTAGAGGCGACTTGATTACAGTATTCAAATTGCTTAGTGATAAATTTGCACCTGATATGCCCTCATTTTTCCTGTCTTCCAAAACAGAGAATTTACGAGGACACTCAAAAAAAATTAACAAGCCCAGAACAAATTACTTGTCACCTGATTATCGACTTTCCCACCGAATCATCAACGAGTGGAATTCATTACCTCAACACGTGGTTGAAGCTCCATCCGTAGATTCTTTCAAAAGAAAGTTGGATCAACTGAGAGAACACAATTGCCAAGACTAACAGAGGCCATCAAGCCTCCTGTCCTTTCCAAACTGAAACTGAAACTGAAATATATTGGACATTGTATATATTAATTTTGTAGGTCATTGTTGGAGGAAATTTCATACTTTTCCGACTACGGATACGTGGCTGTCACTGTCTTGTTTCTGAATGTAAGTAAAACGGTACACTCTAAGATGGCCCCTTCAAATGCTCTGTGCATGATACAATCAGAAGTTTCTCTTATGCTAACTGCTTTGCGGTGTAGTCACAGGAGTTCTTTTAGGATGTATCAAGTAAGTGTTAATACTTCACTTATCGCTTTTAGGATGATATTAAAAGGCCTCTGTTATTGAGTTTTAACCAGTTAAGGTCTATCCTAAATGTGGCCAAAAGTAAGTCGTTTGTTTTCAGTATTTATATACCGCCTGATTACAAGTCAAATTCCGGAGTATTTTATACTAATATTTCGACTATATGGTACGTAGGCAGTCGTTAATTCTAGATTTCTAGATACTCCTTGTTCTAACAACTGCGTTGATCTAATGAGTCAGCTTTCACGAAAATTAGATCTTCCCCGAACGTTTTTAGAAAATTTCATAGGGATTGATATGTGTTAGAATTATTTATATTGCTGACTTGAATTCATTTTAAATCACTTAGTTTAGCTCGACCTATGCAATTTTTTAAAAGGATAAGCTATAAAGTACGCGTAATTACTTTGGCATCGTCCTACACTTAACAAATATTAAGGATAAAAGTTAAAGCTTCCTTCTCCGTTCTCAGATGCTACAATTGGGCCTGTATACCTTATTAACGCAGTTAGGGTTCATTACATCAAGTGAGCTTAAGGTTCAAGGTTAAAATGGTCACGTTGACTAGGGCGTGACGGCAACATTCTTAGCGACTCTATCTCTGATATTTCCCCAGTTCATCTTGTTCACAATCAGTTACGTTCCTTACTATTGGTTGTTCTTGTTACCACCGTCAGTTGTCATTTCTACCCGCCTATTACCACCACCTTTCCGAACTCTGTTACATTGGGATAAAGGACTCAGTAATAAAGTTACGTCTGGAAAAGGTAAGCTATAATAAGAGAAGGCAGACGAATAACTGCAAGATATATGTGAGATTGTTGTATAAAAATCATTTTTGCCAACTCAGTAGGACCCTTACTCGGAAATACTGTGTTTACGACAGCTATGCTTAGCGGGTCACAAATATACGTTTGTTGCAATCGTAAAGCCGTAAAGGCCCCCAAACGCCGTGGTACGGCCGAGAGCGGGGAGAGTCCGCTCTCCCTCTCGAAATGCTCTCACATGGACACGCGTATATAGCCTCTGCCAGGGAAGTCCTACTCACTGCCTTCTCGTGGCGGGGGTGTTGTCTATGAAAATGAGAGGACGGAAAGCAAATGTCTGGCGCTATAACCGGATCCCAAACCAATGGTGCACATGGGCTGGCTCCAGTATCCTGAAGGAGCAAATGGCGTATGAACCAATCGTTGGTCACCGGCTATCGTGGGACTGCATCTCCTTACGATGCTCCACTGCCTTGTCGGTCAGACGTTCAGGTCGAAGGCTCGGGGTGTGGTCCCCTAAGAAAACCACCTACTACGGTCTGGGCATCCGGGTAGTATCACAGCCCACACATATATCAAAAGAGATTTGTGTGGCGCATATGTATTTGGTGCCTCCTTGTACCAATTTTCTATGTGTTAAAATATATAAATAAATAAAAGCCGTAAAAGGTATGTGTTAATACATTAATTTTAAATGTTGTTAATTCATCGGGGTTCTCGTGGAAAATTCTCCAGATTAAGGAACCCTGGAAAACTTGCCGTTCACTAGATACTTCATTATAAATAGTAAATTATTTTGCTTTTATGATGTATGGAATTAAGAATGTAAGTTTAATTTGAGTGAGGTTTCTATCCATTTTCATAATTTAATCTAGGTGTTAATGAACTGGAACCATTGGTTTATCTTACACCATTCCTTGAGGTTATCCGTTCAGAAGATACAACAGGTCCGGTTACAGGTCTTGCATTAACAGCTGTGGATAAGTTTCTATCCTATGGACTTTTGGAATTACCTTCTACTAAATCAGACGAATCATCTTTAAATAAAACTGGGTCGCTAAATTCTATCGGATTAGCAGTCGAAGCGATTGCCGATGCAAGTACTCAAGCCCGCTTCGTGGGAACTGATCCACGCTCTGCAGAGGTAGACTTCTTGAAGTTTGATTGTCTTATTTTTTGTTCATGTTAGTGTTCTTTACTTTAAAGTTCTTATTGAGCCTCAATACAGATGTAGTTTAGTAAATCATCCTTATAATTTAACAATAGTTCAGTGGTGGATCTTTAAAAGAATGAAGATCAAACGAACATTTTAATAAATTCATTTGCTTTGGATCTTTAAAATTTACACACTAAATTATGATGCGATTGGTCCACATCTCCGTTCATTGGGTACTATTTATTTATGTGGTTAGTGGAAAAGATGCTACCATGGTAGAGTTATGAGCAACACGAATCCAAGAAAAAAAGAAAACGTACATAATCTAATCAAAACATTAAAAAGATATCTCATACATGAAATGAGTTTTTACTGAGCGAATGTTTCTTTCAGAAATCTTTGTCTAGGTTTACTATCTGTTGATTAAGAGTAGAACACATATTAAAACTTACTTGCTCAAAAGCGAATTGTATTTTAAACTCGCATGATATAAAAAAACTCGGAGAATGTTCAGTGTTTGTTGATCAACTTACGGACGTATTTAAAGGAAACTAATGTCGTTTCATGAGGAATTATACGAGCGTATACAGTTTGGATCTGGTTAGAAAAATATGCCCTTTGGTTTATTCTTGTTATGAGAATCGAATTTTAAATTTGCCCGTCTTATGTACCTAAATTCTTGGTTCCATATTTTGTCAATAGGCTCGTATATTCTCTTAAAATACCAATCATAATGAGTTAGGACACGATTTCTAGTTAGTGTAATGGCCATTTTCTATTAGTTTATGAAAATTAGGCGTCCTAGTGATCATATTTATTAACCTGAATATGTTTCGGTGGAATTTTAAGGGGTTAAAATAACTATGTTTGTTGCAGTTTTCATAAGCCTTTAGCACAAATTAACACATTAGAGTTGATAAAGGCAACCAGTCACAGTTGATTGGTCAACGTCATAAGTGTCAAGTCCTTATTATTAGTGCAGATCGAATGCTATCGACCAAGTTGCAATGTGGCCACTAGTCTAGGTGACTCGACATTGCGTGCACCACCGTCTAATCTCAGCATAGGCAACCATTAACTGGATAAAGGTTGTCACTGTTTCTGCTTATAGTTTTCTTTTCCTAGTTATTTAAAGCACACTTATATAACAGTGAGATTGATTTCATGTTTCTGTAAACCATTATGTAGTATAGCAGCACACCAAACTGTGATAATTGTTGGCTATTCTTCGATTCACATCGCTAATTATTAAAGTATAATGCGACAAGCATAAGTATTTCACTTTCGTCAAATGGGTATTGCATGAATATCTCCCCACCGATCACATTGTAGGTAGTCGCGTACTGTTTTAAATCTATACAACTGGTTTGCCTCCACTCCGTATAATCATACACCCTGAAACGCGTGATTGTAAAAACTTGGAAGTAAAGTTCGAATGGTATTAGAAGTAAACAATGGATAAACGTCGTCCAACTTTTTGTGTATTACTCATACAAAGTGGTCAATATAAGAGTTCAATCATCTGTCTTCTAGCATTCTATACACTGTTACATTAGTGGATAGCACATACCACATTCAACTGTTAGATTGGCGGTTCTAAAATCTATCCACTCACTTCGATTTGGGGAGCTTAACAGTATCAATAGCTTTCACACGAAAGTTTCGTCCAAAACTGAGTAGATAAATCTGTACTCGATTGCCAAGTCGCACTTGAACATCATTCGGATTTTCGGTACGTTAAATAACTTCCCTTATCTCATTTACTTTGCAGGTTGTGTTAATGAAAGTGCTGCATTTATTACGGACATTATTACTCGTTCCTGCTGGAGCTCTCGTCTCAGATCGAGCTATTCGTGAGATCCTACAGAGTTGTTTCCGCATATGTTTTGAACCAAAATTGAGTGAATTACTTAGAAGAACGGCTGAATTGTGTTTGGCTTCCATGATTCAGTTATTTTTCAGCCGTCTACCAACTCTAGTTGGATTCAAAACAGATCGAGTTGTGCAAAAACCAGTAAGCTTTTTGTAAATTCTGTCGAGATGCAGTTCCATATACCTCATCACCTATTATTTAAAAATTATCTGAATTTAAGGCATAATAAACCAGTCCATTATTGTCTGGGCAGATCTTATAATGTTGACACACACTTTATTAGAAATCCACTCGATTAAATCAATGATTAATTTACTATGTGTGTTCGTACGGGGCATTTGTAAATATTTTGCTATTTGAGTGTATGATCCATAAAAGCAAACATCGTCCCTGTGGTGAAAAACAGCTTTATTGTTCTTTAAGTTTTCCAACAAGCACATCAGATTGCTATCGTTATGATTATCGTCATTCTTGTTGATTGTTGTGTGTAAGTCGGAGTATATAGTTGTCAAATAATTTATCACAAAATAACTGTAAAAGTAATTCAGTTATCGATAACTGCTAACTTTCTAATATTTAAGAGATGATGTGCAGATTTATGGCGCAATATTCTATCAGCTGCTAACCGATGTCTGACTACTGTTGCCATGGTTTTCTACTGGAAAGCCTGTGTAGGAAGGTACCGTAATAAAATTGACACTTGTTCTTCATCTGACTGTTGTTCCTGATTCACTGGTATACCGTTTACGTGATTATAGAAATTTATATCACGTTTTAATTCATGAACTTGAAAGGAGTAACACAGTAACAGTTCAAGAAGACTAATGTTAATTCAGTAAGTCACATTTCTTGGAAATGTTCTTTCTTGGCGTTTTACGCCATCTCCGACCAAAAACTAATGATGCTACAAAATTTTGATAGTGTGAACTTTATTGACCGAATGAGAACTTTGTAAGTTTGTTCATCTGTTTGAATTTCGAAATATCAACAGGAGTTCGATCGCTTCACTTTATAGAGAATAAAAGGGATTAATCTATAATAAACTGCATTGCCATTTTCAGTGAAATTCTCAGTGAATTAAGTAACACACTACAAGTGTTATTCTCTTCACGTTAGTCTGCTACGATTCGTATCAAGCTACGCAATTCGAAATGAAGACGCGAAACCATCTTCATCTAAACTTGAACTACACCTTCAGTGGTTGTTCGTCCAGCCCCAACACAATCACGTTGACTAAAGAAAGCAAATATTTTATCAACACTTTAATAGACAACCACAGTGAAAGACGCTCAGGTTTTCGTGTGATTTTCGCAGTACTCTTGACAAGATAGGTAGAAAGTTATCGACTAATACAACAAGTGATGAAACAAAATCAAATCGAACTTTTAAATACCCTACCTCCATTTGTAACTTCAATTGACTCCTCATGGATTCGAACAGCAAGAAACATACACGTAGAGTAGCAGCAAATTGCCAAACGTCTTCTGAATATAATAACTATAAATAAGACAAAATATCATTAATACTACAGCAGTTTTGAGATAACTAGAAGAGTTGAATACACACAAACTTATCTAATAAGTGTCAAATGAGTTCGTTCAAGTCAACAACAGGGTTGTGACTCTATAATACACTAATGAAAAATGATTTTATTTTAGTTATCACTTTTTTTGATTGTCTATTGTTTCCTTAAGTTTAGTTTTTCTTTCAATTATAGACTGTACAACTTGAAAATTCAACAATGCTTTCTCAACCTGATACACACTCTGATGATTTACAAACAGTCGGTATGTGTTTGTTCGGATACTTTTCGATTCGTCAGTTTGTTTTTATTTACAAAACATGTTATAAATGTTTTATATAGACATAGGGTTACGTTTATGGATTTGAAGATAACGTAATCAATGGTTAAAGCAGAATAAAATAATACCTTGACAGGGATCGGTCGTCGTGTACATAGAATATATTACATTTTATAGTAGATATATAATCCACTGATAGTGTGGTGTGTGTTACTTATATCGACATAAGTAGTATGTGACGTTATTCAGGAATAGAATGTCTGGCAGCAGAGAGACAAAAAGATCGAATAGTAAAGAATGGGAACAGACTGCAATTTGTATAAAAATACAAGAACAATGAAGTCTGAGTCATTTTGAGACAACTGATGGACATTTTGCAAATTGAGCATTTAATATATGGTTGTTAGATTTTAATAACAAGTCCTGTAATTTTGTGTCAAATGCATTCGATTGTCCCCATTGGTGTTCTGTTTACTACAATAGTAGTAATAACTATAGGATCTCTAATTCCATCTATGGTTGGTTTATTTATTTATGCCATTCTTTATAAACTAATACAATCATAAAACGTTTGATTCTGCTTAAATTCTGATTACAGTATTCAGATGACATTTTTACTAATACAAGGAGAGTTAGTTTAGAACTTTTTGAGTAGGTTAAACAATATATTGAATAGTATTAAATAACAGAAGGGGTTTTGTGGAGATTGTAGGATGAAACGGCCGTTCAGTGCTTCTAGGTTTTCCATGGTGGTCTAGCTTCAACTGACTCATGATCTTAACCATTGGAAGTATTAAATAAATTAAATATGCTGACTAGTAACTAGTGTTCCTCAATCGTTTGATTGGAGGAAGACATCAAAATAATGAATGTTAAAGATAGGATCCAAAATTGAAGAACAGCAAAACTGTACAAATGTAGTGATTTTAATGCTGTTTGTATATGTGGGAGATATTCAGACAGTTGTATGTGAGAGTGGAGGAGCACAAACAATATTTGAGACATGTTTCTAAGTAGTCAAAAGACAGGTGACGAGAATCTAATGTAATAAAATGAATTTCTGCTCCAATATTTTTTTTTCGTTTTCTTCATATGATGAATAATTAGCGGAATTGCAGATGTATGGTAAAATTTGTGAGTGTTGAAAATGTCCATGCATCTACTCAGGTTGTAGTAATTGTGGTAGGAGATTTTAAGCCAAAGTGAAGGAAACGTAGGTGAGTCTTACAGTGTTGCAGCTCAACGAATAGACAACGGCGACCGCCTGCTGTGACTTTGCCCAGATAGCTGTTTATTCGTAGCATAAAACATTTGTTCTTGTCCTACTAGACGCATAAAAACCTTTAAAGTTCTACTTAACTACGAAGATGCCGAGAGTGGACAACTAAGGCAAAACTAATAGAAAAGGCCACTGTGTTAAGTAATAGTATACAACTTTTCAGACTTATCAAAGAGAAAGGGACTAAAAATTTTTTAGTTTTGCGGCAATGTCTGTCATTTTAAGACGGATCAAAGAAGTACGTTGACCTTGTACAAACTGTCTACTCGAATACTACTGGTGGAATCATAGCTTTGGCGAACTGTCATAGGAATTGACTACTCCAAGTGGCGTTCATGAAGGCTATCTGCTTTCCTTGCTTCTAGTTATTTTTTTCATAGACACTTTTTAGAGATAACATTTTCATTATGTGACTTATCAGAAATCAAACTTCTACCAGGAGATTCTCTCGTGGTCTCAAAGTCGTTCATAATGATGCAGGCGCCTTCAATCTTACATCCTAAGTTTCTTAATTCCCTGACTTTATTTTATACTTCACTGATCTGTATTTTCTCGAATCGTGTCTTCTATGTCGAATTGTTTTTATTACCATCATTACTGTTACAACCTGTTAAATTTATCGAAGCGTCCAAATCACTCAATTGAGATACGCGCAAAATCGAAGTTTACAAAACAACGATTTGTCTAAAAAAGCGGTTCTTTATTGAATAACATACAAAAATTAGTTACAAACCTCAAATTGTGGCGTGTCTGTGGCGTTTGCCGCGCTTTTCGTCTGATATAGAAACTCTCCGATAGTGCAAAATGACAACTGTTTTTGTGTCTAAACTTGATAACGGTTTATCAACAAGCAGAAATTGAACTAAAGGTAAGCAATATGGAAACTGTTATGTTTAATCAAGGACCAAAAGACTGCACAAAATTACAAATAACTGCTACAATTATTGAGACAAAGTAATTATAATGATAAATACAATAAATGTTATAAGTATATGTAAATACTTCAGAATATTACACGACAAACTTGCGTTACAACATATGCGTAGAAATTGCTAGGAATATAATTATTTACTGAATATTCATAAGTAGTATAAAACAATACGCAAAGTCGAAGGGAAGTAAATAAGGATAGAGAATGTAAAACAGACTTAACACTACTTCTATTACTTTGGGATTCACGCCTACAATTCCATCTCACTATGTTCGTAGGGTGTGGCAATTTGAACCGATATACGTACATATGCTAGATTCTACGTTTCGTATGACTGACTGACTGACGTACGATGGTATCTGGTAGTAGTTTGCAGTGTGTTGCATCATCTGATCACATCTCGATGAGATTTTATCACAGTATTTGTTTTCTTATTTTAACGTTACAATGTGTTTCCATCTGGTTTCTTTACTTTCAGTGGCTTTTTCTTGTTTTTTTCCAGATCCTCAACCACAACCATATACTATTGAAACTGTATGTGAATTGTTGTCTAATCTCATACATTCCCTTTCTCCTGAGCATAATAAAGAGAGTGTGATTTCTATTTCATTAGGACTTATTACAATCGCACTAGAGACAGGGGCGGATGCGATAGCCAGTAGTCCACGATTACTTCATTTAGTTCGAGGTGATTTAACCAAATATTTGATGCTGGTACGAAGATGTAAAAAATTACGTTTTTTGTTTTTTATTTAAGGATAATTGAGTTCAATATGTTAATGTTATTTAACGTAGTACGATATTATTTTAATAAATATTTACTAATGAACTATGCATAGTACTCTCAATTTTTCTTTTGGACGAACTAACTCCATAAGATCGCAATGTTTTATGTGTATATACTTTAGATGGGATCTCAAACCACCAATCTCTTCGAAAAACGGTAAAAGTTTCGGAAGATGAAAAAAACCCTGAGTACTTGGAAAATTCGTTAAGATTTTAATGCTAAGCTATGCGCTTTAACGATCTGTCTCAGTGAGTAAATTCATTCATTATTTTATAGCCAGCTTACCTAATTAAGAATGCCGAATGTTCTCTGTTCAGTGTGAAATTGAAAGATATGAAAGGTATATTTGGAGATTTGAATTAGAAGTACTGTGATTCTTTTTGAATACTTTTACAGAGTTGAAGCCCAATCCCAGGCACCTTACACTGCTATCGGTATATTTTGTTTAGATCTCTAATTCATAAGTATTAGTCGTCCTATTACGAAATCGGCATTTCCTGCTGGAGAACTAAACAGTGTAAAATCAGGCTTGTTTAATTTTACGAACATGTTTTATCGACAAACAAAAATCAGGAAAACGAAAAGCCTTCACGCTGATTGCCCCTGAATATTTATTATTCTACTCAGTAGTGTATTATAGAATCACAACCCTGTTGTTGACTTGAACGAACTCATTTGACACTTATTAGATAAGTTTATGTGTATTCAACTCTTCTAGTTATCTCAAAACTGCTGTAGTATTAATGATATTTTGTCTTATTTATAGTTATTATATTCAGAAGACGTTTGGCAATTTGCTGCTACTCTACGTGTATGTTTCTTGCTGTTCGAATCCATGAGGAGTCAATTGAAGTTACAAATGGAGGTAGGGTATTTAAAAGTTCGATTTGATTTTGTTTCATCACTTGTTGTATTAGTCGATAACTTTCTACCTATCTTGTAAACTGCTTTCCTTTCCATGATAGCGAATAGTTCATGGTCTTGTTATTATCCTAATTACTCAGAAAAGAGGTTGTATGGAGAGATTCGTTGCATGCCTGTTTCACGTATAATCCATATTGCAACTGAGCAGAGTACCTGTAACCATTCGGTCATTGAAGAGGTTAGGACATTTTGTTGAATTCTAGAAAAACCTAATTTGAAATATCTTATCCAAATAACTTTTTATACAATCCAATTTGTACCAAAATGAATTTAAATGGTCGCATAAATAATTCATACGTGACACTCACAAGCTGCTCGTCCCTATACATTTAGAATCCTTTCCCTGAAGTGTTAGGTTCTTGTGTTTAGGTTTTCTGTTCAACGCATTCAACTACTTATTATAGAACGCATTAACTAATCTTGTCAGTCAGTCAGTCAGCTATAACGTAGGACCAGACACATATATACATCAGTCCAAGTTGCCATACCGCATTAACACAGCAAGACGAACACCGGATTCATAAATGTAGTAGATTCAGTGGTTTTATTTATTTATTTATTTTAACACATAAATATCGGTACAAGAAGGCACCAAATACATATGCGCCACACATATCTCATTTGATATGTGTGGGGGCTGTGATACTGCCCGGGTGCCCAAACCGAAGCAGGTGGTTTTCTTAGGGGGCCACACCCCGAGCCTTTGACCTGAAGATCTGATCCACAATGCAGTGGAGCATCGTGAGGAGATGCAGTCCCATGGTAACCGGTGACCAACGATTGGTTCATACGCCATTTGTTCCTTCAGGATACTGGAGCCCATGTGCACCATTGATTTGGGATCCGGTTAAAGCGCCGGACATTCGCTTTTCGTCCTCTCATTTTTGTAAACAACACCTCCGCCACGAGAAGGCAGTGAGTAGGACTTCCCTGGCAGGGGCTGTATACGCGTGTCCATATGAGAGCATTTCGAGAGGGAGAGCGGACTCCCCCCACTCTCGGCCGTACCAGGGCATTTGGGGGCATAGAACAGGATGGAATAATTTATTTGTAGAAAGAAAGATATAAAGCAATTTTAATGTCGTAGTTTAGAAGATGACAGAGAAATTATACACCGATCGATTCTGAACTATATCACTCAGAGTCTCGAAACATTGGATTCGATAGTCGCGCGGACCCCAACCGAGTAGTGTGCATCCACCAGTTTGTGTAAGTAATACACAAAAAGTTGGACGACGTTTATCCATTGTTTACTTCTAATACCATTCGAACTTTACTTCCAAGTTTTTACAATCACGCGTTTCAGGGTGTATGATTATACGGAGTGGAGGCAAACCAGTTGTATAGATTTAAAACAGTACGCGACTACCTACAGTGTGATCGGTGGGGAGATATTCATGCAATACCCATTTGACGAAAGTGAAATACTTATGCTTGTCGCATTATACTTTAATAATTAACAATGTGGGTCGAAGCATAGGTAATAATCATTACACATTGACTTTTATGGTTGTAGTAGTTGGTTTGTTAAGAATTATTGAAACGTGAATTTTCTGTCTCTTCGTCTATTTTATTTGTATACTTTTTTATCTGGACACTTTATAGGTTTATCTACAAAGATTAACTGCTATCATTTCTTCAGATAACGAATCAACGGGTTATGAACGACGTGAAATTGCATTGGATTCAGTTGTTCGTTTATTTCTCGTTCCTGGTTTAGCTGCAGAGCTTTACATAAACTATGATTGTGATCCATATTGTTCTAATCTGTTTGAAGATATTACAAAAATGTTAGCTAAAAATGCTTTTCCTGTTGTACGTTTAATGGGTACTCATTTACTAGCATTGGATGCTCTATTGGCTGTATTGAACACTATTGAAGTACAGTGCGGTGCATCACAAACAACAATAATAGATCAAAATTCTTTGAACAAATCTCCAAATTCGACAAATTGTTTACCATTGATCGATAAAAGTAGCAATATTGATAGTAAGTATAGAGTACGACCTAATCGTCATTTTGTTGATTTAACAAAACTGCCATCTCGAGAAGAATTAAACATTTCCAAGTCCAAAAAGAAGGTAGGTTTTATTGCTAGGTCTGTCAGATTCGCAAACATTTGAGTTAGTACTTGGATATATATATCTATTTATGGAAACCTAGCATTTTCACATGAAGCTGTGATGACTTGTTGTTTTAGCTAGTTGACTTAAACAGGTTTTTCTTTGCAGATTTAGACTATTGATCAGTCATATCTTAGTTGATTATAATATGATGCCATATGTATGACAATTGTACATCTTAAATATAATGAATAAGGCTATCATCTTCATTAATTAAATGTAGAAACCCAATTCTATTTCTTATTATTCATGTAAAGTAGATGATATTGTGAGTTTATTATTCAGGATTGGGTTGCATCGACACCCAAACTAATGATAGGGAGTGAGCGTGTCGACGGCTTCATTTATCTTGGGAGTCTCATCAGCCCTTGTGGTCTGGTGTGTGACGAAATCTCAGCACGGATACAGAAGGCTCGACTAGCTTTTGCTAACTTGCATCATTTATGACGTAGGCGAGATATCCGTCTATCAACCAAGGGATGTGTTTACTGCACAGCAGTTCGTTCCGTCCTACTTTGTGGCAGTGAAACATGGCCGGTAAGAGTAGAGGATATTCGTAAGTTACTAGTATTTGATCATAGGTGTCTTCGAAGCATTGCTCGTATATCCTGGGACCATTGAGTACGGGATACAGTTGTAAGCAAACGGGTATTAGGTAAGGATGGCAAACCAGTTAATGAAGTAGTGAAGCTTCATCAGTTGAGATGGCTGGGACATGTATTACGCATGCTCGACCACCGACTGCCCCGACGTGCTATGTTTTATGGTGTAGGACTAGGTAGAAAGAAAGTTAGGGGCTGCCAGAACAATACATGGCGCAAATCCATGAAGTCACTGACAAGTGAACTAAGCCATGTTAGTAGATGTAGACTACCTGGTTGGGATCTGTGAGACGATAGCAGCTGATGGTTAGAGACCTTGAATGACATAGCTCAAAATCGTTTGCAATGGCTCAGGTGCATCCACTCTTTGTGTTCTCCCAAATTCTAATCTTCTGAATTCTTCATGTCCATTTATTTTTTTCTCCTTGCAAAGTTATTTCACTGGATTATACTCCTTGAATAACATCTTCAAAACCTGATCTTTCCGATTATTGCTTATACTCTTACTACCTCTACCAGTAAGGGATTTGAATCGACAACTGCATCTCTGTGCTAATGTGGTATGGTAACTCGAACTGGTGTATGTACCTACGAAGTTCTACGTTGTTAGTGACTGGCTGACGAATTTTCAATACTGATAAAATATTCCAAATTTTATACTATTAGTTTTTATCATACTGTTTTGTGTAGTTTCATACTCCTTACTTGTTTTTCTTGTTTGTTTGTTTATTTGTTTAAAGTTAACCAGTCAATTTACATTTTGTAATTTGATTGTCTTTATACCGATTGTTTAAATGGTTTAGATATGCTTTCTTACAAGTTCAATACATAAATGTATTTATTGATTTATTTGAACATATGTATTGATACAAAGGGGCATCGAATACATATGCACTACACAAGTCACTTGATTTGTGTGTAAAGGCTGGGATACTGCCCGGGTTCCCAAACCGAAGCATGTGGTTTTTTTGGTGGGTCAGTCCTCGAGACTTGACCTAAAGGTCTGATCCATAAGGCAGTGGAGTAACGTCAGGAGATGCAATCCCATTGTAGCCGGTGACCAACAATAGGTTCATACTCCATTTGTTCCTTCAGGATCCTGGAGTCGTGGTTTTTCCGACTCCGCTAGGTGAACTCTCAATGTCCACCAACCCGGTTAAAGCGCCAGATATTCGTAAACAACAGTAATGCCGCGAGAAATTACTGAGTACAACTTATCTGACAGTGGTTGTATACACGTGACCATGTGAAAGCATTTCTAGAGGGAGAGCTTTCTCTCCTCACTGTCAACGGTACCAGGGCATTTGGGTTTATCCATAAATTAAAGATTTAGGTATTCGAATTTTATTTATTTATTATATTTTTAATACAACACGTTCTAATTGTAGGTTATTTTTGATAACTATTTTATCTATTTTAGTTATTAATATTGGGTTCAGATCATTTTAATACAAAACCGAAACGTGGTATAGCATTTTTACAAGAAAATGATATTTTACAAAAACCATTAAATTATGATGAATTAGCATTGTTTCTTCGTGAAAATCCACGTTTAGAAAAACGAATGATTGGTGAATATATTAGTGATCGTGAAAATACTGATGTGTTAACAGCATTTGTTAGGTAAGATAAACTATTTTGCGTGTTTTATTGCTGTTTTCTTTTGTTTTTGTTTTTATACGAGGTGACTTAGTTTGGATTAGAATTGTAATATTGATCTTACAGTTTAAGTTGGGATGTAGGTTGGAGGTGGATTCTGGTTACTGTGTCAGCTAGTAAGCAACATAACAAAGTACATTAGAAGCGAAAAACCTGCAAAATTAAATCCTAAGATTATCAATTGGTTGATGATGAAGTAAGCTATAAACTTCTTTGTTGGTGTTTATAAGGTAACACTTATCTACGACTGAAAATTATTTGACACTACTCAAAATCGATCTCAATAGAGTAAATAAAATCACTTTAAATCATTAGCATAGTATTTTGTTTCACACTATCATTCGTCGGTTTACATCTGTTTTTCAAAAAAAATCTCCTCCTTACCTTTAGATTTCGACTGGAGTTGAGGTTATAAATTCGTTGTTCTCCTTGTTCATCAACCCTTCTCCGTTGGTGATTTAAAATTCAAAACCGTGGATCGATACAAGTAGTTTCTTTATTGATACTCATTTATTTTTTTGATATCAGCTTCTGAAAAATGGATAATCACTAACTACTACAATTTACTAAGTTCACTTCCATCCAAAATAAGATGGTATGCATTGTGAGACCGATTTTTAATTAGAAGATTTTAAGAAACAATTTAAACTTCTGTTATTCTTTCGATAATTTATATTCATCTATCTAATTTGTAATTGTTATGTAGAAATATCACCCATCCTTCAGTTTAATCTTTTAACAATCAACAACTACTCTGTAAAATGTTCACTTAGTATTTGTTTATCTTGCTTGTGTTCGTTTTCTGTGTTAGTAACAAGTTGATGATTAAATTCCAAAAATCTTGGATCGTGGCGAATTTACGACTAAAATTTCTTCTATGTATTCCATCTTTTCAGGTGTACTTCTTAGTTGTCATATTACACACATAAATTATATTCCTTAACTGGTTACTATGTATTTTAATACATATTTTGTTTATATTTAAAAGGCAGTTTAATTTTGTTGGAGTTCCAATCGATGAAGCTTTACGTGTTTATTTGGAAGCATTTCGATTACCTGGTGAAGCACCACTTATTCAACGTATAATAGAACATTTTGCAGAACATTGGTATACATCAAATCAATCACCATTTGTTGATGTTGATGCTGCTTTTACATTAGCCTATGCTATTCTTATGTTGAATACAGATCAGCATAATCCGAATTCTAAGCGACAGAATGCTCCAATGCGTATGGAAGATTTTAAAAAGAATTTAAGTGGTTAGTTAATGATTTTGGAAATGTCCCCCAGTTTAACCACATTATTTATTTGAACACATAAATATTGGTACAAACGGGCACCGAACACATATGTGCCACACAAGACACTTGGTTTTTGTGAGGGCTGGGATACTGCCCGGGTGCCCAAACCGAAGCAGGTGGTTTTCTTAGGGGGCCATACCCGGAGCCTTCGACCTAAAGGTCTGATCCACTAGGCAGTGGAGGTTAAGCACATTCACCTAGCCTTTTACTCCCTCAGTTTGGTGTTTAAAATCCTATTGTAAATTTATCTTATGATTCAATGGATAAAATTTTACCACTACAAAGATACGTCTCAGTAATTCGAACGTCTAAACTTCCAGGTATGGAGTCAAGTGCACGGATTTCGACCTATTTAAATTTATTTATACATCTAAAATTTTCCATTAGCCTTCAGGAAATGATGAAATTTAGTATGCAGTTCACTGCTCTGTTCTTATTTTAAAGTTCCTGTCATCCGGAAACTTCTTATTACATCCCGATTTCTGCTTCACTTATGGCTGTTACCCCTCGTGGAGTATTAGCCGCTAACCAGGAGTTTACGAATATCTTTGCCTGAGGTCGCCTTTCTAGTTTTAACCAAGCTCTATTCATGCTTTAGATATTACCCTAAAATACCCGGCACCATATGTTTTGCTATGTGTGTCTCTTCCATTTGCATTAAGGATTCCAATTTAGGTCTTGCTTTGTGATATATTTTTTTGATGTCCACAAACTGTATCTTATCCACCTTCTGCATCTTTTTCTAATTTCCCCTTAACATGGGAGGTGGTTTGTTCTCTGTCAGAGAAGATTATCATCGATTATCTCTGAGCAACGGATGTGGGGTATCTTGATTAGACAGCTGTCTATAAATAATTTTACATTTTTGATGATGGTGATAGTGGTTGTCCAAGTTTCAGCTCGATACAATGGAACTGTGTTAATGTTCATGTTGAAAATCTTGACTTTGGTGTAGTGTGAGATTTGTTTTGAGTTCCAGATGTTCTTCATTCTTAAGAATGATGTATTTGCTTTGCCAATTTGTACCAGTCCATGTTGTTTCATGGTACCTTCATTCCTGGTGTTTTCCATTACGAGATTAGGTGGTGGTTGGAGGTAGTCGACAAGAAACCCTGGACCCGGGTTTCGTGCTACTTGGCACTCGTCAGCAAGGTGTACCTGTAATCTTTGAGGGGACTGGTGCTCCCTGGCGGATTCGATTCCGTGTCAACCACCATCTAATCTTACAATAGTGCCCACCAGCCACCTAGACTGGTGGCCACATTGCAACATGATCGATAGCATTCGATCTGCACTAATAATAAAGACTAGACACGCATGACATTGGTCACCACCCAGTGTTCAATCAATTGTGACACATCTCTACGACTGTCCACAGCTTCCCATATAACTGATCCTTATAATCTTCGTTGCTATCATCGTTGGGTGCATAGTACTGGATGACGTTGTAATCTCGTCCTTTGTTTTGTAGGATGTTTTGATGATCCTGGATCCTTGAGATTTCCATCCTATAGGTTCACCTGAGTTGTAGATCACCGTCATTAAAAAATTTCTTATGTTGTTTTTCTGCGTCACCAGCTGATGCTAATTGAAAAATTCATTGTAAATTTGGATAGATCTCAAATGAAATTTACACAGAATTCATACACTTGACAGCTTAATACAGTGGATATATTATATTCTCTTTAGTTATTTGAACTATATTTTCATTACTAGGCATGAATGGAAATCAAGATTTTGATCCGAAACTCTTGGAATCCATTTACAATAATATTCATAATCATGAAATTGTAATGCCTATTGAACAAACCGGTTTAGTTCGTGAGAATTATTTGTGGAAAGTAAGAATTTATGATTGTTTTTATCTTTTATTTATTTAAGCACATAGGTACATAGGTACAATAAGGCACCAAATAGATATGCGCCACATAAATCATTCGATGTGTGTGAGGGCTAGGATACTGTATAGGTGTTCAAACCAAAGCAGGTGATTTTCTTAAGGGAGCCACTCCCCAAGCCTTTGACTTAAAGGTCTAATCCACAAGACAGTGGAGCATCGTAAGGAGATGCGGTCACATGGTATCCGGTGACCAACGATTGGTTCATACGCCATTTGTTCCTTCAGGATCCTGGAGCCCATATACACAATTGGTTTGGAATGAGGGTTTTCCAACTCTCTTAGGCGGATCCATATCTTATTAGATTATATTCAAAATGTGATAAGTGTTAATTGGTTCGAATATATTGTTAATTATATATGATGACATCATATTTCTCATATACAAGACTAGTGAGTTGCACTTTAATTGTTCATACAATGAATAATGTGTAAATTCTGTATCTAACATATTGATATCTGACACAGACAGACAGACATCATCAACGTAGAGTCTGACACAGTTGTACGTTGGCCTGTGATACCATACTTGATTAGCATTACAAGATATATATATATATATATATATATATATATATATATATATATATATATATACTGTGTTCTATTTATATCGACATGAGTAGTATGTGACGGTAGTCAGGTTTAGAATGTCTGACAGCAGATTGTCAAGAAGGAAAGAACGTGAACAGAAAGCAATTGGTATGAAAATGTAGGGACAATAAAGTGTGAGATGATTGACTGATATTTGCAAAAGGAACAGTCCAGTTTGAGGCAATTGATTGATATTTTGCAAATTAAGTATTTACTGTATGGTTCTCAGATTTTATCAAAATGTTCTGTAATTTTGTGTTCAAATAAATTAGATTGTACCCCACTTGTGTTCTTGTTCACTACAATGCTATTTCATAGTGCCTTTTACGTCGTTCATCCACTAAACAAGCCCTGTTCATTCATGTACAAACTGGTGCATTTGATGCTGATCTATTCGAATTAATCTGGGGACCTACAGTATCTGCTTTATCGTTTATATTTGATAAAACTAATGATCCTGAAGTACAATCTAAAGCGATTGATGGATTTAATCGATGTGCCACAATAGCTGCTTATTATGGAATGAGTGATGTACTGGACAATTTAGTTATTTCTCTGTGTAAATTTACAACTTTATTAACTACTAACGATGTAAGTGTTTATGTTCCAATTACTTTTTGGACTATTTATTATTATTATTATTTTCAATTCAGTCAGTCAGTCAGCTACAACGCAGGACCAGGCACTTATATGCATCGGTCCATGTTGCTATACTTCATTAACACAGCAAGACGAACACCAAATTCATAAAAGTAGTTAAATAAGTGGTGCTAATATATAAAAGAATGACTGCATATAAGAACTTAGTACAGGATGGAAGAATTAGTTGGTAGAAAGATATGAAGCGATTTTAATCTCATAGTTTAAAGGAAGACAGAGAGTGTATACACCAACGCCATTGTGATCGTTCCTGAGCCATATCACCCAGAGTTTCAAACCATTGGTTACGATAGTCACGCGCACCCCAACGAAGTAGTCTGCATCTACCAACATGGCTCAGACTAGAAGTTAGTGACTTTACAGACTGACGCCAAGTTCTGGTTCGGCCGCCCCTAACTTTCCTCCAACACTAGTCAGCATTGCGCGTCATGGTTAGTGGGTTTTCAATTAGAATACAAAATTAAGTTATTTTTCTTTTTTGAATATTTTACCATACAAATAATGAAATATAAATATACTAGAACGTGTAAATATTTGTGTATTGCATGAAACCATTGAATAGTTGAGATCATGAGTTGATCAATGTTAGATCACTATTAAAAACCTGGACGCACTGGATGGCCGTTTCCTCGTAGAATGGGACTCCACCATTCCTCACGCACAACTCTATCTGAGGAGCCAACTATAAACCATATAGTCATGGATTTAAACCAACTGTCATGTACTGAAGTTTTATTTAATAAATATTTTCAAAATTCGTACAATCAATATCGTTCATCATTTTATGCAAACGTTAGTACACATTATTCACTCTTCTATGTATACCTTTTCATTGCAATGTAGTTTTCAAAGTTGTTTAGCTTAGTACAAGTTGAACTATGTCAAGGATCTGTCAACATATTTACGCTATCCGACACATTAATGTAATTTTCTTTTCTGGTTATGTTATTTCACATTTTAGAATCCTACAAATTTACCAATTATGCTTGGACGCAATACAAAAGCTTGTTTAGCGCTTTATTTAGTGTTTACAATTTCATCTAGACATGCAGATATTTTACGTTATGGGTGGCATTCATTATTAGACTGTTTATTACAATTGTTTCGTGCAAATCTTTTACCTAATGAACTACTTGAATCACAAGACTTTCTAGCATCTTCTCGTAAAGTTTATATAACTACAAAAGGTTGTATACCTATAAAGAAGGAATCAAAAAACTTACGTCATTCACACAGACGCCGTCAAAAACCATCCTGTCTACAAAACACTAACAATAATCGGTAAGTTATCTAAGTTGTTTCAACTCTTCACTTTCAATGGCTTCTTGATTTCATGTGCCTAATCTTAGTCTATATATATATATATATATATATAACTTTCAATGCTAGGCTAATCCGTAATTACAATAGTTCTTTTAAATGTTCTATGAAATATTGATTTCCATGTTTACTGATAACATTTTATTTTAAATTTGTTGTGTTCATCTTTTTGTCCTTCAATCAATTATTAGTGAATTAGGTGTATTCAGTTCATTCTATCAATATTTAACTACTGGATCTTCATGGATTGGTTCTGGTGATGAAGAAGACGATGAATTTAAAGATGATGAAAATGATAATGAAGATGAAAATGATGAGATCATTTTAAATAAAGATATTGGAATATCTTCATCACTTGATTATCAATCATTGAAGACGGTACATCCTGATGAAAGCAAATTATTCAATAATAATTTATTAATTAATCAAAGTCATTTATTATCATATGTTAATCGTAGTCAGTTAGATGAACAAACATCTTCACGGTTCGCTTCGGATATTGTTATTCAATGTCGTATTGATCAGTTGATTGAAGATAGTAAATTCTTAGTTGACGCCTCATTAACTGAACTAATTAAGGTATGTTGAATTTTATTTCTTTGATTTTTGGAGTGAGGAATATATTTATCTATCGATATTTATTGTTTATTGGGACTTATTGATTTTTCATTGGATGGATGATCTCGATTGGTAAACACAAGTTAATGTTCTCACTTTTACTTTTATCAGGTGTATTGGATTGATCATATGTTTTGTATGTCTTGATTGGTAGTGGGTAACATTATAATAATAATAATAATAATAATAATAATAATAATAATTATTATTATTATTATTATTATTATTATTATTATTATTATCTGCTTAAACACATAAACATTGTTACATTGAAACATCATATATACATGTTCAACACTTCGTCATTCGATTTGTGTGTGAGCTGGGATACTGCCCGGACACTCAAACCGAAGCAGGTAGTTTTCTTAGGGGTCCACACTTGGAGCCTTGGACCTAAATTCTAATCCACAAGTCAGTGGAGCAACGTAAGGAGATGCAGTCTCATGGCAGCCGGTAACCAATAATAGACTCACAAATAAATACTGATTAATAAAGTAATCTGTGATTGTTATTGCCTAAATAGGAATTTTTATTTTTATTTTAGATGAATATCGGGTCTTGGCTAGAATCTCTGTGTTTTCCTTTTTTAAAAAAAACTTTTACAGGCTCTCTTATGTGCTACACGAGGAGATTCGTATACTACGCTTTCGCATAATTTTGATTCTAATTCCGTTTTCTCTGTGGAAGGTTTACAGCATGATAACACTCATCTCTCAAATCGATCCGTACAAAGCTCATGTTTAAATATTGATTCAGGTTTATCATCATCATCATTAGCACCAATCGATTCAAGTTCTTTACCTAGTACCACCTTGACAGAAACTGAAGTATCGAATATGGGCGTTTCATCTCAAGATCAGAGTCAACATAATTCAACAATGCACCTATTTCCGCCTTCTTCTCCACCAACATTAATACAATGGACTGGTAATGGTAGTACATCATATTATTCACCATTCAATGTCACCGGTGTTACTTCGTCAGATGATTGTCGTGTATTCTGTCTAGAACTACTTATTCGTGTATTAATGCGTAATCGTGATCGGTTGGTATGTTTCTGGTCATTAGTCAGATATTACCTTGTTGATTTACTGTTGTCTGCACGTTCTTCAAATCTTCTTGTTGAAAGAGTGATTGTCGGTTTCCTACGTCTAGCCATCTGTTTATTACGTCGACATGAAGTAACCAGTCAAGTTAGTTTTTTTTTGATAATTTTATCCCTTTCTTATTTTATATCAGTACATGTTTTGCTTTTGAAGTATCTGAACCAACTTCACTGATACATTGTGTCAATTTGACCTGATTCTCATTCAGTGTCAGGTCTTACTTTGTTCATAACTAAGTGACAATAGTAGTAATCAGGCTTTTAAGTAATTCATATATTCGCTTCAGAAAAAAAATGTTTATTAAATGTCTGAGTGGAGCCCACTGATAATATTTTTTTTGTTTTTATCCAAATACAGAAGTAATTTTCAGTCTAGTTTGTATAATGTAACATGTTTATAGTTGATTTTAGAAACCAGAAGAATATCTCCATAATTTTCTCGTACCATACTGACATAATTTCCATACAAGATGACTATAAGCATCTCTAATTTCCTTGCATGACCTGTAGCTAAGTATTGGCATAGTGACATGTACCAACTAACACTTAAATTACACCATCGGTAATGCTATGCTATGCAGATGTAAAATATCTAATTGCTATTCTTAAATTTTACATTATGTTCTATTAATGATTTTTATAGTGTTCATTAGTTCTTCTTTACAAATTACATGAAATATTTATAATGAGCAGTTTGCATAAAAGCATTATAAATCCATTATATCTGATGGTGTCTAATCATTTGTAAACAGTTTGAAAGTATTAAATATATTGGCATTACCAGTTGAATAGTGTGACCTATTCATTGTTATTGTAAACTACCTAGAAAGATAGTTTTTCATCTCCCGGTTACCGTATATCATTGGTTTACGAATTCCGCGTAACTAAGTTTGGCGCAGTCTTGATTTCAATCAACCCATGATGTTAGACATTAACACCGTTGGATTCCGTCTCAGTAGCCACTAGAATAAGCGTTCGCGCACGAGACCGATGGTCCTTGTTTCGAGTCCCATGTGCAGGATCGTGGATATACACTGCTGAGGAGTCCCATTCTAAGACAAAACGGTCATCCAGTGCTTCCAGGTTTTTGATGGTGGTCTTGTTTAGATCGATTCATAAATTCAACTATTAAAATTCCTACAATCTCCACAAATCCCCATCCTGATAGTAGTCATATTGTGTTCCCACACTATTTTTCTTCTGGTTAGAGTTTTTTTGGCGAGTTATTTTTTCTACGGGATGGGGTCGCTAACCTCATACCCGACCCTCCTCGTTTACCCGGGCTTAGGACCGGCAGTAACTCTGGATGAGCTACTGGCTACCGAAATAAGAACTCTTTATACACAATCCGGGTGACAATGACAGTATAATTCTTAATTTTAAAGTAATTATTATATTTTTAATCGTTTGTCGGCCAATTTCGATGCATTATAATTAACAATTAGTTCATTTTTCTTTCATTATTTTCAAACAATTTCAGATCTTTGCAACACTTTATTGGTTATTACTAAATCATGGTGAACATCTTATGTATTCTGTTAATCTGTCATCAACATCATCACCACAAGCAAGTATTTCTTCACCTAAATTATCGAATTCACGTCATACACATAAAAAATCTTCTACATTCTTTGTTAACAATAGTGGTGGTAGTACTTCATCTTTATTGTTATTGTTTAAACATGGTTCACGTGTTGCTCGACAAGTGATTAGTGGTTTAACGGATTTATTAAGAAATCATGCTGCTGATCTACCGGATCCAACTACTGATTGGAAACTTATTTTTGGTTTACTAGAGATATGCGGAGCTGGTCGAAGAGGTAATATGCTTTTGACGGGTACAACAATAGCGAAATGTAACAGTGAAGAGAAGTTCTCATGTAAGTTAATTTTGAGTTGCCACTGTTTTTCTTTCAATTTATCTATGTGGTTGATAATGATGATCATATTTTCAATAAGTTTTTTAGTTTACTTCACTTTTTATGTGTATATACTTCAATCACTTCAGTGAATAAAACATACTACTAGCAAACTTATTTTACATGCTTTTAAGAATATTTATTCATTACACAATGCTGGTTTAGTTAAATCTTATCGTTAAGGAATTGACAAAATCTGATTTCAATCCAATGGTGCACATGGACTCCAGGATCCTGAGGGAACAAATGGCGTATGAACCCATTGTTGCTCACCCTGTGGTGTGTGCTACTTATGTAGACATAAGTAGTATATGACGTGAGTACTGAACAGAATGTCTGGCAGCAGAGAGACGAGAAGATCGAACAATAAAGAATGAAGAAAGAATGCAATTTGTATGAAAATGCAAGAACAAAGGGATTCTGAGTCACTTGAGACAATTGTTGAACAATTTGCAAATTAACGATTTAATATATGGTTGTTGGATTTTACTAACTAATTCTGTAATTTGTTAATAAATACATTAGATTGTCCCCATTAGTGTTCTTGTTCACTACAACCGGCTACAATGGAACTTCATCTCCTGACATTGCTCAACTGCCTTGTGGATCAGACCTTTAGGTCAAGTCTAGGGGACTGACCCCCCAAGAAAACCACCTACTCCGGTTCGGGAACCCGGGCAGTATCCCAGCTCTCACACACAAATCAAGTGATTTGTATAGTGCATATGTATTCGATGCCCCTTTGTAACAATATTTATGTGTCCAAATAAAATTCAACAAAGAATCAAGTTAATAATTTACTATTCCTTTGTTTTGTTCGTTTGAATCTTTACATTGATGGTTATAACTGCAGTTGATCATTAGTTTATTTTTTTTCCTGGCATAATATCTGCATCCATCTCTACCCATAAAGTTTTTTACGTTATACTTATCCTACTTTTCGAATGTATCCTGTTTTTTTTTCATTCCTATATAAAATCGAAAGTAAATAAGTAGTATGGTTATCATTGTTAACTGACTAGTTCTTTTATGGTTGAACTTTTCAAGATCTAATCGTTTTGTCCATTTAATAAAAGGTAATGTCATTGACTTCTTATCAAACTCTTGTCTATTCAATCGGTTTTTTATAGCAAGAAATTCATAATTTGCTAATTCTTATTACAATTGCAAGTTGGATAATTAATGGATATGTCGCATACACTTTATGGATATTCGGAAAACGTTTATTGAGTTTTAGTTCAGGATTTTAGAATTTTTCAGTTAATTAAATATACTACAAATTGTAAGCAGAGATGATGGTGGCTAGCAGTGGAATAAAGGAAGCGTTTTTCGTCCAATTCGGGACTCTTTGGCTGAGTTGATGTCCACTCCGGAACTCGAACATAGTATCGGTCCCTTACGTTATTCTCTTATCTGCTGAGTCTAAGATGCCATTACCTTGTTCTGACGAGTCTCAAATAGGACGAAACGTGCGTCTTGGATTCAACTGCTATCCACCATCATCTCTGTTTATAATTCTTGTGTCTTGAAACAATGCGCATAGGATGGATATTTGCCAATAAATTACTGATCGATTGCAGTCCTGAACATTAATGGGAAGATTCAAACAACCAATACAAAAATCAATCATATTTCCCGAAATTTCTTTTCATAGAAACTTTTTTCTATTTTTTCTTTATTTGAATACAATCTACTTCATTCAAATCTACAACATATCACACGTCATACATATTCGTTTAATAATGAATTTGTTTTTTATATGATCATTTAGATTCTAGTTCAGATATTCCTCGAAAAATGAGTTCAAATCATTATTCAAATCCTTATAAATCTAGTCGTGGTTATACAAGCGATAGTGAAACACATCATACTGTTCATGAGGTTTCAGCAGTGACAAGTAAATCATCTTTACACTTATCCAGTTCGAAGATGTTTGTATCCGGAAACGATAGTGAACAAATCCATAAAAACTCATCATCAGAGGTGATCGAACGGGTTGAGAATGACACAACAGACGTTTCAGAGTCTTATGAAGTAATCCATAAGGTTCCTACTAAAATGGCACAAGTAACATGGGAGAAATCATCACTTCTTATATCTCCTTTAGTTTTAAGTTACGAAGTAGTGATTGGTTCACGCGATCCAGTAACTTTAGAACAAGCTGTCGACTGTTTAGCATTTTTAATTCGTGATCCAGCCCACATTACACCAGATAACTTTGAGGTTTGTGATAATTTTCATTCTGCATACTTATCTGTTGAATGTTTTAACTTAAGTGGCCGTTTAAGTAACCTGATATTTATTTTGCACACCAATTTGTCCCGGTTCAAAATGGTTTCTATATAGTGTTATGATATGCGGTGTCCGAGACTTAATACTAATACAAAATCTTTTTATATACGATTCCAATCGACTACTCGAGTAGAAAGACCGAGCGTAAAAAAGGAAGATTATAGACTAACCGAATCGACATGTATGCGTGTTAAAAAATTAAACCACCATAGGTGTTTTATCTCTTGAAATCTAAAGCTTTTTCTTGGCAAGTCATGTGCACTTATCGTTTACCAGATTTCTCATTGGTCCAATGTATTAGGTAAAAGTTACAATCGAATTGAAAAACTCAATTAATAAATATGCATAAATATCCCTCGACAACATCTCTCGAGGTCTAGGGAAACGTTTTATCCAATTAAAATTGAAGAGAAGCTTTTCAGAAACATTTTGAAAATGAAACGATTATGTATCATCTGATTGGTTAGTTACCCATGTTGTTTCTTGTTCAGAATGTTATCAAAATCTTTTAGAAGATCAAGGCCACATAGAAGTCTACATATACACTCGACTTCCCGTACATAAATAAGATTAAAGTAAAGCTCCTATTCTCATTTCCCACCTTTTTTAGATTATTCAATTTGAAATATGTAAGTAGTTTGAACTATGGGAAGTCAGTAGTGAATGTTCAATTACAGAACTTACCACATGCTTATAATATATCATTTGCTTCATGAAATGTGGTTTTTTTGAGTTGTTATAGTGTGTCAGTTTGATTTAGTCACAATCACATTTACATGTTTAGCTCAACAAACTAGGCAACATTAGAAGGTTAAAGATGAATAAGGAGCTTTAATGCTTGAGTAGAATAATCTTTCATATATATATCTATATATTTCTAATTAGTTTTTTTTTATTTTGTTTACTCCTAGTGTGCTGTTGAAGCATTACGTGTTTTTGTTGAAGCTTGTATTAATTTACCTCCAAGAAACGCAAATAATCGAGTTTTATCTTCATATGATAATAATCTTAAAACGGAATCAGGTCACCATCGTCGTTCTGATCATTCAAAGTTTCCAACGAATCGTCCCAATTATGCCTTATCTGATTCAGATACGGATACTGAACAACATCTTGAGCATGGAAAATTGAAGACATTTGAAAAAGGAGTGGTATTTAGTGAAACTGTACTTAGTCCTATTACTAGTGTCATTGCTGTACAGGTAAATTTTAATGTATTTCAACGTAATTAGTTAGTATTTTATATTGAATCGTATATAGATATATGCTACTTGATACAATGGAACAATGACTGATATGTTTCAGTGCAAAGAAAACAAATTCTTGGACTGTAGATAAATAGTTTTGCGAGGTATCATCCATAAATTCACAATTGATTCAACCATTAATCAAATGCTCTATCAGAAATACAATTAGTATACCAGATTTTCTTACCTGATCAGTATTTATAATTTGATGACTAACGTTTACTGAGAGTTATTTTCAGTACTTCTCAGATATTTCCTGGACCCTACAAATTTCCATTCCTAAATCCTGAATAGAAAACAAATGCAGAAGCGTAGGAAGTTATACTTCGACTAATAGACTACACACAAAAACCAAGTTATTTGGATAACTACACATGACAATGAGATCCCGAAAAGTTGCCTAACTTTACAGTCGTTACTTGGTTTACTTGATCGTTTGACGCTTAGTTATAACCCACTTCGATCGTTGATTCACGTTTTTCTAGATTCCTCTTGGAAGCTTCCAAAAAGCGCTGTTTAGTTGAAGTATTTTCAGCACTTTTTCTGGCTTCTAAAGAGTTTTTAGAGGAAGTATCGAGCGTTCATTGAAATCTAGCAAACGTTGATTGATTTCTCGGAGTATGTTGTATGTTAGCATCCAATGATTATAGAGTTCGGATCTCATTGTCATACAAATACCCTCGTTTTGTGAGTTGTCTGATATTCCAAGTGTAACTATTTATTTACTGTGAAGAAGTGTCTTACATTAAGTCACGAAACGTCAGAAATACAATTTTTCTACTCATTACGATCTAACAAAAACTATATTTATTATTAACTACTTACCCAATACTGAATTTATTTGTAATTTTTTATATTCGAATGGATGCGATATTTCTAAATATAACGTATGAGGAAGACCTCTGCAATCGGTAATCATTGTATTTTTACGTAACTGACATGGGTTGGTTGTAAACTCAATCTTTTTCGGTTTTATCCAATGAATCTTAACACGATTGATCTTTTAGAGTAGTTATGTTGCTAGAATTGAGTAGAGTTGTTGTATATAATATCTCTGTTGTTGCTGAAGTTAATACCGAGTATCTCGCTTCGTGACATAGTTTCCTAGTACTTTTTTCCTGTCCAGGGTTTAAGCGGTGCAAAAATCGATGTACATGTTATCTATGTACAAGACCTACTAACTTACCAATATGAAATTTAATTACGTGCTCTATATACGATTACAAGATGCAACAGACAGAATTTGTTTTCATGAATTTATATTCAGATTCTTATAATATCTTAAATGTCTGACAAATAAATATATCAGAAGGGTGTTTTTGAAGATATTATAGTAATTTCAATAGTTGAGATCATAAGTCAATTGATGCTAGACCACCATGGATAACCTAGAAGTATGGTGTCCGCTACTTATATACACATAAGTAGTACATAACGACAGTCAGTAATAGAATGTATTTCAGTAGAAGATCGAAGAGGGAAGAACAGGAACGAAGTGCAATTAGTATGAAAATGCAGGAACAATGAAATCTGAGACGGTGGACTGATATTTACAAAAGGAACAGTCAGTTTTGAGGCAGTTGACTGATATTTTGCAAATTAACGATTTACTATATGGTTCTCAGATTTTAATGAAATATTCTGTAATTTTGTGTTCAAATATATTGGACTGTGCCCACTCGTGTTCCTGTCCACCACAGAAGCACTGGATGACCGTTTCGTCCTATTGTGTGACTCCTCAGCGATGCGCATCCACAATTCTGCCTCGCGAAGTTCGAACCCAGGATCTATCAGTCTCGCACTCGAACGCTTAACCACTAGACCATTGAGCCGGCTAGTATCCAATGGTGTTAATGTCTAACTTCAACTAATCCACGAAATTGAATGATATATCCACCATTGTTTTCAATGAATTACTATCTCACTGCTAAAGAATCTCACAATAAGACGAAATTGTCGTCTAATGTTTCCAAGTATTAAATAATGATCTAGTTTCAATTGTTTCATGATCTTAACTATTAAAATAAATATATCTTGTATATGATATTTTAATTTTAATACTTCTTTTAGCTTCTAGATTTAATTAACATTTTGTTTACACGTGCAACTTCAATATACAGAGAATGGACAAGAATGAATCCTGGTCAATTGAATCCATCTAATATTGTAAATGATGAATTAATAAATATTCAACAAGATAATATTGAAATATTGAATACAAATATTGATTCAATTAATTTAGATCATTTATGGAATATTTGTTGGCGTCCATTATTACAATCCACAGCTAGATTATGTTCAGATATACGTCGTGATGTTAGAACAGATGCATTAACTTATTTACAAAAAGCATTATTATCTCCAACATTACATTTATTAAATGGAAAACAATGGGAGAATTGTTTTAATGAAGTAAGGGAATAAATTTTTATTTAACTAATAGAGAGTATTTATTTATTTATTTATTTTAACACATAGATATCAGTACAAGAAGGCACCAAATACATATGCGCCACACAGATCTCATTGGATATGTGTGAGGGCTGTGATACTGCCCGGGTGCCCAAACCGAAGCAGGAATAGAGAGTATAATAATATCTGTTCAAGGGAAGACTATAATTTATGAATGAACCAATAAGGTATAAGATAATAGGTTTCGAATTTTAGCGAGAAATTCACTCATCCATTATTTGGCATTATACCTGATGTCAGTTCATGATAAAAGTCCCACAAATCTAATTTCTAACTTTAATAATCAACTGTAAATCATAATTGGAATTCTTCACATTGGTTTATAACCTTCATTTGGTTCTACTTATTAGATGGACACTCTCAATGTCAGTCTAGAGTCGCTTAAAGGTCGTCCATCACCACTTTCAGAAGTATTATTATTACTAATGGCTTTAATCAATATTATATCGCCAGTTAGATGTAAACAGTCCGGGAATCGACATTTCAATAATGTTCATTTATAGAGGCTAATTTCCCCTATATCTAACTCCAATAAATAGTATCCCGTTAATTGAGTATTTAATGCAGGCTAAATTACGGATTTACTCAACGTTTATTCAAAAGCCCGAATACCAGTTACAGAGATAGTTTATTGTGAGAGATAGGTAAAATTCTCAAGCGTGCAGGAAGCAAAGCACACAGGCAAACGAAGTGTGTGTGTGTATTAAAAATCCATATATATTTATGAGTCTTAATTAAGTATGGATAAATTATTGATTATCTATGTATTACAACCAATCGGAGAGTAGATTAAAAATTGACATGTGTTCAATCAAACTCATACAGAAACTTACATAGTGGATCAAGTGTCTAAATTACAGTGAGCAGATAAATAAAATACAATAGTTGAATAGGCTTACTACACATTCTTTTCTGTGGATATTACCAACTATCACGATGTCGCTGATTGTGCTTTTTTGCAACCTGTACACCGAAAGGTTGTAAACTTTTCATAAAGGTATCTCAATAGGTTATGCAATTAATTGATATAATGATGTGTTCAAACAAACAAAATAAAAACAGATAACTTGTTGAAATATTCAGATGGCAGGAATAGGTAACACAGATATTCAAACAGTTCACCCTAGAAGTAATCAATATTAGTAGCAAGTTAATAAATACAACTCTTTTCCCCTAAACCAACTGGTTTATTTTGATTAATTAAAATATGCTTGTATGTTCGTTATCCTATCTCAGACATTAAACCATAGAATCAATAAATTCACTTAATGTTGTTTTACTTGTATCTTCCCATGGTTATTTATAACTGCAATTGATCAGTCCCATATTGGCATATATGCATTCTGTGCGAACTACCTCTATATAGCTTTAATTCACAAGCATTTTAAGCAAAGATGAATAGTGGTTAGTAGTGTAAACACATCAAGCTGACCAGTCCCAAATAAGGATGGAACGTGCATCTTGAATTCCTCTGTTAGGCAGTATCCATCTTTGCATAGAATCAATAATTTAAAATGTAATAACTTGAATTTCCCTACTGAGTAGTAATTCATTCCGATATTGAATAAAGTAATTTTTCTTTACCATTCAATTATTATGTATAAATAATTTGTTTTTCTTTTCCTTTAGGTTTTATTCCCTTTATTATCTGGTTTCTTAGAAAGTATTACACTTGAAGAAGTGTTTACAACTAATTCAAGAAATTTACATGATATTAATCATAATAATTATAACACTGGATATGCTCATCATTTACATGCTGTTGAATTTGCTGATCCACGTATGCGTGCTATTCCATTATTAACTAAAGTTTATTTACAACATCTTCGTCCATTGTATGAATTAGATACATTTAATACATTATGGATACGTATGCTTGCTTATATGGAACAATATATGTTAGCTAGTAGTAATTCGGATTCATTGGTAAATAATTCTAATAATGTTTATTTAAGTTTATTATGTTTAAACAATTAATTTCATATAGATAATTCAATTGATATTTCTTTCAATGGTTGAGATCATGAATCAATTGAAGCTAGACCACCATGGGAAACCTAGAAGCACTGGACGGCTTTTTTAATCCTATTGTGGGACTCCTCAACAGTGCGCATACACGACCCCTCCTCACTGAATTCGAACTTAGGACCTATCCATCTCGTACCAGGCGCTTAACCAACTTAACCACTGAGCCGGCATCCAATGGTGTTAACGTCTAACTTCAACTAATCCACGAAATTGAGTGACACATCCAAGTTTTCCATGGTGGTTTAGCTTCAATTGACTTATGATTTCAACTATTGAGAAATTACTACAATCTCCACAAAACCCCTTCTGATACTGATATTTCTTTGTGTAATATACAATGCCGTAATGAAGTATGATTAAGTAGTAGGGTGTTGAATGCCTTAGCCCTACAGTTCTGTCACGTGATGGATTGGTAGCACATTATTAACTAACCGATGATCGTATCATTCAAATACACGTTATTCGTTTCTGTCTCACTAATAATACAAATAATATATGTACATTTATTTCTTTTCATGATACTTCTTACATATATTGCCATCTAAAGTAAAACCTACTGTATTATGACAGATGTCTCTCAAATTTATTTATGGTTATAACTTGTGGGTTTATGACCCTATCAATGTATAACCTAAGGATATCGCCAATTAGAGAACAGTGATTTTATCGACCGGATCAATGACGCATAAAAGAAGTACGAGCGATCTGGAGACCTTATCGGTCCTGCCTCCTGCCTATTATTTCCAGAACACAAATCTGAGCTTCTGCGATATTAATCATATATTTCAAACATACTAGGTTTATATACCAACCAAACAGACCACATCGTACCATGAAATAGGAAATAACTATTGTACAAGAATTAGCCAAATGTGACTGTGAATGTGGGAGATAGTAATTAATAGACAGGGCATAACTCAAAGGATGGTAAATCATATAATAATATTTCATAGGTTAAAATAAAGCTTATGATAAGAGGGACATGAATATGAATAGTTTAGTTATTTAACAGTTCTACGTATAGTATTGGTTCATCAGTGCATCCCAAAAGTTACTATTTATTATTCTCATCAGGATGTAACACTTATCACTTTAAATGAATAATGTCGAGGTTAAAGTTCTGTTAATTAAGCTTATGTTTAATAATTCAATGACAAGGTTTGTGTTAAGTTCACTTAGGTGACTCAATAAATCATTCCTGTGTTACATTAAGATTAGTGACCTGTCAATTCATGAAATGAAGTTGATATATACTATGAAATAAACCAAAGATCATCTTTAAAAAAAAGCTAGTACTGTACAGATATATTTAGTTATGAATTGATTGGAATATAGTCATTTTGAATTCGCATCTTATTATTTATTTGAACACATAAATATTGGTACAAGAGGGCACCAAATATATATGCGCCACACAAAACTTTATTTGTGTGTGGGCTGTGATAGTGCCCGGGTGCCCAGATCGAAGCAGGTAGTTTCCTTAGGGGGCCACACCCCGAGCCTTCGACCTGAACGTCGGGCCCACAAGGCAGTAGAGCAATGTAAGGAGATGCGGTCCCATGGTAGCCGGTGACCAACGATCGGTTCATACGCCATTTGTTCTTTCAGGATACTGGAGCCCATGTGCACCATTGATTTGGGACCCGGACATTCGCTTTTCGTCCTCTCGTTTTCGTAGACAACACCCCCGCCACGAGAAGGCAGTGAGTAGGACTTCCCTGGCGGAAGCTGTATACGCGTGGTCGTGTGAGAGCATTTCGAGAGGGAGGGCGGGCCCACCACACTCTCGGCCATACCAGGGCATTTGGGGGCAAATTTGTGTCTGATAAACTCAATGATGCACCACTTAATGATTATACTAAGAATATCACCATTTTTTTTTAATTATATCAACCAACTTGGCATTTACTAGTAGATCTATTGGAATTCAATGTTATTTTATTAACTCTCCAAGGCAAAAGTTATAAGTTACCCATTAGGTTTCAAATAGTTAAAGTTGTTATTATACATCACATTCATATTCTTCTGTAAGACCAAGCTTATAACATTCAAACCAATAAAATATAGTTTATTCACCATTCCATGTCGTGTTTCCAAGTTAGGGTAATTTGTAATTGTTTATTTATGATGTCAAATTAGTTTGTATCTGATGAGAATCCAATCGACATTGTTAAACATTAGATTACTATTATTAAACTTGGAAAATTTGTAAATTAATAACATTATTATTCTCATTTAAGACGGATGCTGTACGTGAATCATTGAAGAATGTTTTATTAGTTATGTGCACTGGAACACATGATATCAATCCAATATTAATTAAAGATTCTAATCCAAATTCAAATTCAGCTATTTTATGGGAATTAACTGAAAAACATTTATCTAGTTTTCTTCCTGAATTATTAGAACAATTATTTCCAAATAATTCACCGGAAACAAATAAGAAAAATGTTATTACTAATTCAAATGATCCATCGGTTATAACTGGATCTGATGATGAACTCATTCATGAATCGTCTATGAATGATGATAATATAAATGCAGCTAATCAAGGTAAGTACTTTAGTTCCAGGGTACTAGAGAATAAAATATATTTGTGTTTATAACAACATATTTTTATATTGTCAAATATTTTCTTCAGTATAGAGGACTATTGTTGTTGCACGATCTTGGATGCCGGTCTAATGGTCGTCAGGCATATCTCTCTTCGCAAGGCCTAAAGGTCATTGGTTTAATTCCCGGTAGGGTGTTGTGAATACTCAATACTGAGTAGTAGTATATTGAAACAAAATTGCTCTCCTACTTTTTGATAGTTGTGTGAATTGCATCTGTACGTGATCTCAAAGAACCAATGTGTTGTCTTGAAAAAAAAATTCAAGAAAAACACCAATCTGTTTCTGTTTATTCTATTTATTTAACACAAACATTGGTACAATGAGGCACCTAATAAATAGGCATTCGATTCGTGTGAAGACTGGGATACAGCCCGGGTGCTCAGACCGCAGCAGGTGGTTTTCTTAGGGGGGGGCACACCAGGGGCCTTCGACCTACAGGCCTGATCTACAACGCAGTAACATGGTAGCCGGTCACCAACAATAGATTCATACGCCATTTTTTCCCTTCAGGATACTGAAGCCCATGTGCAGCATTGTTTTGTAACAAGGGTCTTCCAACTTCCCTAAGTGAAATCTCCGTTTCCACCATCCCGGTTAAAGCGTCGGACATTCGCTTTTCGTCTTTTCAATATTGTAAACAACGTTAGTACCGCGAGAAGGCGGCAGTGAGTACGATTTCTTTGGTAGTGGTTGGTATGTACGTGGCCATGTGAGAGCATTTTGAAGGGGAGAGTTGACTTTGCCCACTCTCGGACATAACAGAACATTTGGGGGCAATCTGTTTCTAGGTTTTAAATGAAGATTGTTTAACTTATGATCATTAAATATGAATATTTATTTTATGTCATTCGTATTCCCAGTTCACCCGATCACAATAGTACCTTAACTTTATTACATATTTCTTGATTCTTTAATAGTTTTATATGCACCAACGTCAGAGTCGACTACTGAAACTAAATTACATAATGACGTCAATGATTCCGATACTTCTATAATGGTGGAACAGTGTTCAAATCATGACACGAATAAATCATCAGTGGAATTATCTGAAATAACAACATCAAAGCAAAATATTTCAACAGTCTACAATTTATAAGAAACGAAGTCAATAATTATCCCCAATGTATATGAGGTGTTCGTATATTCACTTTTTATTCCCTTGTGTATACAGCCAAGTCTTTCTATCCTTAAATAAAATCAATATTTTTGTATACATCAAAAATATATGATTATTGACTACTAATAAGAAAATATAAAGTAGTATAAATATCATAGAAACAATTTCATTTTTATTATTCCAAGTTATGATTGTGCTAGTTATTTCTTCTCTTTCTCTCTCTCTCTCTGTCTCTGTTTTATTCATTCACATGATTATGATCTATTCAACGGATAGTTTTGATTTGAATGTCATAGTGTTTTTTATCTTATATATTTGAAGAAATCATTTGTATATTGGAGAATGGATATCATACACATCTTGTATACACATACACACACACATACACACAACACATAAAAACCGACACGTATATTTTTCCGTGACTACTATCACTACTATTGTACAAATACTTTATAGTATAGTTAATTATTTAATTTTTTTATTATGATCCTTTCCATCATTGTTTTCTTTTCTTTTTTTTTGTTTGTTTGTTTTCTAAATTGTTCCATTGATGAAATCAATTTGAAAATAACAAAAATTATCTACCATTCTATTTTGTCATTCATAAGAACTATTCAAGTAGAATATCTGGAAATCATCGAGATATGGTAGAGAAGATTTGTAAGTCAACGGAATGAGTTTAATCGAAAAAAAAAAGAAACTAACTGAAAGTAACTAGTTGTAAACAATTGGAATAATATAGATTTTTATAACAGTATCCTTAACTGTACAATACAACGAAATAAACAAATACAAAATAATTCGATTGTAGCTTATCTGTTATGTTGTGAGAACATAATAAAAATTGAACTAGGTCATAAATGAGAAGTAGACAAATAGATGACTACTGTTTAGATCGATTAACAATTAGTTCATCTAAACTATAAGTAGAAATGATAAATTATAACCATGGAGGTGAAAAACGATTAATCCGCAACAACCAATACATTAAGTCATAAAATTCATCTAACGCCTACAAACATAGCCGATAAGGGAAACACCAGATTGAATGCCATAAATATTCTAAATTATACACCAAATGAGAAAATAACGAAAACTATATTTCAAGAATTACACCTTCATAATTAAAGAAAAACATATTCATAACGCATAACAAAGCACGAATTTACTGTAACTGCAAAAACATCCATTTGGATAACATTGAAAAGCAAAATAGCATAAAACTGATGAAGTTTCGCATACTAATAAACCAACGTCAATTTAATTAATCAACCATTCATACAATAACTATACCCATCAGTCAACCAACAATAAACACCAATGTCATTGTCTCTCGTAGGCGGCATTCCACAACGAATGACACCGTCGCACCACAACATCAATATCAGCCACGATCACACACCCTATCATTATTATAGGGCGCAACTAGTAGATCAAAAGGCTAAACAAATCTACACAGATCACATTCCCAGTCACTCACTGACATAAACAAACAACATCTTCATTGACCACTATTAACAACACACAACTCCCGACCGTAGCTGCTACCTTGACGTGGTGGTCGGGCTTGCCTATTGTGATGACCCAACCGAACTATATTGGCTGGAACACACGTTCCTGCAGGTTCTACCATGCCAGGCAGGTCGATTGGAGAACGGTAAGACTAAAAGCAGCAACTCAAGGTCTGAAGGCGTAGTCGTACTGCTGACTGTACAGAGGTGTGACAGCAGTAAGGTGTTTCCCTCGGACAAACAGCATCTGCAGCGATGCTGCCTTCTCACAAGGAAGGAAGGGGTTCGAAAAGGTTGACCCTAAAAATGTCACACCTTACCCCACGGATTTCCGTCTCCGGCGGTAAGGCTCTTTGAAGAACGGAGCTAACACATTAAAAACCTCCCACAATAAGGCCGTGCGCGACCGGCCTCAAGCAGCTCTGCGGTCACGCACTCAGGTCGCTAAGACCAACACTAATCCGATTTCCTTTTCAGGTCCCTCAAGAAATACCTTTCCACGGTGTGGGCAACCGGGAAGTGATATCAGCCCTCATACCCGTAACAACACACGAGACCTAGTTGGTCACATTTAAATCCTTCCTACATCTACTAATAACTCTCTTATCTCCACGACTAACCCTTCTTACGCCCCTTTATTACCTCGCCCCGCTAGTGCGAACGATTCGAGTACGCGGAATGTTATTCCTGGTCTCCTGAAACCACGCTCCAAACTACACGTAGGAGCTTTCAACGTCCGAACACTGTGCCAAATAGGACAACAGGCTTCCTTAGCTAAGACTTTAGAATCTCGCTCCATCGATGTGTGCTGCGCCTCCGAAACGCGCACACAGGATCCTAGTAGTGTCATTCATTTGACCGCACCATGTCAAAGTAACGAACCAACTCGATTCATGCTTCATGTTTCTGGAAGCCCTGATGCTGCTTCCCGTGGCCTCGCTGGCGTAGGTATAGCATTGAGTCCTAAGGGAGAACTAGCTCTCTTAGACTGGATTCCAGTAGACAGTCGTTTGTGTGCTGTCCGACTAAACGGAACAGTAAGGACTCGAAAAGATAGGGACACTCGTCGTTGCCTCTTCGTCTTCTCTGCCTACTCTCCCACTGACTGCAGCTCAAATGATGTAAAAGATGAGTTTTACAGAAAGCTTTCTGACCTTCTCCGAAAAGCTAGGCGTTCAGATGTAGTAAAAGTGGCTGGAGACTTTAATGCTTAAGTAGGTAGACTAGGCGAAAAGGAAAGACACCTGGGTGGATCTTATGGTGTCGCGGCTCAAAGAACAGATAACGGTGACCGTCTGTTGCAGCTATGCTCAGATAACCGCCTGTTTCTTGCAAACACCAACTTTAGGCATAAGGAAAAACACCTTTTAACATGGCGACCCCCTAATTCGTCCCAACGTTGGACTCAAATAGGACACATCGCTATCAGCCACCGATGGCGGCGCTCGATAGAAGACTGTCACTCATTCTGGAGCACATGCTTAGACTCAGATCATGCTCTAGTGCGAGCGCGTATTTGTCTACGTCTTACTGGACGTAGGAAACATGCTGCAAGGAAACTCCTTAGGGTCCTACTTAATGATAGTCAAACTAAGAGTATATTTCAGGAACATCTAGAAAAACAGTTAGACAGCCATGTACGTGACGCCCACCCCGAGGCAGCGTGTAATGACATCCGAAAAACTATAGAAACAGCAGTGATGTCTGCAAGTACGGTAAACCATAAGGTTAGGGAGAAACACTGGATCTCAGCAGCATCTACCGCACTGATAGATGCTCGAAAACTCATCCCATCTGGCTCTGAACATAACGAAGAGCGGAGTCAGCTTAAGCGTAAGCTGACTAGAAGCCTACGCAAAGATCGTGAACAGTGGTGGGTAGCGAAAGCAAGAGAGATGGAAAAGGCAGCGGCAATAGGTAACAGCAGGCAACTGTTCAGACTTGTTAAGGAAACCGGTATTAGGAACCCAACTGTTAGCGAAACAATCTCAGAGAAAGATGGACATATTATTCATCCTCAATCCAGGAGGTTGGATTGATGGGCAGAACACTTTAGGGATCAGTTCAACTGGCCTCCAGCAACATTTCGGTTTCCCACGATCTCCAGTCGACCTGAATGGCAAGTTAATGTAAGTCCTCCGACTCTTTACGAAGTTGAAAAAGCTATAGGAAATCTGAAGCGTGGGAGAGCAGCAGGCCCTGACAGGTTTACCCCTGAGATTTTTAAGGATGGCGGTCCATTATTAGCAGCGAGATTGACTGAGGTCTTAGTTAGAATCTGGGAACTGGACGTAATCCCATCTGACTGGTCTCAATCACTGATTGTGCCAGTCTATAAGGAAGGACAAAAGTCTTCTTGTGACAATCACAGAGGTATTAGTTTGACTAATATAGTGTCTAAAATATTAGCTTCAATAATACTTCGATGTCTAACCAAAGCTCGTGAAGAGCTGACTAAAGAAAACCAGGCTGGTTTTCGACCTGGACGTGGTTGTATAGATCAGATATTCACATTACGTCAGGTCCTAGAACATAGATACATATTCAGACGCCCCACAATGATAGTATTTTTCGACCTTAAGACGGCATTTGACTGCGTTGATTGTGAGGTTCTATGGCAGTGTTTGTCACTGAAAGGAGTACCAAATAAGTACATTAACTTTATAAAGGCTCTCTACTCGAACACAACTGGTCGAGTGAGAGCTTATGGCAAACTGTCATCAGAACTGATTACCTCAAGTGGTGTTCGTCAGTTCTGTCCACTCTCTCCATTCTTGTTTAACTTTGTCGTTGATGTGCTTTTAGAAATAACACTTTGCACATCTGACTTTCCAGGGGTTGAACTTCTACCGAAAGATTCACTTGTTGACTTAGAGTATGTCGATGACATAGTTCTATTTGGTGAAGACGCTGACAAAATGCAGAGTCTTCTGACCACTATAAGCAATAATACAAGCATGTTCGGGATGAGATTCTCCCCCTCGAAATGCAAAATGTTACTTCAGGATCGGGTTTCATCGACACCCGAACTAGTGATAGGGAGTGAAGTAGTTGAGCGTGTCAACCGCTTCACCTATCTTGGAAGTCTCATCAACCCTTGTGGTTTGGTTTGTGACGAAATCTGAGCACGGATACAGAAGGCTCGACTAGCTTTTGTCAACTTGCGTCATTTGTGGCGTAGGCGAGATATCCGTCTATCAACCAAGGGACGTGTTTACTGCGCAGCAGTTCGTTCCGTCCTACTTTATGGCAGTGAAACATGGCCAGTAAGAGTAGAGGATATTCGTAAGTTACTAGTATTTGATCATAGGTGTCTTAGAAACACTGCTCGTATATCCTGAGACCACTGAGTACTAGATGCAGTTGTTATGGAACGGGTACTAGTTAAGGATGGCAAATCAATTGAGGAAGTAGTGAAACTTAATCAGTTGAAATGGCTGGGACATGTGCTGCGCATGCCCGACCACCGACTGCCCCGACGTGCTATGTTTTATGGTGTAGGAGTAGGTTGGAAGAAAGCTAGGGGCGGTCAGACCAAAATATGGCACAAATCCATGAAGTCACTGACAAGTGGACTAAGCCATGTTGGTAGTTGTAGACTACCTGGTTGGGGACCGCGAGACGATAGCAACCGATGGTTAGACACCTTGAATGACATGGCTCAAAATCGTTTGCAAGGGCGCAGGTGCATCCACTCTTTGTGTTCTCTCAAACCCTAATCTTCTGAATTCTTCATGTCCTATATATTCTTTCACAATTTATTCCACTGAACATTACTCGTTTAATAACATCATCAAATCTTCAAGTCTCCTATCTCTAAATAAACTTTCAGTACCTCTATCACTATGGCATTTGAATCAATAACAGAATCTCTGTGCCAACTCGAACTGATGTACGTACGTAGGAAGTTCAACGTAGTTGCTGACTGACACTACTACAACTTCTACGACTACTACTACAAATATATAAAAAAATACAAATATTACAAAACTTCACTAAAACTACTACATCCCACTATCAATCAACACATGGAACAAAAGCAAAATACACATCACATCAATTCACTCGATCATTACATCATCGTTAACAAAATCATCACACAAATACAACCATTCATACAATAACTATACCCATCAGTCAACCAACAATAAACACCAATGTCATTGTCTCTCGTAGGCGGCATTCCACAACGAATGACACCGTCGCACCACAACATCAATATCAGCCACGATCACACACCCTATCATTATTATAGGGCGCAACTAGTAGATCAAAAGGCTAAACAAATCTACACACATCACATTCCCAGTCACTCACT